ACTTAATCCCCCATTACATTCCAGCACTCCTTTCATTACCATTAAATTTCCCGATAATTCCATTGCAACTACATGACATACGCCTATCCGAGAATTCCACATTTAAATGAAGTCGCGGCAAGTGCTCTGCCGCTGATTAGGATTCGTGGAAGTGCAGGCACCATAAAAGCGAAAGTCTTGACGCCATTAGAGAGCAATCAACGCCGGGAACTAGAGGCACTGTCAGAGAATGTAGAGGAGGGGAGCTGGGTAGGCAGCTCATAAAGTGTCAACTATGACTGGTGCCATGAGTACACAGACAGTCGGAGATACGGGGCCAGATAGACAGCTATGGCTCTGGCTATGGCCAGATCCAGAACAAGAGCACCTTCGTGGAGCTATGCGATGCTCAAATACGATTTGGAATCGGAGACAACGCGACTCTGCCCGCTATATTTGGCCTCATGACGTTATGGGCTGGCAAACAAATACATTTCCAACACTCGCCAGGTTGATGATGCACTTGGAAAAATTTAGGCTACTAGAGAAACTAGATAACTTGTTTTAACAATCCAAAAAATCAGAATTACGTTTTATTTACGTTTTATTACAATATTTTAATCGGCTTTTATGTCATAGATTGGTCAAAACAATAAAAAGAAAGAAATTGGTAATTTTAAACTGTGAATGCATTTCGACTAGGAATAAAAAACAAGCTCATCGGAGGTATGGAATTCCATGTTCGGACCATTATTGACAAAGTTACTGAATAACTCAAAACTAACTTTTCTTATTACATTCAACTACTTTTATGACGTTTATTTTCCTAGTGTAAGTATCAGTAGATAAGGGACGGGGGCATAGTGAATGTGAAGGAGGAAGAGCGTCGACGAAGGCCTGTTGTTGTCACGAGATTAAGGCATTTCCTCTTTGACGTTAGCGCTAGACTCGCCCTTTGCCGCTCTCTGTTTGGCTTCTTTATCACGGCCATTGTAATTGCGCACTCAGGCCAGATCCAATCCCCAGTCTCAATCCGAATCCCATACCATGGTCCAGTCGATCCGCCTAGCGACAACAATTACCCCGCGGCTAGGCCAAGCCATCTCGGCCACTCAATCAAAGGCGGAAAGCCGAAAGCCGAACGCCGCCTTGGTATAAGGCAAGCAAGCAAGCGGTAGCCAAAGAAGCCGTCAAATTGTTACGCATAATGGATGTTTTTATCAGCGAAATGGTTTCTTCTCCCCATCCGACTACTGGACTTGGCTCTGAGGGGTTTCTCCTTTTGTTTTGGCTGGCTGTCGGCGATCTTAGACTCTCGCCTTTGATGTCAACGTTTTGGCCGTTGAACTTTTCTCGCTTTGGTGTTGACCACATTTATAGAAGCCATTTTACCATTTTTTGATAATGAAATGCAGCACAAAATTTGGTGTTTTTTAGTTAAGAACTATCAAATCATTGGAAAAAATATATATTAGTTTTAGTAGTAAAAATCATATAAAAATATTTTAAGATTTTTAAATATGAATAAAATAAATTAAATAACACGTTTCGTAATTTACATATGAATAAACTGAATAAATGTTTTTATTGGAGTTTATTGTCTTACAAATATTGGTCATCATATCTAAAAATATTTTAAATCTCAGATTACCTAATCTTACTGATTAAATTAACAAAAAATATAGAAAAACTATTAAAGTTTTATGCCCGAAATTATCACCTCAACTTGATAATTCCTTCAATGCGTATATTTACCATATTTGGCAATTGTTTTTTGAACGGCAAATTTGAATCCATGATCTTGTTATTACACATGCCATTAACACGCATCTCCGCCGAGTGCCAACTCAATGAGCTTCGTTGGCAAACAAACAGCTTTGGAAAATATATGCAGATTCTGCGGCCAGGGCACCCCAGATACCCAGATAGTAAGTAAGTATTCCAAAGAGACGTTGGTAGAGACGCTGGAAGAGTGGAGGACCGGCGAGCCAGTAGCACTTGAAATTTGAATATAATATTGTAATAACTCAAGGGTCTACACAACAGAAGCGCCTCTCAGAGCGTCGCGTCGCCAGCAACTTTAGCACTTCAGTTTGAAGTTGGGGTCTGAAAAGCGTAAAGTAGTAAGAAACATCAAGGGGGGGAATGGGGCATGTCTCTGGGCCTCAATCTGAATATGAATATATATATGAATCGCCCGACTCTGGGGTCTGGCATCTTACGAGCGCGTATTTGCTTATGATAATTTGAGAGCAAACAGCAATCGAGTGGATTGGTAGCCGGTGGAAACGGTAACCGAACGTAACGAAAGGCCTAAATCTCGGTGGGTCGTGAATGTGCAGAAAAACAAAAACGAAACACACGATTAAACACCTCTCAATTATTGGAGTAGGTCTGGTCCCGCCGACCATTGAAAGCTGTCAAGTGGTCCGCCATGGACACAGATGATTATGATGCCTCCTCCTTGGTCATCAGAGGCTGTGCTGCTCTGATCTGCTCCCAATGCTTGGCCCCCCCCCCAATGAATTGAGTCACTTAATTTGCATACAAAAGTAGATTTGCATGCCGCAGCCAACGAAAGATGGTCGTGTTGCAACAATGGATCTACTCACGGGTACGCAAATACAAATATCGACAATCCATAAACCGAGATCAAGTGCCAGGTCGTTAATAGTCGTCTATAAAGGCGCTAGGGCTTGTACAAACGATTTCGAGCTAAAAGTTTAAATCAATAAATTGCGATGGCTGCTTGACATGAGTGGAGGGCATATTTTCCATGGAAAATTACATCGCTTTCATAGACGATTTATGCTAATTTTAATTTGAACAGCCGTGCGAGAAAGAAGCCGAGGGCTCGTGCTCCCACCTTCCCCCTTAAATACAATATCGGGTTCATTTCGCAACTGGGTGGAAAGACCCCGCCGTATAGCACTTACAATGCCTTTTGGAGGACGTATCCCGGTTCAAGGCTGTTCAATCTGTTTGTCCTCCCTGATTCATGCCATTTAATCACTGTCTGCAATGTATATGTATATCTCTGAAATGTATACCCAAAACATTGATAAAGCGAAATGCAACCCACACAGATATCCTCTATGCTGATTCAAGCGGCAGGAATGTGCTTACACTTAGGGAAATACTTTGGTATGTAGTTCTTTAAGGCACTTCTTAACGCAGGCAAATTTGGCAACTTGACAGATCCATTTTTCGAGTGCACTTCCAGCTACCTGTTGGCCCATTTATCCGGAACCGAACGGAAGTAAACCGAAATGCATTAGTCAAACAGCAGGCACAGGGGCAGCACCAATTAGCTGGGTGCTGACAAATTGCACAGCTATTGGCAGGGTCTGAAAGGGCAGGCCCAGAAGGATCGATGTCTAATGGTTTGACGAACCTGATCGAGCTGAGAGGCAAAGAAAACGCAGGAAAACGCAACCGGAAATGTACGCGACCAAATGTGAAAACGCGAAGCATAAATTACCCGTAGACGGCACATGGCCAGAACGCAATTTGGGCAAAATGCCATCCTGCTAATAGTAAATTAATTTCATCCGCTTATCGCCGCCAACTCGGCTATGCCACATAGCTATATGGAAAATAATGCGTGGATGTGTCAGGCCAGCAAAGTGCTGTGTAAATTAGCTCGGCTAACTACATATTTACCCATCGAGAGCCTCAGGAATTTGGCAGTAATGCAGACCAGATAAGCCCAACGAGATTGGCTTAATCTCGAAAGGAAGTGGAACTGGAGACAAACACGAGACCAGTCGTTTGGTTAAACAAAATAGTGAGCACGTTTCGCCATCGTTCGGTCTACACGGCGTATGCTTAACTTCAGTCAAAGTTCATGCCCACTTCATTGGGGCTTTAATTAGTTTCGAATTTGTTAGCAAGCAGCTAACGACACGCGTTTCCGTCGTTCGAAACAAATGTTTTGCCAAGCTCTCTAAAAGGTCAGAGCCACAAACAGAGCCGCCACCTGCATAGCCAGCAATAGCTTATGGCCAATAGATATTGGTGTACCAGCTAGTAGAGACGCCATATCGGGCCTTCGGTTGCCGCCATATCAATGATTGAATGACGCAGCGTCAAAGTCAAAATAACATACAATCACACGGAGAAAAACAGATCGTTTTCAAGGTGAGTTTTAATGAATCTAAAGTAAAGATTGGTCACTCATTCTGTTCGGATTTCTTTAACTTTAGAGGTAAGTCATAGGTTACTATAAAGGTATCTAAGATACTTAAGGAAATCTTTCGACTTATCTATAATCCAATCATATATTTTCCTAAATCAAAATGCATAAACAACTAAAATCAATCAACATTTAAGTACAAACGCGGAAACAAAGTATATTTAAGTAAGTGACTTGTCCTTTTATCGATACTAAAGATCAATATCTAATACAATGCTCGACCAAACACACTTAAAGTAAATATTTTTGCAATAAAAAACCATCAAATTGCTGAACAAACAATATCAATAAATTCTTTTCACTGTAGGGGACAGGGGTAAAATGTTATAAATGAGCAGCAAAACGACAAACACACACGGCTCGAGAGGCCAGACAAGAGGACCACCATGATGGCAGTGGCTACAAATGGGCAAAGCATAAATACACACACAAAAAGATGCCAAAAAGAAGAGACGTAGACGGAGAAAAAACAATTTCAATCATCATGATCATAATTAAAAGGCAGCAGCAACGTCTCTACCCCGCAACAGCAACATGTTGCCGCTGTTGCTGCTGCTGGTGCTGCTGCTCCGCTGACTGTGCAACTTCGCACTTCAGAATTAAACGCAATTAGAGCGAGCTGGCCTTAGACGAAAGACAGAGATGGCCAGCATTTCGTGGGCGGAGTCAGAGCAGTTGGAAAATCGAGGCATTTTTCAAAATGGAGGTGCCAAACCAGAGCGGGACAGCTAGCTCCCGCACTCTCTGCCCTGGAACAGCCAATAGATGGGCCGCAGCAGGTAATCTCGATCAATGGCTCAAGACGGAACGAGTCAAGCTCGTTTGGTTTTTCAGCTCGATCGAGAGATCGCTCCGCCAACGGAACTTGCTCAGTTGAAATGCGAACTTGGCGAGCTCAAGACACGACCGTCGGCTAATGAAAAAGCAAACTCTCAGCTACAACTACTACGACTCTGTATGATATGGTAACCATAATAATAACCCGGCGTAATCAAATTAACACCCACGCACATGAGACAGACCTTTGAGCTGTGATTTGCATAATTGACGCTAATCGGCGGTGTCTCGTGCTCGACTAAAAAAGTAAACCCGGACCCAAACACCGACCCGATTCCGCCATATGTTGTGACAGTGCTTTGTATGTGAGACAATTTAGTGCAAGTGACAAACGACAAATAAAGGAGGTTTTTTGGAGTTTATTTTTGGAGACACCCTCATCATGATCACCATGAACGAGCTGGTGGATTTGCGCATGCAACAGCATATAGCTCACGAGATCTATCGCCAGCAGATCATGCAGCGAATACCAGGTAAGTAAGCTTATTCCAGCATATCACTCATCCGCCCCGTTAAGCGTGCGGCAAAGCTGTTAACCATCATTAGCCTTAATGGCCGTACATTTTGGCGAGCTGTTTCTTACTGTCTTTCTGTCCCTGCCCCAGCTAACTTGTCCAAGATCAGCGGGGTGTGTGTGTGTGTATGAGTGTTTATGGCCAAAGCGATCATAAAGCTGAGTAATGTGGGAAAGTGATCGCCGATCGAGAAACTTGATATCAAATGCATTTTGCTTGTTGCCGACGATCGTTAAACAGCGGGATCAGCGTACCCCTAAAACAATATCTTTGTATGTAATCACATTTAGCCAAGTATGGCTCCATATTTTCGTTGATCCCTAATGGAGGGCATTAAGTTTGACATTCGGCAAAGAATCAATGTTCCTTGTTCGCCAAATGAGCGCTCATATAACACCCATATTTGTCAGAGATCATTTGGCTTTATGTCGCAGCAACTCTTATAAGAAGTCGTTAATATCACACATATTTAAAAAAAGATCTCCTTAACTCAGTCCCACACTCAGAAACTAATGGCAGCCATTAAGTTATTCAAAAAGACTTTCTTTTTAACACGAAACATGCTTAAAATATCTAACTAAGCGATGTATTTTTCTGATTAATCCCTTAAATCAGATGGTAGATTAATTACATTAACAGAATTTACCCCTCAATCCCACCTTTAACCCCTTTCAGATCCCTTTCCGCCCATGCTGCCCATCCCAATGCCACGGCACGTGATCATGCCACCCCGAGTAACTTTACCCGGCGTGGAGATGACCCTTCAAAACGACGATCTATGGAAGCAGTTCCATCAAATTGGCACGGAAATGATCATCACCAAGAGTGGCAGGTAAGTTCAGAAGAAATCTGTAATGAGGAAAACTGAAAAGCAAGGGTAGTGGGGGGAAATCTCAAAAATACAGACTTCAGAGATCGGAAACAAACATAGATCGGGCGATGCATTAGCATGAACATGAAAACTAATACCCCAGACGCAGGGCAAAGAAAAATAAACCAGCCAACGGGCGCGGGCACTTAAAGCACTCTATCCCTATACCGATCCCGATTCCGATCCTAACCGATCCATGTCCAGTCCAGCGAGGATCTGCTGCTGTTAAACGCTCATTAGACGCAGGCGCCTGCAAATTGTTTACAGCGGCGTCGCGACAACAGTTTTCACAGGCAAACAAGGCGGAAGGATGCACTAACACAGGATGTGAAAATCGAAAATGGAAACGCAGTTGCAGGTACAGCTAAGATGCATAATGGACTATCTCGCGCGAGGCGTAAAGCGAACAAGTTCGACGGCACTTTGCGTGCCCAGATTGAAGATAGGCAGCGCTACGAATCTAGCTAGGTATTATCAAAGGCATAGCGCGATCGCCCGGGGCTAGTTTATCGTGTATCTATCAGATGCACGACTACCAGTCCCAGTTGAGTTCGAGAGTCCAGGGGACTACCTAAAAGTGTCCGGCACTTGTTCGAATGTGCGTAAAGTGGCGTCATCGTAATTTATTGTTGACCGGCCGAACGCCGTGCTCAGTGGGACGTCCTGTCGGTTCGTCGTCGGCGCTCCTTTATGCCTCGCCTGGCATAAATCTTCGCGTCAAGGATACTTTGTCGTCATCTTTGTAGCTCTTAGCGTTTTTATTGTGGCGCCTGTCTGCATCAGACAACAGCCTGAGACCCCGAAATATCTTCGCGTTCTGCATTCACTCAGAATGCACACATATCTGTATCTTTTTGGCAGTGACAGTGACCACAGCTTGTCGACAGATACGAGCGATTTCACACTTGTCTCTCAGTTCGATTCGATCGAGAAAGGGTTCCCAAAACCCCATTAACATAAACTTTTGGTCTCGAAATGCAACCAAAAAACTCTCTTCATGCCCCGAACAACCCTTTTGTTTCATACATACGTGTATATATTCGATGAATTATTCATAAAGTCTGCGTATTAAATACTTTTTATGCTCATCAAAAATGTTTTATGGGCCTTGGTGGAGAGCTAGCGATGCAATCGATTTGAATTTTTAATGATTAGGCGCCAGAGTGCCACCGTCTGTCCAAACGCATCCCGATCCCTGGGTTTCGATCCAAACCGAACCGATCCGATCCCAAGTCTAAACTATATGCCTATGCCAAGTGGCGCTCATAAAAACTAATTAGTTGGTTGTCTGGGCTCCGGTTGCCACTTGAACCGTTCCATCTTTTTGGGTGGTAAAAGCGCAGACGGCCATTAAAGTTAGATAGAACAAACCGTATCGCCTTAATGCCCGATGGCGGCAAATGAAATGACTTTGTCACGAAGCTTTTAGAGTGTGTGGGCTCGGCTGCTCACCAACTGGGTTAAATGAGAAGCGCCAAGAGAGGCGGCAAACAGAAGCGACACGGTAACCTCGATGGGAAGCGCTAAGATAGCTTCTAGGAAAAGGTTTCCCATTGAAAAGTTTATAAATTTGACTTAAAAACATATTTTTCATAGATTTCAAATTGAGTTTAAAATGTTATAAGAAATTGAAAGCTTTTATTTAGAATATTTTATACACAGAAAGAGAAGTTACCTTCAGATTTTTTAGAGGGTCTTTCAGTTAGCCATCTTTTCATTTATAAAAGCTTATAAATAAGACTCATTATACACCTTATAAACTCTTTACCTAAAAATAAAAAGGGTTAGAGCCTCAATATACAACTGAAACAGTCTCAAATTTATATCCCTGTTACTACTTTTATAGCTGCCAATTAATAAATAGCCTCATTTCCTAAATATGCTAATTTTCGGAATATCTAACAGCTACTTAAGTAGAATTCTAGGGTAAACACTAGTGCAACAGGGTGAGAGGTGATGTTGGATATTTCCACAGAACCTTAACGAGGGTTTTGGGCAACGATCCCCGAACGCATTCCAGGACTGTGTCCCTGCACCTGCCAAGCGTCAAGCGCCAAGTCGAATGCCGTCAAATGGTCAGCATGCTCCTCACTCGCAGCCAAAAATTCTTTCAGTAATTATGCGCAGACGCGCCAAAGATATCGATCTTAACAAATCGTTTGTCCAAAACCAGACAGCGGACTCTTGCCAAAAAAACGTAGAGGAAAAACAATAAACAAAAACCAAAACCAAAAACGAGGCAAATTGAAAATGAAATTCTAAACCGCACAAATGTCGAAATATTTCGGTCTAATGGAATTCAACAGAGTTGAAAGGCAGTCCCAAAAAGCCAGAATCAAATTAAACGTTAGCAAACCAAAGCGCAGCGGAGTTCAATTAATTAATCATCGGCCCAGAGAGAAACACGAAATCATTGCCAAAAAAACAAAAAGAACAACAGCAAGAAACCACTCGAGGATGAGGATGAGGACGAGGATTCTGGAGTCGGGGAGGTAGGGCAAACATTTTTCGGGCTGGCGCCAAGAACCGTGGCCACCTGCTGTTTCTGCGGCAGCGGATTGGAGTTGGAGGCGAGGGTCAGGGCCTCGCATCCTTGTTAGCACAGGCCCAGGGCCCCTACTCCTCCGGGCAATCTCTATTTGACCAGACCTAATTACATGGTGCATGGAAGGGAAATCTCACAATTAAATATTTGTAACGCCCACGCGGGACCATGGGCATGGGCTCCTTTTGTCGATCTAGCATGACTATATTTGAGTTTGTTCGGTAAACAAAGGATCTAAGATTTTCCAGACATTTTCCTCGAGTTTTCCTTCTCCTTCTCCTCTAACATACCAATTCTTATTCCTCCTGATTTTCTCCCAAAACAGACGTATGTTCCCATCGATGCGACTGAGTGTTGCTGGCTTGGAAGACGAGACCAACTATTGTGTACTCCTGGAGATGGTGCCCATTGGCGACTGTCGCTACAAGTTCTCTGGCTCCCAGTGGGTTCCAGCAGGAGGAGCTGAGCCCCAGAGTCCACAGCGGATGTACCTCCATCCGGATAGTCCTGCCACCGGTGCCCATTGGCAGGCTCAGCCCATACTCTTCAATAAGGTCAAGCTGACCAATAACACGTTGGACAACAGCGGCCATGTAAGTGCGGATAGGGCTTTGATGTCGTCTCTGGTTACTAATCCATGTGCAAACCCCTTTTACCTTCCCAATTTCAATACGCAGATCGTCCTGGCCAGCATGCACAAGTATCAGCCGCGTCTGCATGTCATACGCACCGCTGATCTGGCGCAGATTCCCTGGGCCCCACAGCAGGCCTTTGTGTTCGCCGAGACGGAGTTCGTGGCTGTGACAGCCTACCAGGTGAGTGGTGCCAACTTGAATTCTAGCTTCTGATACTCTAGCTTTGGGCGTTCTTAGTTCAGGAAGATGTCTGTGAACTAACTCTAAGTTTTAGGAAGTCAAACTACCTTTTATAAATTCCACATAATTCCATAGAATTCTACAGAAAATGTTATTAATCTTAGTAACAGATACCAAGTGCAAGTTCGATACGTATTACTGCTTAATTAAACTGCTTAAAACAGACACATTCAAGGCTGTCTGAAATCGCACAATTACGTGTTTAGGAAAAATGTTTAGCCAAAGAGTATTCGCGTCATGTGTCCTCGGAGTTAGCCTTCCTCTTCTTCTACTCACTTTTTTGCCAATTCATTGAGCAATGGGCCAGAGACTGGGAACGATCACACTAATTGGTTAATTTTGGGCAAACGAGCGGCGATCGCTCACGCCGTGGGTAGCTTGGTCAACGTTTCGAATTAGCATGGAACGCCTCCGAGTTGCAAGATCCGAGAGCTCAGATGGTGGGCAGGGCAGGCAGAAAGTCAGCGGGTCGGATTGTTGTTTTAGGAAGTTGGATAGCCACATCCTTGTAAATTTGAGCGCCTCGCTGTGTTTTTGTCTAGGTCTGGGCCCATTGACAGCCGACGCCAGTCTGCCTCTAATTAGCAAGATCGCCGAGAGATCGGAGATTCGAAATGAGAAATCCGAAAGATCACAAAGTTGTCAAGTCATCTGGAGTGGAACTGAAGAACTGGAAACCCAGTCTGGTGTCAAGTGGCCATGTTACTTAACGCCCAGCTACTGGACGCCAGTGACTTATGCGTTGTGTCGTCTCCACGTTGCTTAAGATTATGCTGGCAATCGTCATATTTCACGCTCGTCTTCTCTTCCGCAGAACGATCGCATCACCAAGCTGAAGATCGACAACAATCCGTTTGCCAAGGGCTTCCGCGAAACGGGACAATCGCGGTGCAAACGAAAGATGTCTTCATCGCCAACTGGCGAGGATCAAGATCAATCGCAATCCCTATCCCACCATTCTCAGTCCCAATCTGAGTCTGACATGTCGCCGGCGAAAGGCAGTGAGACAGCAGGAGGAACATCAACAATCGGCGATTCGGATGGCCCGCAAATTAAGCGCCTGAGATCAAATGGCTCCGCCTGTTCCTTATCGTCATCGCTGGACGATCAGTCGGCGCCTGGCGCCAGTACCTTGGCTTTGGGCTCCCCACCGCCCCATCTACATGCACAGCATCCACATCACCTCCAGGCAAGGAGTGCCTCCAGCGTTTTTATGCAGCACTTTCAGCAGAATATGCAAAGCCTGCTGAGACCCTCACTCGTGGACTTGGCTTGCACTTACTTTGGTAGACCCCATGAGTATGGTGGAACGGTTCAGGCTTCACCTCTCTATCCTCCGGCAGCTATTTTACAGGCGGGCATAGGTCCCCATCCTGGCCTAAACCTTCCCCCTGGCATTTCCGGTGCCGATCTCATATCCGATGAGTCGGGAGCCGAGGAACTCGAACTGGATGTGGGAAGCGAAACAGCAACAGTGGAGCAATCCTCCCAGGAACAACCACCGGAACAACCCTCAACAAGGAGCAAGGGCTTCAGCATATCGGCCATCTTGGGCGGAGGAAGTTAGAGATATTTTAGTTGTAAAATAAAAGGGGAAGAAAATAGTTTTAAGGTCAAGAATAAGCTCTGGAAATCAGGAATATTTAACAAGACTTTTGTTTGCGGTTTTTTCTTTGAAATCTTTACTTAATTTTCTTCTGCAACTGAAGAATATGCGAAAGTAGCATCTCATAACGAAACTAAACCAATCTAATTACACCTGAATTCTTCAGATATTTCTTTCAGAGCTTTGTTCCTGACCTTAGAAGACATTTAATCTCACAGATTGCACTCATTTTGATATTATACAGATACCTAGCCTGATTAGCTCTTAAGTTTAACTAAACATTAAGCCATTAAAGTTACACTAAAGTATAAGATATAATCAATTTGTTTTATTTGAATCAGGATTAATATATATCCTCCTGCTGGGCTAAGCCCTCAAAGCCAGAACGCCCAGCCATCGCTGTAGGTAAATGAACATATCGGATGGGAAAAGGAAAAGATACTACTGCCAGTTGGCCCTCTATCATTGGTTGATCTCTGGGCTGGAAATCACAACTTCCGCCAGACATTAATCCCAACCAATTTACAAGATAAACGTTCGGGTTTCGACAACATCATCAGGGCATCCTCCGCCGCAGCATCCATTAGCCACACAGAGATCCGACTGGCTAGAACATAATTTGTTTGCAATTAAATAGCTCGACAAGGCATGAAATTCGGTTGCACCCCTCGGATTCGGATGCTACCCCAGAGAATCCGAGTCCAGAGACCGATGCTATTTATGAAATGGGCAGAGACTGAGACGAAGCCAAAGAAAATAGACAATTCGTTATGTAAGTTGCCGAAGAGCTGTAGAGCTGCAGAGCCCTAGGATCTTGGCCAGGGGCTGAACGGAGCCAATGATGAAGTTTACGATGACATGCGTCACCACCCACGTCTCGTCTGCAATTGAGGGTTAGAGGGGCGGTGCAGACACCGCTGCCCGTCCAGCCATCGGAAAAACAAACACGATCGAACCAATTTACAACACCGGAAAAAATAATTGGCTAGAATGCTAAGTGAAGAAGATCTGGATGTAAAATGATTAAATAATAATAATATAATAATCTTGAGAAAATGTAAAAAAAAAATGTATTAATATTTTCTCATATAAAAATCCATCAACAAATCTTACAAACATTTTCTTTCGGTGTACCAAATCGATTTGAAATTGTTGCCGTTTGTATTGCTGTCGATCTATGCCTCTGGGGATCGGTTCGGATCTATAGGCCTGCGGTTTTATAGGGGATCCGAGACAAGAACGGGTGACAGATGTCGGCCGTGTGTGTGCCAGTGTGCGTGTGTTGACAGGCGCAAGGTTGTGAGTGCAATGAATGCCTCATTAAATGGCTGTACTTCCCTTATCCGCACCAACCCCACCCACCAAAAGAAAACCCCATCCATAGACGGCAGATGTCGCAGGTTCCCTGGATAATTAATGCACTATGGCTGTTGCTTTTTACGCTGCCACATTTGTTGCCTGGCCGCTGCAAGTTGCCTCTTTCTGTTATGTTAGGAAATTAGATACACTTTGTCGAGCAGCATTTTTGTTGGGTAAACACGAATTTGGGGAACTCACAAAAAAAAAAGGGGGAATTGTTTCATAAACGAAAGTTAATTAGTTATTAGGGGGAACTGGCACTGGCGGTGCTAATGAGTTGGAAAAGCATTTTACACTGAGCACGCGTGGCTGCCACTTCAAATTGAGTCTTGATTGGGGAAAAGGAAGATCTCGGAATTCTAGCCTTCAGGTGGTCAAAGGATATAGTATATATCATTAACTGATCAATACTACTACTATTCTCTATGAGGATTAATTTAAGGCACTTAAGAAAACTGGAGTAGATGCCCAATCCCGAATAGCCTTCTGTCTAAGCCCATCTCAGAACTTTGTTTTAGCCTGCGCCCGGCGTTAGGCAAACAAGATGGCAACAATGCGGCGGTACTTGAGTTTTTATTGTTGGCCAATGCAAATATATTGGTCGCGAGGAGAATGCAACAAAGCGTGGCAAAGAAAGGTTTCCGTGTCGCCGGAGCCAAGCCATAAAACGGATGCACCGACCCAGGTCGTCTGTGTACCGAAATCGACCTGTACGCCGTCCCTACTACTAAGCTGGGGTTTTAAACTAGAGCAGAACAAACCCACCACCAAGATGAGGCTCAACAGAAGGAAGATTGCCGATCGGGCAACAAAGGCCGTAAAAGCAGTTTATGCAAATGGGCTCACATGTGGGCTGGAAAATGCATACTATGTATGAGGAAGAGTCCGACCCTTTTTGGGCTGGCACAATTAACAAAGCGTGTAATTTCTCAAACCTATCGTGTGAACAATGGCACAAACAATTAGAGGATAATGAAAATCACCCACATAAGCAGGTCCACTATAGTGCTCTCCGGATGGGTTGGTGCATATATGATCATATAGACAAATCTCGGGATCAGTTGGAAAATACACCCAATGGATCAATCAAAACCAGGGCACAATGGCCGTCGTCAAGTAAGCATATCCTTTACAGAGAAGCCCCTCTACATTGTACTCGCTTTGTTTACAACTCTATTGAGTGCAAAATGAAGAAGCATTGTCTTTGGCCATCTATTTGCATACTTGTGTTGTCTTCGAAGACAAACCACAAAATCAAATTCAAATTATTACGCGCCATTTAATGAGAAACTCTAGTAGAGTTGCCTAGTTGCGCGGAGTATGTACTTTCTTGTGCTCAGTTGAAATAAATTAAAAATATTATTTATGGCAACGTAACACGGAGAATTATAATAATGTTAACTTATTTATTAAACAATATTGATTTTGTAAAATAAAATATCTTTCAAACTTAGTAAGAAAAAAGAAGTGTAGACATGCCCTTAGGTTCCCAACAAAAGAACGTCTTGACAACCCTGGTAGTTGTCATTTTGACTATGTATTTGCACTAATTTAACAAGAATTTGAATCTACGCTAATAACAAGAAAACGAGAAAGCAAGCAAAATGAGCTTTGTTTCTGATAATAGTGACTCGGATGACAAAGACTCCTTCCACTCCTTCAACAATAGTGAATCATTCTTGGACAATCTCTCCCTCTCGGATAGCGACTGCGACAGCGCGGACATCTCTGAGTCCAGATCGGAGTACGAGACTTCAACGGAGAATACGGCAAGTTAAATCTGATTTACGTATAACACACATTGTTATGATAATTCCTTAACAGATAGAAGAACCTTGTAAACCTACCTTTTTGTACTCCATCTTAAAGCCAATGTCGTCCCGCTTTGATGTCAATTCTAACGACTCCTCCGCCTGTGATGGCTTATCCGCTGCCAAGGACAAGTTCAACATTTCCCCGTTAGGTCAGAGTCAAGAGACGGATCCCGTGCAATGTTGCCCAAGAAACGTGCCAGAACCCATCTCGAAACGGGACCAACCAGCCGCGGTTCTGCAGCAACATCTGATCACCAATACTAAAGAGGAAGCAATGCAAAAGTACGCTTTTACCGAGATTTGGATAGGTTTGCAGCAGAAATCTTTACTGACCCAAAGTTCTTGCTTGGGGCAGTTTTCAGCGGCCCTGGAGGCCTATTTTAATAATGACTTTTCTAAAAAAAAGAGTGATACTAGCTTGGAGGAAATTGAAAAGGATTTGGAGGTAGATATAACCATTTGTTAGTTTTAAATCTTTTATAAATAAAATATTTTAGACTTCAGCAGCTCCCTCAAAAATGTACAGGACCGAAGAATATGTGCCTTCTTTCCCCTTGAAGCCGCCAGTGGCACCAGCTCCGAAAGTGCCGTCTCCTTTGAAAGGAATAAAGCCGCCTAGTACAGATCCAGCTGGTTTTGATTTGACCCAATTCGTTGAAATGAAGAATACCAACCACTGGAAATATCGTCCTCAATTAAGCATCAGTCATTCCATTTTCTAGACGATACTAAATTCTATTTTTTTTTCGATCAGAGGCAAAGATTAGGCTACTATTATGTCCTTACGATCATCGCTATCATTCCTCATCGATTTGACATTTATTCTGTTAACTGTTATCTTTCTGCATTAAAGGATTCTGAACTACCAAAGCAATTAGAGCGCCAAACATATGCGACTGTCAAACTCCGGCGAAGACATAATATCGCCAGCGTTGAATGGGAACGTCGTCGCCGGCTCCAAATGATTTCATTGTGCTGCCGATAAAATTGTCGCCAGTGAAAAAATTTGCCCGTGACTTTGATTTTGGCCGCCGCAACATTAATTTCCAAGGAAATTACACATGCCTGCTGGAGGGGATGGCTTATCTGGGCTGGCAGATCGCCGAGCGGGCTCGGGTCGGAGCTCATTTGCCGCTGACATGCGAACGCTTGCTTTACTCCGACTCCAAACATGGACTCTCTCCTGGGCCAGCCAGCGGATGCCCCCAAATGAGAATTCAATAAATTTCAGGTAAAGGTAGAGGCAACATCAGCAGCAGCAGCAGAAACAACAACAACAACAACACAATGGGCCAAATGTTGTCGTTAGTCTTTTGGCGACGTTTAACATGAATATGCAGTGTGGCTAATGTGGAGCCCATAAACACTTCCAGCGGCAACATGAATGGACCGAAAAACAGGTTGCAGCTACGTGTGTGGGTATCGATGGGATATTGGGGATCCTGGCTCTTAACAATTGTTTCTTAACGCGAATTGAAGCGAATGCCACCGTCGAAGATTGCCTGTTTGGCCAATCATCTAGCCGTCTCTCTTTGGGGGCAACACTTGCGACTGGTGGACTGGTCGATCAAAGGAGCCGCCTCGTTTCCGCTCGATAGCATGGAGATGTGTGATGGGGACACCCGGACAATTGCATGTAAATGGCCACAGTTTTGCTAACAACTACAATGTGAAAACATCAATTACACGGGACTGTGGGGATTGTGGGTTTGGGGATTCGAATCGGACTGCTCGCCAGGATTGTCGGCGATCGTGGCGCTCAATCAGCGCATTTACCTTGGCGCCGGCGCCAGCGTTTAAGATGCGGCTCGCTCTGATCTGCTGATAAGCTCTCATGTCCATGTTGTTGCTGCCGATGTTGCTGGTTGCCGGTGGGTTATTCTGCTCTTAGAAGGGAGGTTCACAAGGAGTTGGAGGAGGAGCGGAGGTGTGGGTTCTGGAGGAACAGGTTTTTTTATGCCTCGCATGCGGGAGATATGAAACTGAAACCCAAGGCAAAGCCAAATCCGAATTATGTATTCGGCGACGACAGGCAAATGGAAGCATGCAACACAAATTGCTGGAACAGGATTCGAAGCGCAGTCATGGGAAGTTATTGGGGAATTTATTCAGATCTCCGGTTTTGGATCTCTTCACATCTGTCTCTTCTAATTGCTCCACATTCCCGGCATTGTTTATCCCAGAAAATATCTCGATCGAATTCATTGGGTATCCATACACTACATATATTTTATTTATGTCGCATTAAAATGCCAAAGACAATAAATCCATTACGAAATCATTTGAACAATTAAAATTGCATAATAAATACGATAAATACTGATGGCAAATACCTGGAAATCCTAATTAACTGCAAAATATCACAATTCAGCTTAGACACTACGCAGACGATGGCAACTTAACGCTAATTAAATGTACAAGGCACCGATTTCAAGCCAAATGGGAGCACATGCACCCGACTGGACTTAGTTTTAAATGGACGAGCTGGTTCCCAATATGTCCGAGATGCTGAAGCTGCTGCGTTTCGGCTTGGGCATTGCATCGCTGGGTGAGAGAGGTAATATCGGAACAAGAGGCGCAGATGGAGGAGCAGATGTTGCGGTTCCAACCACATCCACAAAGGTGTCGGCATCTGCCTCTCGTTCGGCTGCGGATTCCCCGCTCGTGGAGCCCGCTGATGAGGACGAAACGGAGGAGGCCGGGGATGGCGGAGTGTAGGCCCAACTTGGATAGGATCCGATGTGCCTGGCATATTCGATGGCCGGCGGCGGTGGCGCTGGGACATAGAAATTGGCCTCCAGAGTATCCAACAGATAGTGACGCTGCATCGGAACGCTCTGATGACTCTGATGATGATGATGCTGAGGAATTTCGTCTACCAGTCGCAACCGTTTGGCTAACGGCGATGGCATGGGGCTGGGGTCCACCTGGGTAACCTCCGACTGCGATGGCGGTGGCGAGTCATTGATCTTCCTTTTGCATCTCGACTGACCCGACTCACGGAATCCCTTGGCAAAGGGATTGTTGTCGATCTTCAGCTTGGTTATGCGATCATTCTGCAAAGCAAACATTTGAGGATTAGCTAAAGAATCTCTTATTTGGACAGAGATATACTAGTACACACCTGATAAGCCGTAACGGCTATAAACTCCGTCTCCGGGAACACAAAGGCCTGCTGGGGAGCCCAGGGGATCTGGCCGAGATCAGAGGTACGTATGACATGCAGACGTGGCTGATATTTGTGCATGCTGGCTAGGACGATCTGAAAATGGAGAAAAATATTGGATTAGTAAAGAACTTTTTAACTTTGTCATTTAAAAATATATTTTAAAAATTCTTGAAGATGATTAAAACTTACATGTCCATTATTATCCAATGTGTTGTTGGTCAGTTTCACCTTGCTGAAGAGCAAGGCTTGGGATTGCCAATGTTTTCCCGTAGCTGGACTCTCCGGATGCAGATACATTCGCTGGGGGCTTTGGGGCTCAGCTCCTCCGGCTGGAACCCACTGGGATCCGGAGAACTTGTAACGGCAATCGCCAATGGGCACCATCTCGAGAAGCACGCAGTAGCTGGCGTCCTCCTCCAATCCGCTGAGAGAAACCCGCATCGAGGGGAACATGCGTCTGAAAGGGACAGAGAGAATATTAAATGGATGTTAGTGACACGTTTCCACCATAACACAGAAAGTACAAAAATCTTATCATCGGGAGATAAGTTGATGGGGTCGAGCAAATAGGCATAAATTGACATGGTACCAACCTGCCGCACTTGGTGATGATCATCTCGGTGCCGATGCTGTGGAATTGTTGCCATAGTTCATTGTTCTCCAGTTTGGCCTCCACATCGCCTGGCAATGTGGGTTGCGGTGGTGGCGGCGGAGGCACAAAGTGTCCGGCAAAGCTCGGTAATAAGCCACAGAGGGGATCTATAGGAGACATGATAGGTTAGCCGACGGCAAATCTCAAATGGGAGTTCTCCACTTACCGGGTAATCGTTGCATAATCTGATGGCGGTATATTTCCTGGGCGATCTGTTGCTGCAGGCGCAGATCTGCTATGTTGGGCAAGGTCAACATTTTATGATATTTTTGTGGGTGATATGTAATCTTATTTCGGGTGATATTATTCCGTAGGAAATCGAAGACAATCGAATAGCGGCGACTGGAACACGAACTGATCGCTTTGCTGTCCAGATTGAGACTGTCTCTCGGAGTCTCTGAGCGGGCACTACTTCGATTCTGCCAGAATCCGGTCGGTTTGGTTCCTCCCTCACACTCTCTGCTTTCCCTTCGGCAGTGTCGTTCCGATCCTCAGGTAGTCGTCCGACCTGTTCTCATGCTCAAGTGGCTCACCACTTACCCGCTCTCTCGTTTCCACTCCCTCTGTATCTCGATGTGTACGTTTCTCGTATATGTATGTCTTCGCCATTGGTTGCTTATCAGCTAGACCTACGCCATCCCGCTCTCACACGCTCCGCCAGACGGAACGCCATTTTCGTAACGCTTTGGAGGGGGTTCGGGTTCGGGCTCGGGCTGTGTTGACCTCCTCCCTTGGAACAGGGGGGGGCACGGCACCCATCTTGCCGCTGATAGCATTATATGGAAAGGGGAACGGCTATGGGAATGGGGTTTTCCTACCGAGAATTGGGGAAGCGCTCTTTGAAGTCGCCTAATCGCTGGTAATATTTATGGAACTGGAAAACGCTTTGGATATGGGCCAACCAATAATGTTTGGAAAGATTACAACGTTTTTCTAAAAATGGGAAGCTGTAATTTTGAAAGCACGAGGGAAACCTATAAAATTTACGTTTTGAATGGGAATTTCAGAAATATGTCTATGGTGGAAATATCACTTTAAAAGTCTCGAAATTCGCAATAATTACAATTAAGAAATGCCTAATAATCAGTAAATTACTTACATGTAGTTTAAATATTTTTAGCCCTGAAACTTTTATAAGATTATTTTATTGGATTATTTCTAAGTTCAAATTATAAAAAGTAATTTCAAAGTGCTTTCAACTTCTCTAAGAACCCTTTAAGCTCTTGAAAACATAGAAAACCTTCCCGCAGTTATCGTTTATAAATATATCCTGAGAAATATTTAACATTTCGATCATCTTTCTTTTTAAGGGCGCTCTTGAGTGTTAAACCTTTGATATCCGCTAGAATGTATATCTCGCTGTCATGATCAGCACCCATCTGCTTCAGAGCGTTTAACTTATCTGCTATCGAACTTGCATCTTGTAGATGCAACGAAATCTCGCCGCTACCGTTTGCAACACAAGGTCTCCAAGAAAGAGATCCGCCCGGTGATAAGTCGGGCTAATCAAACCTTTAAATGGTACTTGTACTTGATGCTGGGCCACAACAAATTGCGGCAGCCGGGAGCGGCCATCAAATCAAACTGGCGCCAAGCCACTGTCGCCTTCAAACCACTTGAACATCGAAGTGGAATGGGCTCGGAATAGGGTATAGGGATAGGAATACGTCTAACGGATCAGTCACTTGTTGCCACTTGTCCTTAGTTTTCGGGTGCCAGGGCGACGGTGGCGGCACAAATTCACAGGCGAGTCATAAAAATCATCACACTTTGTCCCCGAGATGCTGACTGTCCTCATCGTTGGGAACAAAAGCAAGAGCCTGGAGGATGCATGGATGTGAGTTTTATGGCCTGACTGTGCGACGACCACCGACTGTTTGTGTCTCTGCAGTTTTCCAAAATTATTATTATGATTATTGCCTGTTTGTGGGTCTGCTCTACAATTTGTTTGCTATTGTCTGGTCGCCTAAAGATTGGAGACAAAAGCGGGCCGACGAAACCGCAAAAGGACAACGCTTGGGGGTACGAAAATGGGAACCGGAACGGAACGGAGCCCATAAAGATCCTAAACGATCGATGACCAGTATAAATGTCTCAAATTACCTCCGGAGATGCAGATTTAATGCAGCGATAAGATTTTATATAAGCACATATCTTCTGATTGTAAAATGAATAACATTTTTCAAATTTGTATCACAATTATTTTAGTACATATGACTATACATGAGTAAATTATAAAAATAACTTTTAGCAAATAAAAAATGTCCCCGAAAATTAAAAAATTTGCCTCTAATATTGCATTTTATCTTGATAATACTTTTCTGGGGATAAGTTGACATTTAAGGACCTTACATAAATCCCTGCTCGCATTTCCATTACCCGTCTCTGGTCATTAGTCAGCCAGATATGCAATTTCCGGTAATTCGTAACTCGACTAGCTTTGCATAAATACCTTGCCATATTTCCGTTTATTCCGGAAGGTCTAAGTGCCCCTGACCCGACACTGAGCCAACCCAAAGACGGCGACGACCCTCGAGTGTGACTCAGGCAATTAGCGGGAGGAAGGGAGTTCAGTTGAGGAGTTCAGGACAGCAGGCCCGGTCCAGACGGATTTGTGTCATTAGCGTTCGCGTTGCTCGCCACTCGTGTCCGGCTTCATTTCCATTTTCATTCAGTTTTCTGGCTGGAAAACCCGGGGAAATTTGAGCACCGCTCACTAATTGCATGTTTGTTATCTTTGGGAACGCGCTTAGGCTACCTTACGCAAGATAAATCTGATAAACAGGCTTACATTTTGCACATGAATCAGACACATAGATTTATTGTTGCTGGTTTTTCTTTTTTGTTTCGTGGTTTACATGTAACTTTTGGCTTACACCGTACGTGGGTTAGATATTTGTTGTGTGCCATGCCACAATCGTTCACATTCGTATTTACTAGACATTTTCTTTTTTATCAACAGCTACCAAAATGGATTGTTCGTTCCAGTATTCGTAATTCAGCTTAGTATTGGTTGTGTACTCTTCGTTAGTTTATTATAGTTTTATCACAGCTATACGTTTATATTTATTTGTTAATAATTGTGTTTAAGATTCATTAAATATGTTTCTCAATCCGTTTCTGATGAAGCCAAAAAAAAAAATAAAAATACATTTACACCAATTTGGCTACAAAAGAATGCTTAAAAAAGAATAACATACAAAATGTGAATATAGAACGAAGGAGTTGAGAAACAGTTCCACTCTGAATTAGGACAGCTCGAATCCGGTATTGCTGCTCACAGCGTAGCGAAGTTTGTCCCGCAGCGTGGACTTCTTTTGGTAGTTGGGTAGCTTCAGCAAATTGAAGCAAGTGGAAGAGGTGGGCAGGCGGTTGAGCGGATCCTTTTTGCGTATAGTGAAGAAACCTCGAATCACACTTCCTATAGTGTCGCCCGTATCCTCATCATCACCAACCTCCACACAACGAATCGAGAAGGGTGGCTCTAAGTGGGCGAAACCCAAAAGCGGGGGCTTAGAGCAGCTGGTAACGAACTAAAAAGTATTATTTAAATTAGTAAGTGATTTATGTCCATTAAATAAATAAAAATATACCTTTAAGAACAGCTTGCGCTCATCCTCTGTGAAATCCTTAGCTAGGATGTCCCAGAGCCAGCCAACAACGCGATGCGAGTCATGAAAACCACCATAATACTGTGTATGCTTGCGCAGATCTTTTAAGTCCAAAGGCACCGTGTCCCCAGATATAAGGCGCTGCAGCTCCGGAGGTGAGAACAAAGATAACCATTCTGGATTAACAATGCTGCGAAAGCCTCGATTAAAAGCAATCGTCTGTTCTCGTATCTGGGTGTTCATGTGGAAGAAAGCCATGTAGTGAATGTAGACCAACTTGTTGTGGTCATTAACAACGCGTGCCTTGCCACCCGGATGCAATTCATGAGTAACAATTTTGCCCATCACATCCTGGTCAACGGAAAAGGTTAGATTAAGATCAGCCACATCTTGCTTATAGTGCTTGATGAAGGTTAAGCTGCGATACAACTCGTTGTCAAGCGATGGTAGCTCGTCCATGCAGGAGTAGAGCGCCTGCTGAGTCTGGCCTAGCAACTGGGATAGAAAGAAGGAGGCGAATGGCACGTCCACTACGATGCCTTCGTAAACCGCCTTGCCCAACATGCGGCCAACGAACTCGAAAAGCTGCAGATGATTGTCCTGGACGTAGGAGATGGGCGAGGGATATAGACGCTGATCCGAGGTGGTCTTGAAGAGATTCAACGATGGGTCAAACACCTTTTTTATGGTCTCCTCCAGAAATTCCTTAAACACACCATCCTGATCAATGCCCGCCTCGTGTAGTCCTTGCTGATTGATAAACCGTACCCGTATAACACCTTTCAACGCCTGAGTGGGCTGGGCGGCCAGTTGTCTATATCCATCTTCCACAATCCGCTCGCGATGGATGACAATCAGTGCTGAGCGAGGCGAAGCACAGGCACTTTCCGTCAGACCCATTACCGCCTTTTCATTCTGCACAAATTTGCGGAATAATTTTACGCGATCCTCGTGTGGTATGATGTGCGGCATCTTGACCAGTAGCAGCATAGCGTTTCGCTTGGCCTTCACCAGGTCGTTAATAAACGTGGAGGGCTTTACCTCCGGTATGAGCCAATGGTTGGTCGGTGTAAACGGGCGGCGGCAGTCGCGGCGGTACAAGCAGAGCATGAGAGTGTGCAGCGAGATGAAAACCGGCTCCTGGGCAATATTCTTGGCACCTGCCGGAGATTGAATGATTGCATAAACAATTTTTCGACAAAAATTTAGATATTCTATGCCTTTCAATTACTAACTATTGATAGATCGAGATTAAAAAAAAGTTGATTATCAAACTAAAATATTAAAACAGACTCACCCAAGACATTATCATTAATAAGTTTGTAGAGTATGTTGTTAAGGAAGTAGGTCAGCATCACATAATCGTTCAGCTTAAAAGGATTCTGTTCCGTGTACATTTCGTATTCATCAAGAATCCTGTAGAAAAAAATGTGCATTAATTTTAGTAGTAGTAGTTCGAAAAATGATTCTATTTACGTGACGTAGTGCGTCATGCAGTCGCAAAAGAGCATCAGCATAGCTGTCTGTGGCTGTAGGCTAATATTGGACTTGAGGAGTTCTAAGTACTCCTTCATGCCGCAATTAGGACCCAGGGACGTTATTAGCAGCCAAATATCGTACAGCACATTATCATTGTAACAGATGCCAGTCAGGATGTCCAACTTCATTTGAGAGAGGGTATCGAGTGCTGTATAGTACATGGCACAAACGCGGGACACTTGCACAACATCCGCGTTGTCCAATTTACGCCACTGATGCTTAGTTTGCTTGCTGTTCGTTACTCCCATTAGGTTAACCCCTCTCGTAGAGCTGCGTTCCAATGCCCGACGTAACAAATTCGATGTGGATGGCTGCTGGGGAGACTGGAACTCGATGCGCTCGTAGTTAAGGTTGATTTCTTTCAAGAGATCTCCAAGCAACAGTTTTATACAGCGATGATCCCACAGCATGTGAAACTGCTTCTTGATTAGGGGTACATTCTGATTCTGGGCAGGCTCTGGACCCGGAGTATACCAACCCAGCAATTCGTGCCACTGAGTGAACACTCCCTTTGTGGTCACCGTGTTGGGTATTAGCTGCAGCAACCATAGGGCGGTTTTCTGAAGAAACTTAAATATTAGTTTATCACCAGAGAAAGGGATTTACTAGAACTTACAGCTAGTAAAGGATATGCCAACTCTTTGGACTCTCCTTGACCATCAATGTTGAACAAATTAACTACGTTTCCCAAAAGAGCAAGGGACTTGGTGCCCGGCATGCTTGCGCCAAACTCCTTGAACCACTCTGCGTCCTCCGAGATGCTTAACGCCTTTTTCAGCAGCCCCAAGGACGAGAACTGCTCTAGGCACTGTGGTACACTCTGGTGCAGATGGTAAATCAAAGCAGGCACAGACAGAATCTCCGAAAGAAACTTGCTCAAAAGATTTCGACTAAAGTTGCCATCTATAAGCGGGCGTAGGCATAGCGTGATTATAGCCACCAGGGTGACGGACTTCACGGACAACTCCTCGCGCACAGTTCCACGCAGTAAAACAAGCTTGAAAATCGTATAAAATTATTACAAAATTTCAACGATTTAAGAAAGTTAGCATACCCGCATGGTCTTGTAGAAGTCATTCTGCACAAGATGCCCCTGGATGTTGCAACAGATCTTTTGCATGGCCGGCTGCAGCTTCTCAAACTGGGCACTCCTGAGTATTGCCCAGGATTTCGGCGCTGTAAAGACCACCAGTGTATGCAGAAAGAGGGCAAGGGAAAGGCTATCGGCATGGTTCTCTGGCTTGAGCTCAGGCAGCAATATGAGGCAGTTGGTGAGCAGAACCTTAATGTGAGCGATCCACGGCAGGCTTCGTTCCTTAAAAAGGCATAAAGCGGCGTAGGATAGTTTGGTGTTCTCTGCCTCCATGGCCTTGATTATGTAGCGACAGATGAGCTCCAGACGCTCTCGCGAACGCAAATCGTTCTTGTCAAGCTTGATTTGGGTGAGGTAGCGACGAAGCACCGGATATACATTGGTGGCCAAAAGCTCCAGTTCCGCATCCTTGCCGTTTTGACTCTCAGTAAATATTGCATCGAAATCGAGGCTGTAAGATAGAATTTTATTACATTTATCGTGGAAATTTGGATAGAGTCTTACATGATCCGTTTATGGTACTTTCTTCGCGCCGCGTATCCTTTTAGAGTAGACTGCAACAGGATGGCCGCATGTTCACGACGCTTCTCCAGTGCCCGCTCCTCACGAGCCGCCTTCGTCTGCTCTAGGAAGCTGGTCTTTTGGTTTTGGGCAAACATTTCTGACTACAGCAGGTTGATGGTTTTTTTTATTGTGATGATGATGTATTCTTGTTGCTGTGGATGTTTGTTTTCGTTGGGATTGTCGCTGTTCTGGGTCGATTCCCTTCATGTAATCACTTCCTCGAGCTGAGCGCTATCCCAGAACCTTGATTCAGTGCATCACCGGATTTTTTGTGCATCGTAAATTAAGCAAATTTACAAAATATATCTTTACTCCAATTGGTTTTGCAGTGTGGCTGCCTCTTCTTCCATATAATAGCTATTCTAATGGTTCGTGTCCGCGGTATATCAGCAAGGCTTTGAACCCAGGGGAGATTTTTTTATACAACGGATTAGTGATTTGCTATTTAAGAAAATATCGATAACTACAAGCAAACCATCGACTGTATCGAATACACATCGATTTCTGTTCCAGCTCTAGCAACGCTCTGTTCGCGTGAATAAATAATTAATTAATTGCTGAAAAAATGGAATAGCTGGCGAAAACATGCATCCAACCAAGTGCAACAGCAGCCGTGCGCATTACTCCGTAATCGGGCGCTTGTGAAAACGCGTTAAACGTGAGCGCCAGGAAGTGTGTGGCTGAAAAAAGTTATGGTTTAGCAAAAACAACAAAGCTAAAGCCCAAAAGTGCTAATAAAAAGTACACACACACATACACGCGCGCGAGCAAAGGTGAAAATTATAAATTAATAAATGCGCTATGCGATCCAATCCGATCTGATAGCATATCAAATTAGCGAAATATGCTTGATTCTCGTGCTGATCGGATCAAAACTGTGAATTGCAACAGAAAATAATTTCAAGGTTTGCAGCAGGCGAATAGAAGGCGAAAAGGTAATTGAAAAATAGAACGAATTTTGGCACAAGCGCAGTGTAGCTATATATTTTTGTTGTCTGGCCGACCGTGGCTGGGTGGGTGGGGCGTGATTTTGGGGGCCAATCTTCTGTGTTCTGTGCTATGTGTGGTGAAAACAACAACAACCCCCTTGCCCCAGGCAGCCCCCTTCAAAGGCACCACGCCACTGCAAGAAAAAGACTGCAAAACGGAAAGTGAGTGCAAATGAAAACAATTGAAAGGTGAAGAGAGAGAAAGGGAGAGGGAGGGGCGTTCTAAATGCCCTGTAATGCTTTGCTCTCTCATGTAATTTACCGCAATTTTGCCCGTGCATTGCTCAGTGTGTCACTCTCACTCACACACATACTAATACTAACGAACGCAGCAAGGTCTCCGTATAGTGTGTGCTCTCCCCATTTTCTTGACAGGCAGCACAGCATCATCATCAAAAAGGCGCGCGCTCCTTTTCGCCCGTTTCGCTCTCCCTGCCTCTGCTGCTGCTTCCCAAAAACAGCTCCACCATTTTCTTTCTAAAACGCTGACGCCAGCGCCAATCATTCGCCATCAACCGCTCCTTCTCCGCGGTGCTCCCCACTGCAGCTTCCAGTGCAGTTAGTCCAATCTCGTCTTCAGCCTCGCTTAAATAAAACAAATCTTCGTTTTTATGTGTTTTCATCTCTCTGCAAATTGCAGATGTAATCAAATTTATTCGTAACGTAAATATAAACGTTAGGAATATGCAAAAAGCTTGTGATCGCGACTGCTAAAAGGGCAGAAAAATACAAATATAAAGAGAACGTGTGAGTTTCCAGTATCCTGTCTATGTGTATGTGTGTTTGAGAACTTCCAATAGCGTTTGTTGAACTTTGGGCATTTTTTTTTTGCAAGCCGGTTAGAAAATAACAGCAATTGCAGTGACGCATAACCTCAAAGATCGACCCGGGCATGCACAAGTACCGTTAGATCGGGGCGCGCTAAATGGCTCTATTTAGCTCTCACTAAGTCGCAAAAGCGAAAAAATGTGAAATTTCATTTAAAACGTTAAGTAGTAAAAAAAAAAAAAAAGTAAACATCGATAAATTCCAAAGCAGTAACTGTGCTTTTAATGCAGTAATTGGGCCCGTTATGTTTTAGTGCTTGCCCACACACATATAAGCACCAACACATACGCGGTTACATTGCCTCTGGTTTAAATTACAGTCGGCACTCAATTATGGGAACTGCATACAAATTTGTGGTAATTTATAATTTACAAAAAAGTTTATAATTTGATAAAGTAAGCCCCTGTAATTTATTAGTCCTACTAATTTTAATTACTTTACTTTATTTTTTCTTTAAAAAATGACTTAAGGACATTTTAACAAATTTTTTGAGTGTTCACTGTATAACAGTAGAAAAAATCGAAGAAAGTCGCCAAAGCAAAGGCAAAACAACAACAGCAACGGCGGCAGAAGAAACAAGATTCGAAATGGGCACACACAAGCAATGGCAAACGAAACTAAATGAAAAGTGCGAAACTGTGCAAAAAACCTAACCAAACTTCTCGCCCCCGCTCTTCTTTCCCGGCCCGGAAATCAAAATCACAAATTCAAATCCAAAGTCGAAATTAACGATTTCGTATTGGAAATGTATGTTATTTTATTGATTTATCGTCCCTCGTCACTCGCGCCATCGAAGCGAATCGAAGGTGTTATATATTTGTTGTTTATTTGCTTTCCTGATAAGCTGGTCGACCAATCGTCGACCGATCGACGGACCATGCAAATGCTAATTTCCATTCGTCAATTACAGATAATTGTTGTTGTTGCTACCGCACTGCTGTCTCCGAGCTTGTAAATTTAACAAATTAGCAAAAACTGATTTGATTAAATTTGAACGTTATTGCCGATGGGAGTTTATTTTATTATCGACGCACGGCATTCTAATTCCAAATCGAGCAATGGCGACAAAAATTTGTGGAAAATAAGAGATGTGATTGATTTGATCACGTGGTTTGGAATTTGGGGTACTTTTTTAAAAGAGAGCAAATTTGGCTCAAGCTAAGAACTTTATGATCGGTTTTTACGTAACTCTCTCATTGCCTTGCCTAACATTAAGCTTATATCCTTTTTTTTTCAGGAAACACAACCAAATAACCACAAAGAAGCCGTAACAATTACAATACTATAATAGACACTATCCCCAACAATAAAGAAGCAAACTAACAACGAGATGAAGTACGCAACTGGAACTGACAACGCGATGACCTCCGGTATCAGCGGCCAATCCAATAACTCTAACAGTGCATCTAACGAGATGCAGCCCACCACATCCACGCCGACTGCAGTCCACAAGGAGGCCACACCCACAGCCAGGACGACGGCAATAAACGCCAATGGCAATTCCAATCTAAACACAAATCCCAACCAAAGTCAGCCGTCCAACGCGCTGTTCTGCGAGCAGGTGACCACAGTGACAAATCTCTTCGAGATGTGGAACGACTGCGAGCGGACCGTCGTGATGTACGCGCTGCTCAAGCGGCTGCGTTATCCGAGCCTCAAGTTTCTTCAGTATTCAATTGACAGTAATCTGACCCAGAACTTGGGCACCTCACAGACGAATCTTAGCAGCGTTGTCATTGACATCAATGCCAACAATCCAGTTTACCTGCAGAATCTGCTGAATGCCTACAAGACGTTCCAGCCATGCGACCTGCTAGACGCCATGTCATCTTCCTCATCCGACAAAGACTCGATGCCATGTTACGGCAGCGATTTCCAGATCACCACGTCGGCACAATGTGACGAACGGAAACTGTACGCTCGTAAGGAAGACATTCTGCATGAGGTGCTCAACATGCTGCCACTGCTTAAACCGGGCAACGAGGAGGCCAAGCTCATCTACCTGACCCTGATCCCAGTCGCCGTAAAGGACACCATGCAGCAGATTGTGCCCACGGAACTAGTGCAACAGATCTTCTCGTACCTTCTCATCCATCCAGCAATCACCAGCGAGGACAGACGGTCGCTAAATATTTGGCTGCGTCACCTGGAGGATCATATCCAGGCGGCGGCGGCGGGCCTGACTAATCGCAGTTACTTCCTGCAGCCCTCCCCGCAACTGGTCGCTGGTGGGAGCTCTACAGGCAGTGGTAGCTGTTCCTCTTCGGCAGCCAGCTCATCGACGGCCTCCTGTTCGTCAGTAGCCTCGTCCTCGATGTGCCCCGCAAGCGGCAGCCGATCCTCGCGTACCAACGACTGGCAGACGATTGCCCCGCCCAGCAAGCAGTTGCAGAACAAATTGGCCGGTGATTGGCGTGGAAGCGGAGGCGGCAGCTCCAGCGGGTCGATCAATCCACTCTGTGATAATCTCAATGGTATTACCCTGAACGAATTAGCTTCTAGTCAGAATAGTCTCGGCCTGTCGCTGGAGGGTAGCTCTTCGCTGGTCAACGGTGTGGTCGCCGGAGCGGGCTCTATGCTGGGGATCGGTGGTGGGGACGATCATGACACATCATTCAGCAAGAATGGCACGGAAATACTCGACTTTGACCCGGTCACGGCTGACATGGGCGAGGCCTGCAGTCTGGCTAGCAGCAGCCTATGTGGACGAGCAGGTGGAAATTCTGTAGACGATCGAGCGCAGAATCTCCAGCAGCAGTTGCTCCAACCGCCGCCATATGCCTCGATTCTTATGGGAAATGTTGGAGATCAGTTTGGAGAGATTAACCGATGGAGTCTGGACAGCAAGATTGCAGCTTTAAAGACCCGACGGTCCAACAGTCTAACTACGCAAACAATTTCCAGCTGTTCCAGCTCTTCCAATTCATCGGTGATAACGGTCAACGACAACTGCTCTAATTCCACGGAGAACCTGGCCCAGTTTGCCAACAAGCCGAGAAGCTTCTCCCTATCAATAGAACATCAGCGCGGGGCCTTGATTAACAGTGGATCCGATACGCGCCTGGATGAGTTTAAACCCAATTATATTAAGTTCCATACTCGCAATGTGGGCATGTCCGGAATTGGTCTGTGGTTAAAGTCTCTGCGACTGCATAAGTACATCGAGTTGTTTAAGAACATGACGTATGAGGAGATGCTGTTAATCACCGAGGACTTTCTGCAGAGTGTTGGTGTAACCAAAGGTGCTTCCCACAAGCTTGCCCTCTGCATTGATAAGCTGAAGGAGCGGGCCAACGTACTAAACAGAGTGGAACAGGAACTACTAACTGGTCAAATGAAGCTGAGCACCGCCGTCGAGGAGCTCACCAACATTGTACTGACGCCGATGAAGCCTCTGGAGTCCCATGGGCCTCCGGAAGAAAACATTGGATTGCGCTTCCTTAAGGTGATCGACATAGTGAGCAATACATTGCAGCAAGATCCGTATGCTGCCCAGGATGATGAGACACTGGGAGTCCTTATGTGGATTTTGGACCGCTCCATTCATAACGAGGCATTTATGAACCATGCCAATCAACTTAAGGACCTGAAGTTTAAGCTGTCTAAGCTGAAGATCTCTATGGTGCCGAAGATGCATCATGTTAAGCCAGCCGGAGTCGGACCGAGCAATGGCAATATCAACAAGCCGAGGTAAGTTTTAAACATCGCCTGCTAGTGTTTCTTTTTTTGTAATGTAATTTCAAAATATTTCTTTTTATTAGGTGGAATGGTAAGACTCGCAAGTGCGATCCAAAGAACGGCAGCAACGATAGGATTAACAATCGCAAGAACTCCAACGACATGCTGAACTTTTCGCTAAATTGTCTGCAGCACCCGCTGCCCCATCACTCGCAGCAGCCACCACCGCCTCTGCCGCAGTTTGACTACAATGGTTACGGCAGCGGTCCATCTCACCAGCCGCAGTATAAGAGCTCGTCGTACCCCAGCTTTATGGGTAATCCGCAACAGCAGCCGCCACCGCCGCCAAGCAAGTCGCACCATCATGCCCAGCAGATGCAACAAATGCTGCAGCAGCACAATCATTTTCCAGCGCTGCCTCAGCAAACGCCACCACAGTCGCATCGCCGGTCGCTGAATAATCTCATTCTGGTAGCCGGGGGCCCACAGCAGCCGCAACAATTGATCTTCAAGCCAGGTCAGGGAGTACTGACCAACAATGGATCCAACGACAACATAGTGATGGAGCGCAATCAGCAGCAGCAGCAGAGAAAACTGAGCGGAGGAGTGTCCAGTGCAGAGCAACAACCAAAGAAGACCATGGCCGCGGTTGTGATGGTTAGTAATCAGAATCCAAGTCAGGAGCAGCATGATCAGTCGCAAATTCTGATCAACAACAACAACAATAGCATGCTAAATAATAATTTGATTAATCAGCAACAGTTGCAACTGTTGGCAGCAGCTGCTGCCGCCGTGGGCAGTGGCAGCTGTTTGTGCTCCAATGGTGGTAGTGGTGTAACCGGTGGTGCCTGTGTCCACAATCTTTGTCACCAAAGCAGTAAGAACAACAACAATGCCGTTGATCATTGCCTGTCCCAGCCACCGCTAGTAAACTTGGGCATGTCGCCGCATGTCACCGAGTACAAGATGAATGACTTTAAGAGCCTGGAACAGCTCGAGACGTTGTGCCGCCAAATGACTGAACAGGCAATGAACTGAGCAAAGTTCTGAGCTGTCTAAGGGATTCGATTGCAAAGGCGTTAGATTTGTGGCTGCCAGCTGTTTTTGTGTTCACTTAGCTTTGAACCATGTTTAAAGTTTGATTTCATAACGAACATAAATGTTTTTATATTTAGCTTTGTAAGATCTTATCTATGTTTGTGTCGCGTCAAGTTGTCCACCCTGCGTCCCTTTCACAACCCGTTTTGTAATCGTTTTTACTTAGTAAGGCAGATAGTTTGTTTTAATGTTAAGTTTAATTAATTGTGTGCCAAGGCGCCCCTAAATATATGACCAGCTGGCCAGGTTCACAGGACTAACGGCTGGCCGTTGGACTTGTTGAACCCATGCTGTACTCCCCGTCGGAAATCCCCATGTCAGCTGGAAGCGGGGGCGTGGCATCTTACTGTCAATGTTATTAATGTCTAGGTTTCGTAAATGTTGTCGCCATTTGTGTAGTTAAACTAACATGCCAAGCCCAAAAACAAAAACACATCGCAAACACACAATACAGTAACTTCTCTCTACATAGGAAAATTTGGCCAAATTTGATCAACATTTTACGCTATTCTAATCCTAATCACACCATCAACTATATCAACGTCGCCAAATGAAAGAAAGTACCCCGCTAAATGACGACGAAAAAAGTTTATCTAGTAAAAATTATAAAATGAACTCTGCATCGTGACCATGAGACTGACTAAGATTACTTTTCGCAACTATTAAAAAAAAAACTAGAAAGAAGAAAGCTAGATGGAGAGGGAATTGAAAAGTGAGAATTGAGAATTGAGAAACGAGAGCTGAGAGTTGTTTGCGCGAATCAAAACTAGGCTTGCTGAATGAAGTAGTAGTCACATAATGGATATGTTTATATATACACGTACACATAATTTATTTTAAATTAAAAGGAACATATTTGCTGAATCGTAACTGCACCAGAAGAAATCGCAACACAGTGGAAACAACCACTAGACTAATCTTTAAGAGGAAAGAGTTTCAATGTTTCACTGTTTGTGTTTAAGAATCGGAACCACATATTGTATTTTGTATAAGTAAGCTTAAGCCAAACCCCATGTATTGCATACCTATCATGACCATCATTGTCATTGATTAGCCTATCTCTACTATTACTATTATGTTTGCTTTAGTCAATTGTTTATCATGTAAATGGCAAGCCAATCACTCGATATGTTATGTTTTAGTTGTTTTAAAAAAATTATATATATTTATATATACGAAATGTATGTCGCATCATAAGCTTAGGTTCAAAAACAAACGACGACGACGATGGGCGGAGCTGAAAAGAGAAGGCAGCCAAAAAATAACTACCATAAGAGCGTAAAAACGTGTAGTCTAATTGTAATTTAAACAAAAAAAAGAACGAACAAACGCATGTGTAAATCTTGCTTAGAAATGTTTTTGTTTTCTAATTTCTTGTCGATATTTCCAAACTACTTTTGTTAACAACTATAACAACCGCAACACTGTAAATCGCTGATGCTTTTATTTATTAATAAAGAAAAAACCTAATTTACGGCCAGTTGCGATACAGAAATAATTAAAATCTAATTGTCAAACTTTAGCGAGTTCAAAACGATCCACAAACTAAATGGTTTAATGTAAAGTGCAACTACTCGTAGACGAATGTGCATAAGTCAGTTAGATGTTCGCAAATTTATCAGAAAGCGAGCATAAACCAAGCGTGTACCTACCCACACATATACACACAAACAATACCTACATATATTTATTTTCAATAAATTATTTCGAGAATTAAAAATACCCATGCTGTTTGCCTAACAACCCAGGTTGCCATGCGTCTCCACTTTTGTTGTCCGGCGTAAAACAACTTCACACCGAGGCTAGCCTTCAGACACGCCACACGAAATTGTTGAAGCGATTTTCTATATATACTAGTTGAACTTTTCCGGAGCAAAAATTATTAGATTTACAGAATGAGCCGACATCGCTTCAATAACGTTCAGATCAAAGCTTTGCCCGGCGGTCTGATGCCCCACCAGGAGCCGGAAGCGGATGGCGGTCAGCCCAGTTCGCAAAAGCTGCCGATGTGGCCAAGCGAACGGATTGCCCCTGGAGGCGCTGGAGCCTTTCACTCGGCCAAGGTAGAATACAGCAAGGAGACTGCTGATCTGATTCGATGTAAGTGGGTAAACCTAGTACCTATAACCCTGGGATTTTGATCTGAGTGCATCTGGCGTTTAAAACATTTAACTACTACTTAGTGCTTGTTAAGGAGTCCAAGATGTCGATGATGGTACGCAAACAAATCGATGAGAGCCTGCGCAATGGAGAACCTTTGCCACTTCCCGAGCCACCGCGTCCGAATACAAAAAACGATCCCGACAAGGAGACATTGGCCATTTTGGACCGTGCTCGCAATGCCAAGCGGAAGAATCTTCGGCAGATCGAGGCGAGTGGGGCTTATAAGCAGAGCTACTACCGCCCTCCCGCCGACAACCGAATGCACGGCGAGAAGGCCAAGTCTCAGCTACAGTTCACCATGGCCGGCACTCATCTACCGGATCCAGCAATCAAGCCACGTCGACGTCCACGTGAAGAGCATTTAGTGACAGAAGAGGACCTTATAAACGAGCGTAAGTTTGATGCTTTCAGGAATCCAATAATCACAATTTACTTAATTGAATCTATGGCTATTTTCAGTGCTGGATCAAATTAACGAGCGTGCGGAATGGTTGACCGAAATGGAATCCATGGGCCAGGGTAAAAAGTATCGTCCGGAAATACGTGAGCAGATCGCCGAACGTCTGCGTCGCATTCAGGCGTTGGAATCTAAGATGAAGATGAAATCAGATGGTGGTTTCCGTTTTGTGGACTAAATGTGTTATCTGTTATCCACATTTTATGAGTTTCCTTGAGACGAGCACAATCCTATTTAATAAATTTCAAGATTCATTTAAATTTTGTGAGATTTTCTGTTAACACTCGATTAATAAATAGCTTTATTTAACTTATTTGCATTCGTATAATTTGGATTTCGTAAAATTTCCTTTTGATCTGGCACATATTTAATACACACGCATTGTAACAATATAAGAAGCCCAAACGCAAGCACTTTCGACCTCGGATTTTGGCAAAATGAGTATAAAGTACAATGTTAAAAATTCATAAGGTTTAATTAAAAATACCGAATAAATTACTGGATTATAAGTATATGTGTATATAGAATATACGGCTATATATATATCTGGACCTACGCACTACACTTTGTATATATATATATGCACGCATCTGTTAGTTCAAAGAGTAATGTTCCTCTATTCAAAAATAGACTTTTGTGACCTCAGCTTGTGCTCAACCTCGGATTCAGGGGGTGGTATATTTTAGCACGACGGCATGTGGCACCGGAATTCGCTAGCCGCCTCCGCAAAGCGATTCCGGATTAAGTATCCGCTAATTACTTCGGCTACTTCGTGTGGACGGTCCTCGTGCACGGCATGTCCGCAACGGGCTAGAACCTGCATTTGGAAGCGGCCCTGCATTTGGCCAACGGTCAGGGTGCGGTCCAATCCATCGATGCTGGCCAGAAGCAACTGCTTGGGCACACGCAAGTTGAGGAACTTCTCGCTCAGGCCCGAGAACCACCCCACCCAATACTTCTCTGACTTGGACAGATCAATGCGCCAGGTGTAACTAAGGAAAGTATTACAAAGTAATTAATTAATCGTTTAAATATAAAGTAAACACATTCGTACTTTTTGGCTGCTTCGGTCATTGATTTGGTCGTGACGGGTTTCTTAAAATCCGCGCCAGCTGAAGCACCATCTGCGGTGCCATCGGCGGAATCATCGCCCGGCGGCGATGATTCTTCATCTTCTGAAATGCTAAACGGATTGGGAAACATGCTGTTATGGTGCGCCTCCTCAAGCACTTCGTCGGGTAGTGGCAGATCATTCGTTGCAAGTTTGTTCGTTGTACAACTGGATAGGATTTAAATAGTTATAATTTTTGTAAAAATAATTAGATTGTTGAACTCACTTGATTATCTGACCGGGCATGGACACTTTAGCACTGTCCACATTACGCACCTGGCCGCTACGGATGCACCATTCGATAGCATTGGGAATACTCTGAAAATACTTTGGACGGGAGCGCAAAAAGCTCTGCATGCTGGCCAGTGCTTCCATGGCAGTGCCCTCCACAACGTCGATGACGGTTATTCCAATCAAATTAGGCACCAAAGCCATGTGGGCGAAGTGGACAGCTATAGCGCCGCCCATCGAATGTCCGACGACAAAAAGCTGCGGAACTTCCTCAGGATACAGCTTCAAGATTAAATCAGCTATGTCCCTGTAATTTTAATAGTTTAAGAATGTATTAAAAAAATTTGTATTTTACATTAATTATAAATAATTAATAAACTCATTTGAGCAAATATCATTGAAGTTGTATGATTAACCTCATTAAAAGTTGTGTGCGCTATTTTTATATACAAAGATATTATGCAAACTCCGCCCAACCGTTTGTAGAAATTTTGTTATTTAAATGTTATATGGAGAAATACGACGATATAAAAACACTTACTTTGCCAGAGTATCCGCCGAGAGATCGTCCTCGTCGTCCACTTTGCTGTCACCGTGGCCGCGCATATCGATGCACAGGCACTGGCAGTGGATCATGCTGGTCACCTCAGACTTTAATTGAGATAAAAAACGAATTAGTCTTTCATTTCCATAAAAAATCAGAGAGTTACTAACGCAAAAGTGGGCCCAGGTGAGGGCCGAATAGCCACCACCATGGAGCAGGAGAAGCACTGGAAATGCCGGCTTCTCTGGTTGCTTAGTGCGATAGACTCGAAAGGTACGCTGCTCATCCACTGTGACGTCTTCCTTCTCCGCGAAAAACTCGTTCCACATGCCAGGTTTGTAGTCGCGGATGCGCGACTTCTTGAACGAGTCCCTGCAATTAGCCAAATTGGGTAGAGATTGCGTACTACCCCCATTCCAGAATCTTGCACTTACGCTCTGCCAATACGCCCGCCAGGAATTGTGGGTGGCAGCTTGCCCTTCAATATCGTGCGCTGTAAACTCGACATCGATTCGATTGTCTCCGCAGTGGGGTCAACAGGTGAAGTTCCTACAGTGCAGGTGCAAGTGGAATATCGCACTGTTGTTGCTCGCAAATGACCGTTTTCAAATACAAATAAAATAGTTCCAACAAATACAATACAATGATGTGATGCGGAGTTGCCAGATGTTATCGGAACGACTTTAGCCAAATTATGTTTGCAGCCCTGATTTTCCCTTCACTGAGAGCAGAATAAAACTGACAAGACATGGCAGCATCGTTTCAAGATCTTTTCTTGGCAATGCCTTTTTCTGACAGCGCTTTTAACGGCAAATATTTCAAACTTTTAGTTAAATTAAATTGGTTTTTGCTAGTATTAACAAAAAGCTACTATAAATAGTTGAACGGTTCGATTTTTACAAATACATTTATTTATTTATTCGAGTAAGGGTACAAAATGACGTAACACGAATTCGAATGACAATCGGTTGGTAATAAAATTGCTAAGTGCTGTATTTGGGTACTTATAAGATATTCCGAAAGTTTGGCTTATTAATTTAACCACTGTGAACTTGAACCTTATCAGCCACTTTACACTAACGGCATAATAATGATTAAGGATTAGGATTTAGTTAAGTGGAAACCCAAAACCACTCAGTGCTCAGTTGCTCAGTTGCTTGATGGAACGCGACGTGCTCACACCGAAAACTAGAACTCTACTCTGATAACGAAGGCCTGAGAATAACCGCCAAGTTGTTTTGACCTCATATAGAGAAAGATAAGACATTATTGGGTACGTATTGGGAGAAGTGAAAAAATCTTAACCATGTTTATATCTATGTTTGTATTGGTATGTTAACAAATATAAGCTTAGTTCTGTTTATTTTTATTGTGTGGCTTTAAGATAAGCCAGAAGCAATATATCGATCAATAAATTGTTGAGTTCGTGTGGTGCAAAGTTAAAAGACAATTTGAAGGTAAAGTTGTGGGTTAGATTAAAAAACAAATCCTAAAAATAAGTTTGGTTGGCTTGGAACATTTAAATCCCTTTAGCTTTTTAAGGGTTAAAGACTGCGCTTGCCTGGCAACTCCCCAATAGCAGCTGTTTTTAGCGCCATCTCGTTCTCACATGCCCTTCCTTTGCATTTACCGGCAGAAATTGCACTTTTGCACTTGTTTTTTCCAATTAAGCGGTCAAATTGGCGTCAATCTAATGTTTTAGTGACTCTGAAACCGCTTCCCCAACTGATAAACGGAATGTTAGTTCATAACTTTGTGTGCTAATAGGTATTTTGACATTTTGATAAGGTGAGATTGGTTGATAAGCTAATTTTTGCACAACCACAGGTACAATTATTATTGTGTTGTTATGGCTATTTGTTTACGTATGTAAATTTGTTTTTGCCCATAAATTTAGATTAACCAGTTGCGACACGTTTACGGTTCGTCGACTGCGAAAATAATGTCTGTTATTAAAGTTTTACCAGCTTGCAGGTGAACATGACTGCCAACGGGAATGGAACTGCTCAGGTTTTGGGAGTAGGCATCGAAATCGTGGCGCAACAGAAGCTTCAGCCGGAATCCAAGATTTATGGGCGCGTGCAACAACTACGCGCGTTTTTTAAACAGCAGTTTGGGGAGGATCCAGAATTTATCGTTCGAGTTCCTGGCAGGTGAGTGTTCCTTGTTGATAATACAAATTAATAGCCGCCAACTAATAATATTTATCCAAAGAGTGAACATCATAGGTGAGCATGTAGACTACTGTGGCTATTCGGTATTGCCAATGGCTGTTAGCCAGAGTATCTTTTTGGCCGTGTCCAAAAATCCAGATGACAACCAACTGCAGCTTCGGAATCTGGAGGAGACCAAGTTCCAGGGCTATGATGCAGACCTTAAAACGCTCAAGTAGGTGATTCACATTATGATAATTAAAGCACATACCCAGATACTTGTATGTATTTTTCTAAACATTTAATTGTGCATGAAATCATTTCATATATATACAAATTCTAGAATTGAACTACCAAAAAGTGGAGGACCAGCGTGGTACAATTACTTCCTTTGCGGGATCAAGGGCATTCAGGAGAATCTCGGCAGTCAGTGGAAACCAATAGGAATGCGCATAGCTGTGGACGGCAATGTGCCCTTGGCTGCAGGGCTTTCCAGTTCGAGTGCCATGGTCAGCTCTGCTGTCTTGGCCACCGCCCACGTCCAGGGCAAGAAGTTGGATCGCAGGGAGTTGGCTTCGATATCAGCGAAGTGTGAGCAATATATTGGTACTCACAGCGGTGGTATGGACCAGGCCATAGCCTACTTGGGAAGAATAGGCTGCGCGCACCACATAGAATTTCATCCCAAGCTCAAGGGTACTCCGGTGACATTGCCTGCGGGCAAGTGCTTCGTTGTGGCCAATAGTTTGGCGCAAAAAAATAAGGCAGCTTCGTCTGACTACAATGAACGTGTGGTGGAATGCCGACTTGCCACTCGATGGTTGGCCAAACGTAAGGGTCTTATCAACTGGCAGGACATTTTACGCTTCATAGATCTGGAAGAGGCCTGCCAAATGGATAATGCAACATTTGAAAAATTGATTAAGGATAACTTGACTAAGTCCAACTACACGAGAGCAGATATATGCAAGGAGCTGGGAATCACCGAGCAAGAATTGGAAACCAAGTTTCTCTCGGCTAACACACGGCACATGGAGCAGTTCAAGCTACGTCAACGTGCGTTGCACGTCATTCAGGGTAAGTTAATGCATCACAATCGGCATTTGAGATTTTATCAGAAACATTTTTCAAAAGTTTTAGTTCCTGGCTTTGCACATGATTTTAATGAATTGATCACCAATAAATAATTACAGTCGATTAATAAGGCATTGACATTAATTTGTTATTAAGCGATATGTAATTGATTTAAAATCGTAAAAAATATTTATCAAACGTAAGATCAGTTTATAATTTAGTGTCTTACTTTTCAGAATCCGGTCGCGTAGCAAAATTCCGAAAGATTTGCGAGGAACTCGCCGCAGGACCAAACAAGGATGGTGCCAAGCAGCTGGGCGAGCTCATGAGGCAATCCCACGAGAGTCTGCGGGAGCTTTACGAATGCTCCCATCCAGATGTAGAGCGTCTTATAACCATATCCAACGAGCAGAATGTCAGTGCTCGAGTCACAGGAGCTGGGTAAGTGTCCTCAAATCCATGTAGTTCTCTAAACTAACAATGATTTTCTATTTTTAGGTGGGGTGGTTGCATAGTAGCAATGTGCGATTCCGTTGAAGCGGCTGACGATTATATCAAGGCTTTAAAGCGTGATTACTATGCCCAGTTGCCAGCTCATCTCCTGGAGCGTTATCAGCCAAACAACTTCAGCGAAGTTGTCTTTGCCACTCTACCAGGAAACGGAGCCGAATTATTTATACAGTAAAAGTTTCTCTAGCATTTTAATCCAATCTGTATACCAAAAGCATCTGTCAGTCACTATAATCATTTATAGAGAAATCATTTAATATGTATGTACAATATATTAACAATTTACAAGCTAAAATACAACAAGGCACGTGGGAAACGGAACTAATCTGGGTACGACGGCAGGTTTTAGATTTCTATCTGCGATTCAGATAGCCAGCGTTCTTGAACAGCTTGTAGACCTGTTCCCGTGGAATTTTCTCAGCTTCACGATGCACGACGGCATTTTCCTTCTTCGTCAGAAGGGATTCCTTGGCCAGATTGGCGGCGATCACGGGATTATTATAGAATCTCGCACTTTTTGATAGTTCAGCTGGTAACTCTGACTCCCACTGGGCATTTCGGACCACCGAAGGATGGGCATCGGCTGTGGCATATCCTTGGTACGGATTGGCCGGTTCATATGAGTGCGCAACGGGCAGACCCAATCCCTGGTGGTAGAAGAACTGAGCCCGTACCGAACTCATAGCCAGAATTAGGCATCCAGCGAGCAGCGTTACTTGGCAGGCGGTCAGCATGATTGTCTACAGGAGGGGAGAAAAGGAGCAGGAGCTGGCATTATTGTCTAACGTTCTAATAAAGCGATACGGACAGATTTATTGCCGCTGGTCAGTGGCAGTTTTTAATCTACAAGTCGGCTGTCAGTTTCGTGCGTCATAAATTATGTACGGGAAAATCAATTATCGCATATGGCCAATGGAGTGGGCAGCGCGGAGATCTTGGCTCAGACTCTTACAGTTGCTAATCCGTGAACTTTTTTGCAACTGGAACTGGACTGGCTTTTTTATTGATAAGAATTGGACTGGCCGCGAATTGAATGGCGAGCTTTAATTGTCAAGCGTAGAGTGCTCCAATTTGGTCTGAACAAAGCAATCAAAGCTTGATATGTAAGTACAGTGGTTTGGTTGAAATCGTTTAAGCCTTAGGTAAAATGTGATCATTTTGAAGATTATTTAATTTTGAGAAATAAATTCCGTTGAGAAATAGGATTAAAGATACAAATTTTACGTTTTATATATAAGGAACTTTTTTGAACTTTTGAATTTTTAGGAGCGAACTTTAAACGTTTTCCCTGAAATAATCCTTGGATAGATGACATTGGTTGAAAGTCATATACACTTTCTATTTGTTAATTATCACACCCACTGTTCATGCAGGTTCACTCTGACTATGCGCCATTAAATGCATTTACATATTCCAAGTCCAATTTGATAATTTGATTTAGCCAAAGTCAAGGTTACGATCCCACACACCTAAATGAGATTTCGGTTCTCCAAAGCACCCACTCTCGCACAGCACACGACACTCACTTTGATATGGACTTATTTCAGGGGCTAATCCTCGGAGAGAAGCACTTCAAACGAAACTGGAACACCTGGGCCTGGGTGAAGTTGAGACTGTAAACTGATCATAGAATATCGAGGCGGCGAACTTTTATTCGCTTGCCGTTGAATGCCACAAAAACGAGTTGAACTCAAGCTTGTGAGTCAACCGATTTCAAATCCCGCTCAAAGTCGCTTCTGAGCACCGAGAATGAGTCAAGTTTTTCAGCTGGCTGCTTTACATTTTATTAAATTAATTATGGTCGGAACGGTGCGGAGTGGAGTGGAGTGGTGTGGACTGCAACCTGGTACAGACTGACCTAGGCCTAGGCGCTGAGATCGGGCAATTAAAAGCAATGATATCTGTCTCCGTTTCTCATGCTCCATAAAAGTGCCCCCCAAAAAAGGTCGGATTGCCAGCCGGCAGTGTTACGCATGGCAAAAGTCGCACAGATATATTTGTGCACCAAATATACTCGGAAAAATACATTTTACAATATTCCGGAAAAAAAATGTACAACTGAATTGGCTTGATTATCAAATTGCTCATTAATCAAGAGCACAGAAAGAAATATTTTCATTAGAAAATAATTTTAATATTATAATTTATAACGTGTAGACTTATTACAACTAGCACCTTTATAGTGAATAATCGTACATCCTTGACTATTGGACTGAAAAAGCTTATACACATGATTGAAAAACCCAAAATCTTAGACAATTACAATTATTATTACCCCCTTTTTTGTTCACTGTATAAGTAGTAGTAGCGATTACAATGATTGACAAGTTTGCTTAGAATCCATGTCCGACTCAATCTGAGCTCTGTGCGATTTTGAAAGTACCGATTGACCCTGAATTTAATGCTGAACCAGTAGAGTCTGAAATTCGAGTCGAGCTCGGTGGCTGCACATGTTTGACCCTAATTTGCCACGGGTGTCGGAGTGTCGGTAATATCTGGGGTTATTCAACCGATCACTTAAGGCGGAAGCATTACCCAGAGTTACCCGCACTGGATATTTGGCATAATCACCCAACGGATTGCAGCCTTGAACTTTCCCGATCTCAGGTGCGTATCTTGGCCTGCGATAGGTATTTACATTGTTCGGGTTTCGACTTCGACTTGGCCGCGTCTCTGGGAGTGGTCTCTCATTTATTGGCCGTGGCAGATTTGATATTTAATTAATGGCCATTTAGTGGCTTTGTTGATGCATATTAAATAAACAAATTGCCTGGCCCCTGCATTGTTGGCTGCGGCCAAAGTTAATGAGCTTGGTCTTTGAACTTTATTAGGCTTTGTCTACGGCTACGTGACCGAAAATTCGGAGGAACTCTCAACGGCTGTAAGTCGGATGTATTGCCATGAGAAATGTTAATAACAAATTATTAATTCCCATCTTTTGGCTGTATGGTTGAACTTCTTAAATAAGATATCTTATTTTTAAATTTAAAGCTTAAAGTTAGCTGAAAATAAAACCAGAGATGTTAATTAACATGTTTTAAATTGCCGAGCAGCCACAAAATGTAAATAATTTATGAAAAATATTATTATTAACCTGCATCTAGGCGTTCAAAAAATGCAAATTGGTTGTTATTAATAACTTAATAACTAGATCAGTTTCCATCGAGGCAATAAATATGCTAGTAATAACTGGAATTCTTGGTTGGTTTCACGTTACCGAGGCGATACTGTGTGTTTTTCTAAAAAATGAACCCCTTTTATTATGTGTTTGCTTTGATTTTCATGCGCATTGCCTCGACCCACACGCAGCGCCTGCCAAGGACGGCCAATGCAATTTCAAGTGCACGAATTGGTGGGCCAATGCAAACTACTCTCGGCCGACACGGCGTATGAGCAACATCCGCTTTGGCGGGGCAGCGCATTAAGTATACGCACCCGAGTCCGAGTCGAGTGAAAGTGCTGTGAGGTGACCCTGAACGAGAGTAACGCCTGCCACCTCCTACCGGCTTTCAAAATGCAATTTCAAATTTAGAACTGAACGACATGCGAGAGAACTGAGAGACTTGCCGATTCTCATTTCGATTCTCACTACCATTTTGGTTCTCTTGTGAGTTCCCATTGCACTTGGGCTGCCAGTCGATGTTTGGCAGTTCGACGGGCGGTTGGTCTGTCGCGTTTTTGCACACTTTTCGCATAGGTGTGCTATAACCAAAGTTTTACCCACTTCTTAACCAGCGGAAATTGTATAATAATTACGGAAAAATACTGACCTGGACTCAATTTGGATTTGTGTCAGTGCTAGAAAGAAAATGCTGCAGCTGCAGAAATCTATCGTGGCTAGCAAAAGATTTGGCAACAGCCTTCCATTCAGAACCATTCCCCATCGGGCAACCAAGTGAAGTGGATAAAATGGCTTTGGCAGCGACCCCAACAGCAGGACCTTCGCATGGCGGCTTGGCAATGACCGTGAATTCGGCCGGTGGCTATGATAGTATCAATCAATACGAGGAGAATGCCGAGCACCTACGACAGCTGTTCAGCCAGAACAAGCTGGTGTCCTTTAGCATTGCCCATATCGCTTGCTCCGCGGGCAGCAGCAGTGGTGACAACTACATGTCGGTGGTGAAGCGAGTCACCATTACCCAGGCGCCAGACAAGGAACTGGACCAGGAGCTAGCCAGAAGTGAAATTGGTAAACGATTACCCAGCTTGAGCGCCAGGCGCCATTAAACTCATCTCATTGATTTTCTCTTTAATACCCTACCATGTATATATTTTTAAAGGTAGTTCCCATTTTTGGATTCTTTTGTTGTCCCATCAATATTGACTGATTTTTAATTATTTTGCAATGTAATTAATAATTTAATATGGATTTATAGTTATAGTTATGGTAATGCTGAGATCTGAAAAAGGGTATATATTATTCAATCATCAGCACTAAGTAATAGATGTTTGCTTTTGTTTGCCCCGCTGAGCGGCGGCGTCGAGTGAGTTGACCTTGTTGCACGCATTCTAAATGCATTGCACCCATACACCCAGGCGTGTACGTAATATAGATTTGCTAAAGGTCAGCACGCACACTTACACACCCGTGAGAGAGAGAGGAGCAATGAAAAAGAGCTGCCGCTTCGCTCTCACGCACGCAAGGCCACCGCCAATTCATTCATAAATATAAATCTTTGCCAGCGACGTAAACAAAAGTCAGCTGTTTACCTCTGCCGCTCTCACAGTTTGTTTTGCTCGGCGTTTCCTCCCCCCAACATCCCCTTTACAATCTTTCCTTACACAGAAAGAAACATTCACAAGAAATCGCGTCAATTGGATGTCTTAACTTACGTCAGTGCTAACATATTTTTTCCCTGTATAGTCACGGTCATCGTCAAACGGCAAATTGCTAGTCTATCACGCCGGCAGCTCTACAGGTGCGAGGAGGCCTTCAGCAACGAGATCAGCGCCTACAGACATTTGACGCCTCTCCTAAACGCCCACAGTCGGCATCAGCTCTTTCCGGTGTGCCACATAGCGGAGAGTCAGGATCGAAGGGATCCCGAAGGTGGAGAGCCGATCATCGTACTGCAGGATCTTAAAGCCTTGGGTTTCCGCATGAGAGATCGTCTGGCGGGATTGGAATTAAATGATTGCCTCCTGGTTATGAAGGTGAGATTGGGTGTGTGAAATCTCCCGCATCAGGTAATTATATTTGAATTTTTTTTTAGAAATTGGCTCAACTGCATGCTGCCTCGTTAGCCGCTAAGGAACTGGAGTCCCCTTCTTTCGAGTTAGAAGCAAAGCACCTCCAGGAGATAGTCTACTGCGATGAGGCGACAGACTTCTATGCCACCATACTGGACACCTCGGTTCAGCAGGCTCTGGAGAGTCTAGGTGGTTCCAATGTAGACGACAGTCTGACCACACCGATTCGTTTGCTTGAAGAAGTCCGTACAAATTTGTTTGGAAAACTAAAGCACGAGATTAATGCCACTGCGGAGGCTCCGAATAGTGTGATTTGCCATGGTGACTTGTGGGTGAACAACATTATGTTCCGCTCTGAGCCAGAGGAGGTGATCTTTTTCGACCTTCAGGCCATGCGCCGGTCCTCGCCCGTTTTTGACATTCTTCACTTTATATACACCAGCACGAGAAGGAATCTAAGGGACGTACACACGGATACTCTGCTGGCAGCCTATTCCGAAGCTCTTGGCCAGGAACTAAGACATCAACTGGGCGATACACCTGCTGCTGATAGGGTAGAGAACCTATGCGACGCATTTTCTCTGCAGCGTCTTAGTGCGGAGTACGTGCGTCAAGTGCACTACGGTCTGGCAATCGGGATGTGGATCCTACCCGCTGTAACCTTCGATCCGGACAACCTACCCAATTTGGACGTGATGAGTGAACAGAATCTAACGGGTAAGGAGATCAAATGCACCCAAACGCTCACATCCGAGTATCATCTGCGCATTCGGGAGCTCGTGATGGAGTTCTACGAACTCGGCTATCTTCAAATGGGAGAGTAAAACTCGAACAAGTATTCATAGTCATGTAGTGATAGAATTAACCTATAAACTCTAAAGTTTGCAATAAATAGATAATAGATTTGCCCTTGAGGAACTATAGCTCTCTCTTGAAGGTTCCTTTATTACCGAATAATTGTTCACATTTTTAACTTACAAAAGTTTCGTAGAAAAAACAAATCTGGCGGGGTAAAAGCCAAAACAAATAACTTATAAAGAATGGACATACCGCATGGACATGGATCTAAAGGCTTTATAAGTGTAACATGGTTGCTTGGAATTCCGGAAAAGTGCTTCATGGTGGTTAGTTTCTTTCTCACTTGTTGCCGCCGCCACCCCATCCAAGGAATCCCTTGACAAAACCGCTAATCGAAGGGCCTTTTTTGCCGGGCGATTCCAGTTTGTCTTCCAGCGAGGGCAACTCAACATAGTTCATGGCCAGGTCAAAGAATAGCGGTTTGCAGGGTATGGGTTCCATTTCGGGGGTCAGTTTGAACACATTGGGTGTCTTGGTGTGCAGAGACTGGTCCTCCTTGTACAACGACAAACGTTCATACAAAGGTTTTGTGGTCTTCTGTGACTTGGTGGTAGTTCCGGCTTCCTCACTATTGTCATCCTCCAGCACACTGTACGCATGTGCGGAGAACTTGCAGCCCTCGATAGCGGACACGACCTTTTTGAGCTCGTCCTGAAGCTGGAACTCCGGACTAGTCTTGCCCTTCAGCGCCTCATTGGCATAGTTGGATGCACGTTCGTAGAGCGCCACAGCCTCTTTCCACTTCTTCATGTCGATCAGTGTGAGAGCAATATAGTAGCAGCGGAAGGCCTTGAAGGTGACGGCCAGGTTCTCCACCTCACTCTGATACTTGACGTCGTCCTCTAAGCCGGCAATCTGCTGCATTTCCGTAACGTTCTGCAGAATAATTTCGTAAAGGCGGGCCAGATCTTGGGATCGCACGCGCTTGCCGTCTCCCACATTCTGTTGAGACTGCTGGTTGGGATCGTCGAAGTTAAGCTTGGCCTATCCAAGTAAATTGAGTTTTAAATAAATCATGTTTAAACATTTATTTATGTGCTTACCTGTTCCACGAGGCACAGATTACGCTGCAGCGTTCGGCTGTGGCGAATGTAACTTAAATAAGCCAGTAGATATTGCACGCCAGATACGGTCTGTCCGGTGGTTAGAGATCGCAGCTTGGGATCCTGTTTGATTTCATCGCGGACTGCCTGGATGGCGTCCTTGCAGTCCATCAGAATGCGTTCTATTAACTCTATCTTAGCATCCGGCTTTGTGGTCTTGGCCAGCGATTTGTCTAACTCCTGAGCACTGAGCAGGAACAAACGAACCTTCTCCGGACGCACAGTAACCTTGCGACCGCGCCAGTCGATCGTCTGCAGGCCCTCGCTGCTTTCCGTTTTCGTTTGACTGACCAGAACATCAAGATTTTCGAGAACTCCCTGAGCGCGCAGCTCTAAAATCTCATCAATCTTACCACCACTGGCACCACCGCTGATGTTGTAGGCGCAGTAGCGTAGATTGGGCGTGAATTCATTGACTTTGGCGCGATAAAGTTCCTGCTCATCATCGGGCAGTGCCTTGGCCAAATTCTCGTATACAACCTGGGCGCGCTTTAAGTGTTCGCCAGCAGATTTCCACAGCTGCAGCTCAAAATGCAGGGTTCCATGCATCCAGGCCACGTAAGCCTCGCACTCCAACTTGGTGCGAGCGTCAAAGGCCTCAGTCTAGAAGTTAAAAATGAATTAAGCTCAATACGAATGAATATTAATAAGGTGTAGAAACTTACATTGCACAACTCCTGCAGCTGAAGTGCGTAGAAACAAGCCCTCCGCAGCTTGTTGATCAGGTGGAAGCGCTTTCGCTGCTCCGTATTAGACTCCTGCTTGAGCTGCATGGCGTATGCCCAGGCGCGTTCGGCACTGATCAGTGGGATGTGGATAAAGCGCTCGTCGGCCTTCTTGCCTGTCAACTGGCCAATGGTCACATCGCGTCGCTTGAAATGACGCTTGTCGCCCTGTGGATACTTTAGTGCCTTCCTTAACCGGCGGATACGGCGCGTGCAGTAGCCCCGGTACCTCTGGAAATCACCGTGTCGCAAACCGTGCTGCTGCTGGGCATCCTTAATCATGTGCAAAACTGCAGGGGGAGTGAAAGTTTAGTGCATTAGCATACAGACTTTTAGGTTAAAGGGAGCAGAGCGTCTCGGCCACCTGGCAGTGAGGTGCGGTCCGCTTGATCACTTACTCTCCACCGTGAAGATCTTGGTTGGCTCTATAGCTGCTGGAGCACTCTCCGTCTTTTCCTGAACGTCCCCAATATTGGGATTATCCTCTTGGACTACCATTTTTTAACAAGTCGACGCAAATCAACGACGTGTAAAAATTAGTGATGGAAAACGATTGGGAATGTCAAAAACACTGTAGTGTCGATATTAGCAAGGATGGTTCATGTGCAAGATATATCGGCATTTGAAAGGTCTATTTTATAAAGCCGTATCCAAAATAAAATTTTAAAACTTTACATATATATATATTCAAATAAAAAGTTTAAAAAATGTTATCCATTTTTACATTAAATACAAAAAATATAGCAATCCATGCTGAAATCGATAGTTCTGGTAGACCATCCCTATTCGTAGTAGTGTTGAGAAACTCATCAAAACTCCCCCCTTTTGAAACTTGTTGGCTGACACGCAAGAGCGTGCGTTCCGTCTGTTTTAGAACTATTTCGGCCAAGTTTGCAGGTAAAATTAATAGATATTAGTACTCTGACAACGAAAAAGTGAAGAACAAGGCCTGCCACGATACAGGCATTAAAAATTCTCCGTGAAAAGCACTTGTTTTGGCCACGCTTTGAGGTTATACTTTCACTCACAGGCGAACGCAGTCACCGCACCCTGCCCTCCGTCAACAAGCGGTGCACCAGATTTGTTTTGACGGCCGGGGATGGTGATTTGCAACGTTGACAGTGAACTGATTACAATATAGATGTCTGATCAAATAGACCGTAGCCAATTCTGATTAATTTTTCACTTAATTACCCACAGCATGTCGCGCAGAACAGAAAAGGAGGAGGTGGACAAGCAGACGCGTATTGCCATCGTCAGCGATGACAAGTGCAAGCCAAAGCGGTGTCGGCAGGAGTGCAAGAAGACCTGCCCCGTGGTGCGCATGGGCAAGCTCTGCATTGAGGTGACGCCCACCTCCAAAATAGCCTCGCTGTCCGAGGAACTGTGCATCGGTTGCGGTATCTGTGTCAAGGTGGGTCAGCTTGCAACAGCTTTGTAATCTCTTAACTTACCCCTTTATCCTACATTCCAGAAATGTCCATTTGAGGCCATCACAATTATCAACTTGCCCAGTAACCTGGAAAAGCACACAACGCATCGGTACAGCAAGAACTCGTTCAAGCTGCATCGTCTACCCATTCCGCGTCCCGGTGAAGTGCTTGGTCTAGTTGGACAGAATGGTATTGGCAAGTCGACGGCTTTGAAAATTCTCGCTGGTAAGCAAAAACCCAATTTGGGAAAGTACGCAAACCCGCCCGACTGGACTGAGATTCTAAGCTATTTCCGCGGTTCGGAGCTGCAAAACTACTTCACCAAGATTCTGGAAGACAACCTGAAAGCGCTGGTTAAGCCGCAGTATGTGGATCAGATTCCCAAAGCGGTTCGTGGCGCTGTCGGTGATCTGCTGGACAAGAAGGACGAGAGGGACCTGCAGACCAAGATATGCGAGATGTTGGACCTATCGCATATCCGGGATCGTGAGATCGCCCAGCTCTCTGGTGGAGAACTTCAGCGTTTTGCCATTGCCATGGTTTGCATACAGAATGCTGATATCTTCATGTTTGACGAGCCGTCCTCATATCTCGATGTTAAGCAGCGTCTCAACGCTGCCTTGACCATTCGATCACTTCTGCACCCCACCAAGTAAGTTGAAAATCGTTTAATTTCTTTTAAGAACAACTTTAAAATATTTTACTTTTTCAGGTTTATTATCGTGGTGGAGCACGATTTGTCGGTACTGGATTACTTGTCCGATTTTATCTGCTGCCTTTACGGAGTTCCCGGTTGCTATGGTGTGGTCACTATGCCCTTCTCCGTACGCGAAGGCATTAACATATTCCTCGATGGTTTTGTCCCCACTGAAAACATGCGTTTCCGAACTGAGTCACTGACTTTCAAGGTATCCGAATCGGCTACGGAGGAGGAGATCAAGCGCATGAACCACTACGTATATCCCGCCATGGTTAAAACCCTCGGCAAATTCGAGTTGACGGTGGAAAAGGGTCACTTCAGTGACTCTGAGATCCTCGTGCTTCTCGGCGAGAACGGTACGGGCAAGACAACGTTTATCCGCATGTTGGCCGGCAACCTGCAGCCCGATGGCGAGGTGGAACTTCCCATGCTCAATATTTCGTACAAGCCGCAAAAGATTTCCCCGAAATTCCAGAACCATGTGCGCCATTTGCTGCACGACAAAATACGCGATGCTTACGTGCATCCGCAGTTCATTGCTGATGTTATGAAGCCAATGAAGATCGAGGAGATCATGGACCAGGAGGTGCAGAACCTCTCTGGTGGTGAGTTGCAGCGAGTTGCCTTGGTTCTGTGCCTGGGCAAACCAGCGGATGTCTACCTCATCGACGAACCCTCTGCTTACTTGGATTCGGAGCAGCGTCTGGTTGCCGCCAAGGTTATCAAACGGTACGTTTTATCTTGACTTCAAATTAGCATACAAAAATAATGACAATATTCTATTTTAGATACATTTTGCACGCAAAGAAAACTGGATTTGTGGTAGAGCACGATTTCATCATGGCCACCTACCTCGCCGATCGTGTCATTGTTATCGAGGGTCAGCCTTCAGTAAAGACGACGGCTTTCTCGCCGCAGTCTTTGCTAAATGGCATGAACCGCTTCCTCGAACTCCTCGGCATCACCTTCCGTCGCGATCCCAACAACTTCAGGCCCCGCATCAACAAAAACAACTCGGTCAAGGATACGGAACAGAAACGTTCTGGCCAGTTCTTCTTCTTGGAGGACGAAGCTTGTAACTAAATCAAGATTTCCTTTTGTTCTCTCCAGCTCTCCTTCGTTCATTTTGCATTCTTTGGTCGAAAACACACACATTTGCTTTCAGTTTATTTTGTTATTGTTGTCGAAGATTACGTACAATCAAAAAATGGGGATAAATTGTACTTGATTAAAGTGAGTTTTATATACGTTTTTACAGCGAAATAAATAGTAAACCCAAACAACAGAAGTCAATGTTGTCTTAAATGAGTCTAGCAAAAATAAACAAATTTTCTTTATAAAAAACTCAAATGAAGTGTTTTTTCTGAAATATGAAATTTAAAATATTTAAAAGGATCTCCAACGATTAAAAACACGGCTGACATCTGCAAATTAACACGTATTTATTGCACTTAAGCGATAATTACACAAAATACGCACAATAGAAATGTAAATATGAATATAAATTACATACAAATTTCTGTCATTTCAAATACGATCACAATTGGAAATAAACACAATGGATAACAGCTGCAAACATTTATGAGTGTATAATTTACAATATTTGTTTATGGATATACTAACGCATGCACAGCATAATTGTTAATATAAACGCTTTTGAAGCATTAAATTTATGCGATTTAATCAAATGTACATATAAATTTTCGAAAAAGGCAAATCTTTTGAATTTTTAATACTAAATTTGATCTGTGGCTTGAAGACCACTAAATAACTGACACAAGTAAGTACTATAAATAGGTGATTCTGGAGACTTATGCGCTACAAATTCCATAAAAGTAAATGCGTCAAAAATTGACTCAAATATTTGATATTTGCTGTTTGCAGTTTCAATTTTTGAATCTAAATCTGAGTCTGAGAGAGAGAGCAGAGAGCGCAATTTGCAAGGAGAGAGTTCAAGTTACATCAATATATCTTTAAGTTTTCATTTTTAAGTTACGTTGCAGGACTTCTACAGTAGAATTATAGTTGATAAAAATGGACACACGTCTATGTCTAAAATTGAGTTTTTTGGAGTTGATCCAAAAGCAGATCCTATGGTTCATCCAATAATTCAATTACCTTGTTTTATTTTCTGTTTTCTTCAGCATAATTTCTTGTAAATGGAACTTTTAGTGACTTAACTTTAGTGTTGCTATATGCTTAAATAATTGTCGAAATCTTGCAACAGAACGTATCAAAAATAATTGTATATCATACAGGAGATTAAAATATAGAGAACTTTTGAGGTAGCCGACTATGCATCGTCTGCACTTTTCATGAGTGTGGAAACTTCCTGGCCGAGTTCCAAGGCCTGTTTGCGCAGTTTGAGGGCCTGAAAGGAAAATAATATGAGCTAAATAATCGCTTTCTATATTTAAATAGACTTACTTGAGTTCTGAGTTCCTTCTCGCGGGTGACAAGTTCCTGAATTTGCGACATGACTGTGGCGCAGCTACGCTGATCTACCACCCATCGCAAATAGAGATCTGAAATCCATGGTTTATAGAAACACTTTTTTGTATCAAATATCAAAACTTACCGCTCCACAGCTCCAAGCTGATGGGCGCAACCGATGGCCATATCACATTGGCATTGGGCTCGTACAGCGGATTTAACAGTGTCTGAAGGACATCTGGCCGGTTTAAGTAAGACCATAGGCTCGTCGTCCTGGTGTGCACTTTTAGTTCGTTTCGTTCTCGCTCTGAATCGCATAGAAAGGTTCCGTACTGTGAAAAGTGACTGTGCTCAAAGAGTAGTATCAGCAGTTGTGTGCTAAATTCGAAACTACAGGGAAACTGTGTATAAAGCTGGTAGATGCAGTCCAGGAAGAGCACAAAGGTGGCGCCAGATGTCTTGTTGCGTGTCTGATTTGGTGTGTAGCATGAGAAACGATGACGAGAAGCGAATGGATGACCTGCTTGGATCCATTCGCGCTCTATCAAAGCCTGCAGTCTGTAATGGAAACATAGGATTTGAGTACATATAACGATCAGATGATGATGACTTACCCTCTCACTGTGCGGCAGTCGGGATTTAGAATTATCTGCACCAGTGAGGTAACAATGAGCGTGGAATCCAAACCCTTTGCGCCATGAACCAACACTGGACTGCCCTCTTGGTCCAGGCATTGAGCCACAACACATGAAGCGTTTAGGGAGTTCAACACGAGGCTAAGCCAACCGCTGTTTTCCAGTCGCGATAGCCACTTGTCTGTGCTGCAGCTCAAATCGTTGCAGGCCTCTATCAGCCGAGCAAAACTGTCCAAAATAGATGCGGGTGAGCTGACGTTGCCGATCGAACGATTGACCTTCTTCCACTGAGAGTAGTGCAGGTCTGTCTCCGTGTTCGACTTGCCCTTGCCCCAGGTGTCCACGATAAAGCCCTTGCGGCTGCGCCCGAGTACCAAATTAAGGATGGCCTCGTCGGCTCGGCAGCGTTTGATGCCCTGAATCGACAGTGGCTGAGAGCTGCGCATCAGCGTTGCCTGTTAATATGATTCATTGCATTAATCTAATCAAATTTGCTGGTGTGGCTGCAGTGACTTACGCCATTTTCATGCCTGTAGCTCAGCACTGGGAAACGACCGCCGTCCCGAAATGCAGCGGAGAGCACTATCTGCTCGTCCGTAATTGCTTTAGGTACAATTAGCGTGGCGCCATATGTGGCACAGACGCTGAAGTCTCTGTTGACGTTGGTGACGCGCCACTCGCAGGCGGCCTGGGGACCTTGAGGCACTCCACCTCCGACAACACCACTACCACCCGCCAGGGCGTCTATCGCAAAGCCATTCTGCAGGGGATGGGGAAGCCCGGGGACCACAGCTAGCGTCGATGTCGAAGTTGATGGCATGCAAATTGTTATGTTGGCCACATTCGGTGAGGACGCACCGCCCATGCCCACCCCGCTGATAAGCTTGGCGAACTCCAGCTCGGGCCTGTCGTATGGATGGGGAGGATAATTGAATTGTAGCCAATTTGCCAGTGATGGGGAAAGCATGTACCCACCTAAACATAGTGTAGCCGTCCTCTAGTATGGAGTACATGGGCCGATAGAAGAAGGGATACAGTAGCTCGGTGTTTTGAATGGCACTGAGTGCTTCCAACGATGCGGCCACGTTGAAGAACTCCTTGCCGCACTTGATCTCCAAAGAGATAATGCGCAGGTCCTTGCATTTTAAAGTGATAAGGCCACCGACCACGATGTTCTGTGACAAACTGGGCTTCTTCTCCACACTGTCGATGTTCTTGTGCAGCAACTTAAAAGGGGTAAGAGAATGATGTATTTCCAATTCGATTATTAGCGCTCCATTGAAGCCGAAGCACATTGGATTAGAGCCGCACACAGACCACTTACCCACAGCTCCTGGCTTGTCTCCTGGCGGGCGCTGAGAAGCAAATGGTGCCCGGTGATGCACAGTGTGCCAACTGTTGCACCCGACGCCCCCACGTTTGATGGGTCGTGTAGAAGGACTCCGTCCAGCTTGGGGGTCTTTATCAGGTCGGCAAATTCCATGGCGTCGCCCACAGCGGGGTGTCCGATTTGATTTTGCCCGGACTAATTAACTTTTTGCATTTTGCCTCAGCTATCTCCTGTTGCCACTTGATTGCTTCTGTTGACGCCGCTTTCCTCCTCTGCCCTTCGCCGCGGTTCTCCCGCCTTTAAAGACCCTTTTTTGAAACCACAGCAGTGCGTACGTCAGGGGACCAATGGCGGAGATTGGCCGAAAATATGGCTCTTTTGATCTGCGGCAACCAACGAAATCACTCTGGGCAGCTAAATTCTTTGTCGCACGCCCCCACTTACGGCACAGATTGCATTTCTTTCTTTCGGTTTCGGTTTCCGTCCGACTGTTTTGTGCTTTGCGCCAGTGTGCCCGTCGCTTACTGACCCCGAAAGCTCCGTTCGTATGAGAACTGTCACACTGCGAGTCTTTAATGGACCGTTATTTGTCGTTTATAAAAATAATGAATTTTAAACCAGTCTAAATATATTTTTGGGAAAAAATTATAATGTTAATAATTTAAAGAAATAGAATACAAAAATATAACTAATAACAAATACATTTTTTTAGTTTTCTTATTAATCTTGAATATGTTCCTCCAAAACCCTTGCATAAATAATTTTGAAACAATTCAAAGAAAGTTTCAACGTTACATACTGGCTGCATGTCGCACACATGCGGTCTTTAATCCAAGTAAAAGTAAGAAACGATTATGATAGATTGCAGTATGGCTAAATTAAGTTTTACATATGGTACATAAAGACAGCGATGCCGTTCAAAGTTCTTGGTTTGAGCCAGAAGAAGCGTCAAATATTCTTTGGAATGCGCTGCAGCAGAAGGTGGCAAGGTGACTTAGTAAATAGAGTCTTTTCCATCTTAAACGACTCCTGTTGGGCGCACATTAGTTGGTGGCGGAGCGCTACTAGGCTTTGTCATGATGTCCATGGCGTTTTTCAGGAGTTGAGTCTTCACAAAATCCGTGGCGGCGGAGTTCAGATCCTTGCTAGCGCCATAATTGCACTTAATGTAGCCATATAGATTAGCAGCATTTAGCGCAATGGCAATCATCACCAATAGCAGCCATTTGAACTTCAGGCCGAACAAGGCCATCAGGAAGAAAAGACCCCAGAAGAAGGGACAGAGGATGAGGCCCAACCAGAAGACGCGCTGCTCATGCTTGTTGATTCGACTCTGATAGGATTCAGACTGCGTTTCATCATCAAGGGCTATTAAGTTGGTTTATTTCGTGACTCACGTTCTTGGACTCAAACACCCAATGTGAAACTCCATCGTCGTCGACATAGTTCCACCAACGCAGACCGACTAGCAATCTTCCAGAGATGTTCTTGACCGTCCAGAAGTCGGCGGATAGAAAGAGCACTACGAACACAAAGCTGGTGATGAAGGAGTCACTGAACCAGCCACAAAACATGTAGATCACAATGGCAGCGCCTCTAAAGAACAGGTGGAAGAAGGTGACATACGGATGCCTGTGGGGTATAGGAGGGGGTCACAGAAATAAGTCAGCAGGCCCCGTGGATTCGATTTGGTTCTGCCTACGTGTATTTTTGTCCCGCGCGACTGGGATCTCTCATCTCGTCTTCCTCACCAAAGGGTATCGTGTCATCGTCGAGCAGTGGCACCTGTTTAACAAGTAAGTTGGATAAGTTCAGCTAGTTATCTATTAAATTGGAAGTTTTTCAAAGAAAACCTCAGTTTGCGTTGTCAGGGTGGCACACCAAAAAGCAGCTTGTTAGGTGTTAGTGCAGAATACATACATTTCTTACCGTAGCGGAGGCCATGCTTGTGCTTGAAGTGGCGTCTAATTCTTAGTTTTTTTCAATTAGCGTGGGATTTTCTCGGGTTTAAGGAGTTTTAATACATTTTCTTTCTAGGTTGTTGTTCTTGTTTCTGCCTGCGTAGCTATCTATCGTTATCGCACTCTGTCGATAGCTGCAGAGTTGTCATGTTTCATTGAGGACTATTAGGTTGGCAGCACCTCAATATATCGAAGTAATCATGATTTAAACAAATATTTTAAGTTTGCTCATTATTAAGCCTTATATTATTATGGTTTAACTCAGTAACAAATAATACCTAATTGAAAATTTGTTTAATAAAGTAAAATATTATTTATAAACAAATAACTTAATAATTTTAATTGTCCAACAAACAAAAAGGTATTTGTAAGTATTATTGAATAATATCTTTACTCAGAAAAAACCATTATCTAAGACCACTTTTATGATCTGTGACCTGGATTTCTCAATGTTACATTTTTGTGGTACAAAATTTGAAAGTGTGCAAAAACTGGTGCTTCAACTGCAGGGAAGCCATTAAAATGCAGCATTCAACAGTTGACAAGTCAAGCGACGACTTCAAAACTCCATCAGTAGCTCGTTGATCGTCTGATCTTTCGGACTGACTTCTCACCTAATCTTTCACAATGGAAAATTGCCGAACATCCGCTAGGATATTAATTATTGGAGCAGGAACATCGGGAATAGCGGCTGCCACGCGACTCCTTCAAAATAACTTTCAGAATGTGCAGATCCTGGAGGCGGAGAACCGTATTGGTGGGCGGATAAACACCATTCCTTTTGGGGATAACGTCGTCGACATGGGCGCGCAGTGGTGCTATGGGAAGCAGAGCAATTGTGTTTACGAGATGGTCAAGGATATGGGTATCCTTCATGGTACAGACGACTATTACAGCACCATTAAAAGAGTAAGGTCAAATAAGGAGGTGATTCAGCATGAACTCGGTTGCGCCATTCACGATATTGCATTGAGGAGCATGCCAAGTGGACCTAATCCGGTTGTGGGATCCTTCGGTACTCACCTAACAGAAAATTTCTGGCGCAATATCGAAACTGAAATGCCTCAATTGGATAGGGACCTGGCCAATGAGGCATTGGAAACCTTTGCGAAACATGAAAGCTCAATTATAGGTTCGGACAGCCTATTCGATGTCTCCATAAGGGAACACATTGAGTACCACGAATGCGATGGAGACAAGTTGCTCCATTGGGGTACCAAGGGCTACAAGAGATTCCTGAGGCTGCTGATGAAGGTCAGTGAGGACGACCCAGAAGGTCTTGGATTACTTGAAGGACGCGTTCACCTCGGCAAGAAGGTTACAAAAATTGAGTTGGCTTGCCCCAGCAAAGTTATACTGCGCTGTGAGGATGGGGATTACTTCGAGGCGGATCACGTCATCTGTACTGTTTCTTTGGGAGTCCTGCAGGAGCAGCACGAGAAGCTATTCGTCCCACCTCTTCCACCTGCCAAAGTAAATGCCATCCGAAGTCTCACCCTTGGAACTGTGAACAAACTTTACATGGAGTTTGAGAAGCAACCACTTCCTGATGATTGGGTTGGTTTCTTCTGTTTTTGGTTGGCAAAGGATCTAAAGGAGCTGCGGAAAACGGAATATTCCTGGCTGGAGGGGATCACTGGTTGCCACATGGTTACTTGTCAGCCACGATTGTTGATGGTCTGGGTGAATGGGCCACACGGCCGCCACACAGAGACCCTGTCTGATGAAAAAGTCATGGAGGGATTACAGTGGTTCTTCCGAAAGTTCCTCACTTTCGAAATTCCTCCACCAAAAAGGTTTGTTCGCAGCAAATGGTTTTCGAATCCAAATTTTCGCGGCAGCTGGAGCTTTCGACCCACAATTGCTGATGATAGGGGTACAGGTCCGTGGGATCTCGAGTCCCCTGTTAAGGGTGAGGATGGCCATATAGGTCTGCTTTTTGCCGGCGAAGCCACTAGCAGGAATCACTTTTCCACCGTTCACGGCGCTGTTGAGGCAGGTTTCCGGGAGGCAAATCGATTGATTGCTCTGTATTCCTCATGCGGTTTCAATCCCTAAAGAATTATTTTTTGTACTTTTATGTAAAAATATTTAAGTGATACCTTTAAACTACAATTAGAGGATCAAAATGTTACTTATCTTTCTTAAATAGCTTTATAAATGAATACATTATTTACAAAATTCTAATTTAAAATCCTTATTTTGGGGTGGAATGCAAGCTTTTAAAAATAAATAATTCCGTATATGCATGTTAAAACGAAATATTTGGATTGGAAGCCTGTGCGCTATACGCTTGTTTATTTATATTTGTGACCAATAAATAAATAAATAAAAATTTTAAAAAATTCACAATAGGTGATCAACCGTTAAATTATTTAAAATTTGCGCTTATGTTTACCTACCGTCATTCGATTATCGCATCAGCTGTTTTTATGCCATCACTAATGTGATTTAAAAAAATTTTGTTTGACATAACATAACACAACATAAGATGCAAATAATTAGGAGTTACAGCAGTAAACTGCTGAAACACAAGTACATATACCAGCCGAAGGCATACTCCTTGTACTACAGTACACTTAAAGGTGTGGTTCTCACGGTTTCATTCATAAATCTAGTGCCGGGTGTAGGATTTATTTTCATCCACTTTCAGATGCGGCTAAGGAACTCCCGTTGGCCACTGGTTATCAACCAAAACCTGTGGAACAGGCCTATTGGGAACGGGAGAAGCGCCAGGCAAATCTACCCACAGCTTCATCCAGTAGTTGCAATCGCGGACCATATCGCATGCTTCTTCCGCCTCCAAACGTTACCGGTAATCTCCATTTGGGCCACGCTCTGATGGCCACTGTGCAGGATGTGATTGCTCGGCAGCGCAAACAACTTGGCTACCAGGTGGACTGGGTGCCAGGGACTGATCACGCGGGGATTGCAACGCAGGTGGTCGTTGAACGCACAATTGAAGCTTCTCAGGGGAAAACTCGGCAGGATCTTGGACGCCCGGCTTTTCTTGACGCTGTGTGGCGTTGGAAAGCAGAGAAGGGAGCCGGCATTGTCCAGGATCTCCAACAACTCGGCTGCAAGCTTAATTGGGAGCGAGAGTACTTCACAATGGATGAACAACAGGCTCATGCGGTTAACGTCGCTTTCGAGCGACTCTTTGAAGAGGGTCTCATCCACCGGCGCAACTCGCTGGTCAACTGGTCAACTGCTCTGCGTTCCGCTATCTCGGACATCGAGGTTGATTTAATAGATATCAAAGAACCGGTGGAGATTTCTGTTCCGGGCTACGAACACAATGTACTTTTTGGAAGAATATACGATTTTGCCTATCGTGTCGTGGATGGCGAAACATTGCCCGATGGATCGTTTGAGGAGATTGTAGTATCCACCACTAGACCAGAGACGATCTTGGGAGATGTAGCTGTCGCAGTACATCCGCTCGATCCACGGTACACCAAGTACAGAAATATTAACGAAGTAAAACTAAAACATCCCTTTCGTGACGACACTATTCCACTCGTTTTTGATATCTCCGTGGATCAGGAGTTTGGCACCGGAGCAGTAAAGATCACGCCTGCACATGATAAGTTTGATTTTGAGCTGGCTAATCGCCATAAACTTGAGCCCAGACAAGTATTCAATGAAACCGGGCATGTATTGGACACTTATCCTGAATTTAACGGAAAGCCGCGTTTTGAGGCAAGAGAACTGATTGTTAACCGACTGGAGGATATGGAACTACTACGCCAGGTGCGGTCCCACAGCATGCAGTTGCCCGTCTGCTCGCGCTCCAAGGATGTCATTGAGTACATGATCTTGCCGCAGTGGTTCCTTAAGTGCAAGGATTTGGCAAAGGATGCCCTTTCAGAACTTCATAGTGGTCGGTTGCAAATCCAGCCTTCAAATTTCGAAACGGAGTGGGAACGCTGGCTGCAAGACAGCCGTGATTGGTGTATATCCAGGCAGTTGTGGTGGGGCCATCAGGTGCCCGCCTACGAAGTAATCGATTCGAAGGGCAACAGTCAATGGGTTGCTGCCGTTAATGAGAATGCAGCCAAGCAAAAAGCCAAGAAACTAGTTGGCAGCGAGGAATTCACTATAAAGCGGGATCCAGATGTGCTGGATACTTGGTTCTCCTCATCGTTGCTGCCCTTCTCTACGGCCGGTTGGCCGAAGGAGAACTACAAGGAGCGGTATCCGCTGGACCTGATGCAAACTGGTCATGACATACTATTCTTTTGGGTGGCACGCATGATGATGATGGGTTTGAAACTTACCGGCGAGGCCCCCTTCAATAATATACTCCTAAATGGTATTGTGTGCGATGCCCAGGGTAGGAAAATGTCAAAGAGTCTTGGCAACATAGTTGCCCCTCAGCAGGTGGTACAAGGAGCAAGTTTGGAGGTAAGGGAAGCGTATATAATTATAATTATTAATATTATTACTTATTTATAATTTTTGGTTACACTTATAGAGCTTGAAGGCTGGTCTTGAGCAATCCTGCGAGGCGGGTATCATTAAGCCTGCTGAGTTAAAGACTTCTACGGCTGGAATGACCAAGATGTTCCCCAATGGCATTCAAGAGTGCGGAACCGATGCGTTGCGTTTCACACTGATGAGCCATAATATCAAGAGCCACTTCATCAGCTTTGATGTAAACGCGTGTTACACTAACAAGCTATTTCTTAACAAGATTTGGCAGGCAATGCGCTTTACTTTGGGGTCTGCAAAGACACTAGGAATCTCGCTCCATCAGTTTGAGACGCTTGAAGGCGTGAGTCTGGGCATGTGGGATCGCTGGATCATCGGCCGTTTGGCAGAGACCTTGACCATTTGCTCGCAGAGCTACAATACATACAATTTTCACTTAGCTACAGCTGCCTTAAAGAATTTTTTCTATCAAAATCTCTGTGATATTTACTTGGTGAGCGATTTTCCAAAAGCGTTAAACTTTTTTATCTTAATTTGAATTTGTATCATCAACAGGAAACTAGTAAAACTGCAATTGCAAGTCGAACCGCTAATGCATACATTCATGTGGGTACCCTTACAGCTTGCCTCAGCTGGGGCTTGCAGGCAATGGCCCCTTTTACTCCCTTCTTGGCTTCTGAACTGCTGCAGCATCTTCCCCTTAAAATCGAACTTAAACTGTCTGATTACCAGGACTCTAAGCTGGAGGAAGAGGTTAACGAGATAGTAAGCATCTGCCAGAACGTGCGACAGGTTAAGAGTCGCAACGAGATCAGCAAGCGCCACCAGCCGCGTCTCAGTTTATTTGCCCAGAATACGGATTCCGAGGGTGTACTTCGTCGCCACCTTTCGCAGATTCAAGTGCTTACCCGCTGCGAAGGCGTGGAATTGGAGCTGATGAATGAGAGCTCAGAGATTTCGAAGAAACTTAGCTTCTTCTCAACGGCAGGAGCCCTCTGTTCCTTTGGTTTAAAGTTGAGCGATGGATTGGCCTTGACGACGGAGAAACGCGACGAAATGCAACTGGCCAATAAAAAGAAATTAAAGAAGCTTGTCAATGAGCTGCAGCGTTACCGCCTGCGTCTGGACAACGAAGCCTTCCAGCTACTTGCCGACAAGGCTGTTAAAGCCCATTTCGAAAATAAGGTAATATGCCTAAAAGTGTTTTGTATTTTATCGAATTAATTAATTTAAATATTTGTTTGCAGGTCAAGGAACTAGAAGCGGAAATCAACAGCCTCATGAGGCTGGCAGCGTGATCCTAATCCATAATTGATTTCAAAATCTGTTAAGATAATACCTTTGTTATTGTTATTTAAACGGCTAAGTTGTCTGTTTGTTTTAGAATAAAAGACTGGAATATATGTATATTAAATGCACCTGTGCTTTACGAACCTAATGATTGTGACTATAATACTAATTAAATATTTAAGTTAATCTTAGGAAAATTTGCTTGAAGGTTTCCACGATTGGACATTTCCGATTTAATTTGCTAACTGTTTTGTCACAAAAACCGCGAAGTAATACTTATTTCTTGGAATAGGTTTGAATTTCCATTAGATCATTTTTGCTAATTGCTACTTTCACGAAACATTTAAACCAAACCTAACGAATATTGGTTTGAATCGGATATTGTTTGATACTTTCCAATGTTAATTAAAGTTCCTATCTTCCAGATGTTGAGTTTAAATTTCTCTACAGGATGCCTCATTCTTTCCCATAAATATATACTTAACCGTTTAATTATGCTATTATTATCAAGTCTTTTTAATTTATATCATATTTACAGAATTGGACATGCGTTCTGCGAATACGACAAGTAAAAGCCGCGATTCGAAATGTCCATATCCTCGTTACTATCAGTGACTGTGTATACTACGAAAGGTTTCGCGGCAGAGGTTGTTGTTACCAGTCCTAATCCACAAAACCGATCGCTGGGCATCGCAACTCCGCTTTGTGTTGGTGACGGAATGATGATGTAGTCTGTAGTACAATCCTGACTCTGAACGGACGAGGTGGCCAGCAAAGTAGGATCGACTGCACCCACATCATTCGTCAGCGTAAAGGAGTATGTATCGGAGCTGACCTGGCTATAGGAGATGGAGCACATCCCAGCTGCCTTACGGATACATATACCGTAATTGGTGTTTGCTAACTGTCTGGTGCCCTGGACCCCGATGGAATTTAGTGCCGAGGAAGCTGCCGAAACGTAATTAAAGCTGGACAAGGTGCCACTGCTTGGCATATAGTACTGTAGGCATCCGGCCGGTGCTAAACTGCCCGACGAGCATCCCAGCATCCTAATCTGGAACTGCCAGTTGCGATTGAATGTGTAACTTGAAGAAGTGGCTACTGAGATGGTGATCGGGTTAACTCCATTGAAGTCCACATATACATGTTGTCCGGAGTTTTCACCACAGATGCTGGGCACCTGCGAGGATCCTCCAGTGATGGTCAAGGCATCAGTTGTACAGAATCCATCGCCCGTCGGTGGAGCAAGCGAAAGTGAAAGGAAGTCCACGCGTAGCTGGCAGACTGACGAATCCGGCGGAGTGACCACTATGGAACAGCGACCGCCGCCTGCATACGGAGCCGGATAATTGCTGTTGTAAAAGTACGTGTTATTGTATGTTGTACTTGCTCCACATGTCCTTTGATCTGTAACCAAAAGTTAAAAGTTAGAATTTGATAGATATTCTTTACTTCCTAAAGTTACTTACAAATGCAGCAGATGGCTTGGGCTGTAATGGAGGAGCAGCTGCCTGCTGCCACCCCGCTATTGTCCGTACACTCTCCGTTGATTATGCAGGTGCCTAGGAGCAGGTTGTTTCCTATACATATATCGTTGGAAAAGCGGCCAATTGTGTAAAAGGGAAACCCTAAAAAGAAAATAAATTGTCATTGTAATGGCATTAAAAACTCTCTGGATGGGCAGAGCAGTTTATGACTGGATGCGGATGCGGAAACTTTATCACACATTATAAAACCTTAAGAGTCACCTTTACAGTATAAATTGCTTAAATTTAAAATTCATTTTCATAAAAAAATATAAATAATTAAAAGATATTCATCTAAATGAGAAACAGGACAACACTTGATTTTTTATTCAACAATTAAATCTAGCAGAGAAGTTTCTAGTTTGGAGAGGTTTCACTATACATTCTAAAAATGCAATGCGCAGATGGAAACGTTATCCGCGGAAGCAGTTAAGCTTTTAGGGCACGGGGACAGTTAAGACTAAAGAATCCACCTGCTATACATGCACAGTGGGTGATAATTGACGCCTGACCCACATACTTCCACCACGACGGAAAAACAAACTGCCGGCATTCATCCGGTCAGATCTTTGCAAGAGTCACCTGCTTGAAAACTCAAACTTACATCGAGGATGCCGCGAACCACTGCGTGCCAGGCTTGAGTTGTCCGACTCCGCTAGGAGGGTATCATTTCCCAGTATTAGCGATTCTTTCATTTTTGAACCTTCAGCTATGGCCAAACTGCTGGCACGTGCCGCACTGTAGATGCCCACTACGTAGCTGCTGAAAAAGATGGCCACGAGGGCTAATAGCTGCGAGGAACGGCCACCGGCAGACATGATAAACTGATGTCGTATGGATCACTTTCGGTTTTCACTCGGGGAGCTGGAGCTAGAGCTGCTGCAACGTAGCTGATACGGATTATCTACCGATCAAGAGAGACGTTCGTTCGCGTTTGTGACACAATGAAGACTGAGCCAATGGAGACCCGAGTTTTGGGGGCATAGTCGGATGGATCAGGCCAGTGGGCTGCTGAGGTGCTAATTGAGAGAACCCGACAACCCATGCACCGAGTACAGGGTCGGCTGGAGTTTCCAAAAATGCAGGCAGCTCTACAACCGCAATAATTTATTTATTGAGTAAATAACAGGCAAAAGATTTTAAAAATTTGGACACATATATTGACACAAATATGGTTTTAAAAACATATTTTTGAAAATATGAGTGGATGATTGACTTCCTAATCCTTCGTGGCCCACTTTCTTCCACCTCATAGTTAACACCTTAATCCGCTCCTGCCCGGAGATCGTGTGGTGCTTATTTTACCTGGTAGAGAGAGAATGTGGAGCACTCAAGCATGGGAAGTGCTCGGCTTCTAACTCGTATTAGCTTTATTCGTTACCCGAATTTACGCGTACCGCTTCTGGAAGACAACAAACCAATTTCTGGACGAGGAAAGTGATAGAAATGCCAGGCACGGTCTCTGATATCCAATTTGGCGGGTTGCGAACGCGTGCAGTGCCGCATGATTCCCCGGATTTGATAAAAGAAAGTGTCCGTCTGTTTGCTCTTCTCTCCGGTATGTAAACCCATGTCTACCAGCATCTCCTTTCCGCTCGAGCCAGTTTTAGTGGCTATAAATAAAATCGAAAACTCACCTCCATTGTGATCGATCCGCTTACATATGATGATGTAACGGTACAATCCAGATTGCTTTGGCGCGTGTTTTTGAGTTTTTTTTGCTGATCGATTGATCTGCTTTGCTGCATTTACTAGAACGCGCCACGCCACGCACGACGCCAATTAGCAGGATATCACTAATTTATGTTTAATCCCAAAAGGAAGGTAAAAGTGGATTGGTTTTGATTGTTTTCCAGGGCGAAGCGTAGAAAGTTGCAAGTGCGTTGCTAACTAAAAAGAGAAATATGTACATATATTAATCGAACTAGGACTACAAAAACTAATGCGTTTTAACTTTTAAGATGCTTGGCAGTAAGTACATCAAAATATACATTCATTCATGCCATTCTATTAGGTCAATGAAAGCCAAATGTTCCTGGGTTCCCTAAATATTTTCTTAAGACATAAAGGTAGAGAAAAGAACATGATAAATTTAGCTTGGAAAACAATGGTTTTCAATTGGAAAAATATGTAGGTACATATTCAAATTTTAATTAAAACGTGCATCGTTACATAAATACAATGGAAAATAAATTTTTAAAATGGGAATTGGGCTGAGAATGGATTCAGACACATTGCCTTCCTTAAAAACAAAGTAATAAGCCAAGTAAAAAAAACTTTAAGTTAAAAGCAAATGTTGCCTGGCTTTTTATTAAAACAGTAACTAGCATTATGGGAAAACAAAGGCACCGTCAAAGATTCTACTCGATTTCGATGATGGCACCCGCCTTGGCCAGCGCCTCCTTGAGCTTCTCTGCCTCCTCCTTGGGGATGTCCTCTTTTACGATGGTGGGTGCACTCTCGACAAATTTCTTGGCCTGGACCAGGTTCATGCCCTCCAGGAGATTCTTAACCTCCTTGATCAGCGCCACCTTCTGTTTCTCGTCGAACTTGACCAGCTTAACCTTGAAGGAGGTCTGAACTTTCTTGGGCGCCGCCTCCTCTTCATCTTCGGCGGGAGCAGCACGTGCTGGTCCAGCGGCGAATTGTGGGGCAAATGCGGTTTCGGGCAGGTTCAGTTTTTTTTTCAGCAGGCTGCTCAGTTCGGCCACCTCGAGAAGATTGAGGGCGGCAATGTTGTCGACGATGGAGTCCAATTTAGGATTTGGTGGCTTGGCTGCTCCTTCCGGCACCGGTGGCACCAGTTTTTCGACTCCCGAAACTGCGGCTGACGGAGCTGCTGCGCTGTACATGCGATGCAGCTGTACTTGGCGCGTAATTTGACGCAGGGCAAGGCGTGTGATGTGCATCTTACTAATATCTAAAAGGCTTAAGTTAGCAAATTGACTAACTATTACAAATAATCAGTTTACTTACGGTTTTCTGGTGACAAAATAAATTCTGTGGGGTCGCAGCAGCAGGTTATGTGAGCAGTTGTTTATCGATAACCTGCGAGGGCTGCAAAATATTGTTTAATAAAAGGCATTGCCATGTCTAATCAAATTCATATGACTTTAAATAAAGTAACGTAAAAATACCGTCGAATTAAATAATTTTAAAATTTGGTTTTATTCATTTTTGGTTCCTTTCGTGATTAAACGCATTCCAAAATTCTTATTCAGTCGAATAGTATCCTATTTAAAATCTTAAAATATTTTTTTTGTTTTTAATAAGAAAGAAATTACAATGAGTACACCTTGACATAGTCGATCTTCATGTGGCCCTCGTCTACCCAATGATCTCTATTTTTTTTTATTTCCTTCCAAAAGGCTTTTTGTGCCTGTGGAGCCCTTTCGTTCCAAGGCTTTACTTCGTGCTGGTACTCATTGAACCCACCAACTCCGAGTCCGAAAGTTAAATAGAATTCCTGATCGAAGGGCGCCAGTCCTGAGCCCTCTTCTAGTTTCTGGGCTTGTGGCAATCGTTTCCCAGCGGCTGTAGTCTCACTAAAAGCTCCCTTATCGCTTCCTTGGACGCACCACTCTTTGTCGTCCACCAGCCAACGTAACTCCCGTGGAGTCCACTCAAGGGTATAATTGTGGAAACTGTCGCTCCAGTCCTCTGAGTTATCCCCAGTTCCCAGTTTCAAGCAATTCTTGACCGAACGCAAAGGTTCGTCTGCAAAGAGAACAGCGGCGGCAAACAGATCCAGATTAGCGCCATTTGGACGAGTGTAGGCAATCCTTAGTTGTCCTGACCGGTAGTCATCCGTTCCATAGACATTATACTTTGGCTGCAGCCAGATTTGAGGTGTCACAAATTTAGCCCGCGGCATTTTGGCTCGCACCTCCACACGGCCGTACTTAAAAGAGAAAGCCTTTGAGGAGAACTGGGCGGTGACCATTGGTGGCAATCCATCGTTCATGGTCCTGCCATTCCTGACGCAATCATGAGAATTAGCCACTCCTGTACATTTTTCACCCAAGTCTAAGCTGGCATCTGATCCCTTATGGAAATGCTTTCTTAAAGTATTTGTAGAAAGCACCACGTGTCCATTGGTCAAGCACAAGGTGTCCGGGGCATCGTCCACATAAACATTGAACTCGTAGTCGGGTTGGCCAGAGAATCGGCGTTCCGCCTTCCACTTATTAGGATCCAGCCTTGCAGCGTTAAACTCATCCACGAATACCAACTGTCCGGCGCAACGAGTAGGTACTCCATTGACCTCTGTCTTGGGGGTGGTGCAACCCACTCTTATATCAATATCCGGATCGGCTGGTGGACTCCAGGGCGTGGATGAAACAGGGACAACGGGTGAAGGAGGAGTGGTCACCGAGGTGCCATTGACCACATACGACCCGTCATCTTCGCGATAACCTAGTCCGTTGTAGATAACGTACGTCCAGTAGTATAAGATGTCGCCGGGCTTCAAAGCGGTAGTCCGATCCCGGAATGTCCATCGTCCGTTTTTGGCCTTTACGATGTCTCGTGCCCAGGTGCCGGCCTCCAGCCCCTCCATCTCCTCATTTAGCTTGCCATGAAAGGCAAAAAGAGAGATTCCCTCCTCGTCGGGAATTGAGACTTCAAATCCCTTGGGGTAAAAAACCTCGATCTTGGCTTTTGTCACCTCGTATGCCTGGACACCAAGGAGGAGAAGCAGAAGTTGGAGACAGCAGCTCCAGGCCACAAAGCACGATGCATCCGCCATCGTAAGAATAACTATTGAAACTGCGATGAGCGGTCAGACAAGTCGTGCTTGGGAATCCGAGAAGCTTATCAAGAACCGGTCGGGGCTTTGTTTGTTATTAGCGCACAGCGAAAAATTATAATCAGTTTTTTAGTGCAATCGAAATATGTATATAGGTGATCTTAAAGTCCGAAAACCAAGGATAATTGGTTCGGGTTATTATAAATGTATTATTTTATTTAAGATTGTCTAAATATAAAATATTACTTTTCAACTGGAAATTAAGACAGGTATAATAATTTATCTGTAATAAGATTAATATTTAACTACAGTGATATATAAAAGTTTAAAAAAATACGCTTTAACTATTAACAACAATTTACCATAAAAACAAACCGAATTAAAAATGTTGAATTTAAAAGCATTTCTTTTTTTTCTAAATGTATCGTATAGTCTGGGGATCAATAAAGTTGTGGGACAAAATAGAGCTAGGGATTTGCCCAAGCTCTGAGTGTACACAGCTATGAGTTAAAAAATACTGATTAAATTGAGTGGCGAATAAAATACTGAAGTATTCCCAACAATAAATAAGTAAGTATTCAAGTCAATTAGCTTGTATATTTTTATTTATTTAAAAAATCCGCTTTAGTCCCCGTCAAATTTCTCAGCACTGGTAAATCAGCTGCTTGTGTTACATCGATAATTTCGCTTGGGGTTTATCGACTTATGGTATTTTAGGGTATTTATGTACATAAAGAACAGACATTATTATTATTTGCTTAATTATTAATTAAGTTATTAATTAGTTATTCATTATTTATGAGGTCGAATTAAATAAAAATATCTCTAATACATTTTATGATCAAATGATGGCTAATTACTTTAGAACAAAGAAATATATACCCTTCAACCTAACAGCCTTATTAAAGGGTATCCCTGTACCGGCACCCGAAGCATATAATAAGCTCTGTCGCGCAGCAGGCGACGAAATTCGATGAAATTCTGAGTCTCGTCCGTGTGCTTGTCTGTTAGCTTTCGTTCTCTCGGTAGAAAAATTTGTAGAAAATTTCACACACGAAAAAATTAACAAAAAAATGAATATATTTTTGTAAAGTATATTAGTGAAGAAGGAAAACACTGTGTGCGCGTATATTTTGTGGGTTCGCATTTTTTAGGACGTTATTTTTGTGTAAATATAACTGAAAAACGGCCAAATATCGAAGCGCATTGTAAAGAGGACTACAAAAAGACAATAACAAATTCGCAGCGCGTGTGTCGCTGAGTGTTCGTGCATGTGGGTGTGTGTGCGTGCAGGTGCCAAAAGAACGCGGAGATAAACAAATATCCAATTGGATCGTTGGAGCTGTTTTTGTTATTGTAAGTAATGCAGATTTATGTAATTCGCTTGTGTGTGTTTTCTTTTTGGTTTTGGCCAGCTTTTGTTATTGTTCTAAGAAAACAGCTGTGGCGTTGCCAGATGGTCTAATTGCTTTATGTAATGTCTTGTCATGCTGAATTTGTATTAATTGAAGTTCCTAATTTGATCATTACAGCATTCGAGGGCATTATTTATTTTCTTAGATAATACGAGTGACATGTAAAGCTATCGATATATCGATTACAGAGAATTTACATGGCCACACTGCGCCGTCGCCACAGCAGCGACCAAAGCAGCTGTTGTTGTAAGAGGGTTGGTAAGAAGGTGCTCTCTGAAAAGCAGGGGGCGGGGTGAAAAGCACAGCACGAAACACCGCACGAAAGCAAAACAAGCGAGAATGATTGATTTTTCGTCGTGCGTCGTCGGGAAAAGTAGGCGAACGGCAGCTTCGCGGAAAAGCGGGCAGCAGTGAAAACTTTTAGTATCACAGTCGTTGCTGACGAGCGGAAGGGACCGCAGCTCGGGAAAAAATCAGGAAAAGAAAAACACGCGAGGGCCCCTTGTAATGCAAATTGGAATTTAAAATCAAACGAAAAAGCGTTTAGTGTAAATAGTTATTATCGTTTACCTAACCAAGTTCTCAGTGGTAGTAGTGAATTTGTGCTGTGTTACAAGAGTTACCGTTATTCGGTAAGAGAAAACCGAGTGCAAAGGAATTTTCGTACGTCACAGCCTGTGCGTATGTGTGTGTGAGTGTGCACCCCCGGAAATGTAATACGCACACTGGCGCAGTGAAAAACTTGCACCTGAAAGTTTTCGTCGTGTTTTCCACCTTCGTGCGCTTTCGGCATTTTGACCAAACAAAAATAATAGAAAAACGCAGCAAAAGGTTAGTTTTCCGCTTTTCAGTGCACCTGTCAAAAATCCTATTTAAAATTCTGACTTATTTGCCCCAGTTTTCATCCAGGGCTGGCATTATCTACCGTTAGCGCGTGTCTATATTATGTTTGTGTGTGTGTGTGTATCAGAGTGTGTGCCAGTGTGTACGTAACCAATTGGAACTGGGGCAACTGGCAAATACGGCAACGAATCGGTGGAGCAAAGCAAACGCCGCAATAAACCCCTAAAAAATCTCCAACCCCGTGAAGCAAGCGCGAGAAAAGCTGGCTGAAAGCTGCAACTTGGCCCAGTTACTTTGGCTCTAATTGCAGACGTGATAATAGAAGTGCACACAAAGCATAAAACCATGGGGGTGGGCGACAGTAACAACAAAAAAAAAAAAAAAAACAGAAGTAGTAGAATGACAAACAAAAACAAACTTCATTTGCTAAGAGTTTTTCAACCAAATTTGTTTGCCCACACACTCGTAGATACAGATAAAGATACAATTGCATCTTACTTAGAGATGAGCAGCTCTTGAACTTTACTCAGTTACTGAGTTTCTGAGTTACTGAGTTTCTCAGTTCCTGATTTGGTAAACAAAACGTAGGATTTTCGGGGGTGGCAGGTATAATAACTGGTTTTTAAATTAACACTTGGCGATACTCAGGGGTAGTTTTTTAATGGCCTTTTCAAATCATTTTAGAGTGTTACCACCAAATGTTAGTTGGCTTTTTATATTGGGAGCCTCATTTTATATTCAGATACATTCAAAACAAGTTCCAGTCTTTCTTTCTAATCAAGAAGGGTTTGAAAAACATCAGAAGGTTTTTAAAAAGAGGGTTTGTATTCAATATTGACTTGAATTTCCGGATAGCCAAGCTTTGGTAAATTAGGACATAGAAGTAGAGTAGTTTTTCTAAATAATATAATCTCGAAAATGGTAAACAATTAGTACTAAAATACATTTTTTATAAAAATAATTTACTAACGCAATCAAAAATGTCTGGCATTTAAAATTAAACAAAAAAAAAAAAATCAGATAATTATTTATGATAATTTTTTCAGAATAAACATTCAACTTAAGAAATATCGTGGTACCCTTTACAGTAACTCGCGAAAATACCCCTAAAATACCCCATCCCTATTTTATCGCTCTTTTGAGGCTGAGCCAAGCAGTCTGTGCTTTTGGCGGCACATTACACTTGTTTACTTTTTAAGTATGCGTGTGATCGTCTGTGTGTGAGTGAGTGTTTCCTGGTGTATATGCGTGTGTGTGTGTTGTGAGTGTGGACCATGGGGGCGTTACTGTCTTTGTTGTTGTTATTGCTATGCGTCGTCGTCGTCGTTTCATCTTCGGCAATTTTTTGGGGGTCGCTCTCGTCTCGTTTGTAGGGCAAAATTATGTATTGATTATGCCAGTTTTATTTTCCGTTTTCGCTACGAGGGGCTGTTCAAATTCAAACTGGAAAAGTGTGGGGCACCTGCGGTCGGTTTTTCATGCCCGAGTGAGCCATTTCATTGGCACAACGATTTCGTTGTCTATCTGCATTTAACTAATTAAGAGCCCCCCTGCCCAATAGCCTCCCCCTTTTTTCCGAACAATAGACGTTTTCCGGTCGCTCAGCCCAAAATGAAGTGCGTGTCCAGGGACAGACTACTAGAAGCTTTAGAAATTGGATATTTAGTACACTAAAGAAAAATTACTACTATGTACATATATCCTTTACTAGTAACTGAAAATCGTAGTAGAAGTTTTTCCCAAATGGTGATTTTCAAGAAAACCTTCAAGACATTCACATCCCCTATACCTAACTGAAAATGAACCATTAGAATTTGGAGTTAGATCATTTTAACCCATTTCTTGCAGTGCATATTATACACTATATTTGTTATATGCAAAATGGGTAGCATATTTGACCGACATCGGGAACAGCGGGCTCTGAAAACCGTTTGCCCCATGGGGGTGGCTTTTGTAATTGGAAAAGCGATCAATTGTAATCCCCCCACCAGGCGGGTTTTTCACTTGAATAGCGCTACAAATTTAGAACTCTCTACCCCATTATCAGGCACATATATCTATCTACACACATTTGTATTACTCATGCACAAAATTCGAAAAGCAAAAGTTTAGAATAGCACTTGTTTATTTGTTATTTCTGTGCTGTCGCTTGCCAAGTTTCCTTTTATCAATAATATGATTGATTGCTGTTCGGCTTCCATTGTTTCTCTTCCTTTTTTTTGTTGTCATTCCCACAACACACGCATTGCACATTTTATGACCCATTTTATCGTGGCCTTTTCGTTGTTAGCCTTATATCGGGCGAACGTGGTATAGATAGTGAATTTGTTGGTCATAAAAATAACTCCGTCACATTGAAACGCAATTACCAGTGCCCTCTTTGCAAGCTGACAGTTGCTTTACATTAAACCCCATTTCGAATCGAACTTATTTGTGTTCTTAAACTGGAATAAGGATGGGATATTGCCTGGGTACTGGAGTTATCTTTATTAGGTTGTAATGTTTAAAAGTTAAAAAGAAAACTTGTATAGTTATAATTTGTTTTTTTAAATATGATTTAAGCCTGGTAACCTTAAAATTGAAGGTCTAAAACCGTCTGACTTTGACCCATTTATTTAAAGCTACTGTAATTGCTGCTTTGACCTAATTTCCTTTAAGCTGGTTTTTAGGTATATGTACATACGTTTTACTTTCAACATCTAATGACAGCGGGGGAAAACATACTTTTTCGTAGAAATAATTATCCGATGAGCTGGCGACAAACGGCCAAACGGTCAACGGCAAAAATGTATTAAGGGTTTTAAAAATAGGAAAATAAAAATTAATGTCAAATAGCTATTGCTGCGGCTGCTGTTGCTTTTGCTTGGTTGTTGTTTTTGGCCGGCCACTGCTACTTTTTCGCTTTTCACCGTACGATTTATTTATTTTTAAACGCAATTACGTGCGGGTCTAGTGCTGCGATAGCATAGGAGGTGCGGTATTGCTAAGAGAAGGAGGGCGTTGGGAAGGAAGGGGCTCGTTTCCCCCAACGACGAACGCATGACGTTGACATTTCGAAAACAGCAAGTGTTCAGGCGAAAATATGATCAACATATCGCCTGTCGTCTGGCTATGGCCTGGCTATATACCCATCATCTAACGTTTCGCCTTTCTCTTTCACTATCTTTTCATGGTTGCCGCTGATTGATGTTTTTGGACACTCGGATTTCCATTGCGACACTCCACATTCTTCAATTTTCCGAACAGGCCATCTAGGGCAGCAGCGGAACTGAGGCGCAGCGGAGCCGCCCAAGTGCAGTGGTAGAAAGCATTGGTGCGGGCACCATGGATTCGCTCAAGTTACCAAAGGGTAAGTGTCCACACCCGGATACGCTTGTGGGCGTAACTGGAAGTCACTGGGGAATTTGAATTACTCAAATGGAAATCTCTTTGTGTCACAGTTTTCTTTACAGAGATAAATAAATCAATGTCTGTATTGTCACTGTCAAGTATATTTAAATAGTTACTTGTTTAAAAAAGTACATAATATTAACAGTTGGTACTTCAAATTATCTTCTTGATGGGTAAATAATCTATTTATAACAATGTCAGCTTGATAAGAAATACTGATTGATGATAAAAGCTCTTAACTTTGTGCTAATATGACTGATTAAAAATCGATTTCAATTTAATCTACCTTCTAGAAGATTAAAATGGCTTTAAGTTGTATATACATGTTAAACATGACTAAGAGAGTTAAACTTGGCTCTTATTTGAGTTTTAAAATTCTCAAGATCACCTCTTAATCGCAACTAAATCCGCATTTTCCTTACCTAACAGCCAACAGTGCCACCAGCAGTGCAAGCGGCAGCAATAGCAACTTGTCCGGCTCAACATCCGCGTCCGCATCCGCAGCCACATCGCCCACATCTTCGGGTAATGCTGTCGGTTCCATACTCTCCGGTGCCCCAAAGTCGCCACCTGGTCTAAGCAGCAGCACACCGATCGCCGTGCGTTTTAATGCCAATGAGGAGTCCCTGGACGACATCCTGCAGTCCTTCCATCACAGCAAGCACAGTCCCAGTGGCGGAGCGAGTGGCGGAGGTGATGCCTCGCCCACATCGAATCTCCTTGGGATGAAGAACAACGGACTGGGACTCAATACTGGCTTAGTCGTGGGCGCCTGTGATTCCCTATCCAGCAGCCCGTCTCAACCTCAGATGCAGGGCGGATCCGGCTCCCTGTTCGGCGTAAGTATTCTTAGTTTAAATGTTATTTTTTTTGGCAATGTTAGGTTAAATTTCATAAGAATGAACTTTAGGATTATAAATTAGTTTATAGGTTCCACGAGTAGGGCCTAGAGCCAACCCAATTTCTATGGAAAACCAAAACCAAACTGGAATTTGATGTGTCTAATCTAATTCGCTTGTGGCAGTAAACTCGATTCTTTGTTTACTTTCTGTTCCGTTCGCCGCCACACTGTCCCTTATCATATATCAAAAACACAGTACGCCATAAATTATGATTCATTTTCATTCGTCGCGAGTCCAAGTTTGTCGCAATTAAACATAAATTGTATAGAACGCGCTGCAGTCGGTCGGTCGGTCGGTCGGTCGCCAATTAACATTTTGCCTGGCCAAATTAGTGGAACACTTATCTTTTGATTTCTGTGTATATGTAGTTTCACTTTTTAGCAGCGTGATTGGGGGGATTGAGATTTGGATACGGATTCATTGGCTTGCCAGCGATCGTCGCGTGTGTGTTTGTCATTCAAATTGTGGCTATTTCGGTGGTTCTCGTGGCGGTATAAGTATGCGACTGTTGCCGCAAACACACAGAGCTATTGCCAAAATTTACAACAGATGTGCCGCTTCCGATTGCAAAATTCATTTGGCAGTATTACTCACTATTGCAAAATGTTCTTTTCTTTTCATCTCCCCCAATGACGACTATAATGATGATGATGATGGTTGGTTGCTGATTTTCATCATAGAACGACGAAGTAACTCTGCGGAATAATTTCATGCAGGCCGGTGGTTTCTTCAATCGAAAAAGGTGAGTGACAAAAATTTGATTACTCCTTAATTTGAACACACTTTCCTGGGGGAGAGAAGGATGTGTGTTTTTGTGTGTGTGTGTATGTACACTAACATAGTCCAACGGTTGAATAAGAAACTGCCGTAACATAATTGTTGTTGTTGTTGTTGCTACATATGCGTCATGCCAGCTAAAACATATACCCCACATACGATATATATATATATGAATAGTTAAACCCACACAACCCATCGGAAATGCATGCATTCAACCCATTTTTATAGTGACTCACTGAGCTTAATGTTCGCCTTGAAAGCCGAGCTTGAATTGCTCCCAGGGGAAACCCCCACGCGAGGAAGCCCCTTGGGGTCTTCACATTTCTTACCCCTCGATAAGATTCTCAGTTTTTGTTGCCAGTTTCTTATTTTGAACGTTTTATGAAACGAATTTTGTTTTGAGATTTCGTTGAACTCTCCAGAGTTTGCAATTTCAAGAGCTTGACAAATTTTTCTCCACATAACGTTTATCAAGGGACTCATTTTGGTTAAATTTCCATGACGAAAGAGCTTTGGGTTAAGATTGGTGATATGTTTGAGAGAACAATTGTACTTATACCTTATTTAGTTTCAGATAATTGAAAAATTCTTAAAAAATTAATAAGTGCAGGCCTATTCCCCTTGGTAACTAAAAGTTCGACCACTTTTTTTTTGGCCCCGCGTTCGTTGACCGTTGACCCTACAAGAAATTACTTGGCTGCAGTTTTGTGACTTTGATTTTGTTTTGCATACGTATATCCTGCGCCACTTGTGCATTTTTAATGCACTCCGACTGCAGCCGCCGTCTGCCAATGGCCGTAAACTTGCCCGGCCGACGGTCTACGACTTTTGTTGCTTTTGTCACCGGCAACTGTAGTTGCTGTTGCTGCTGTTGTTGTTGTTGTTGTTTGGAGCATCTGTGGAGTGCACTAGCTAAAGGATCTGAATCAGCAGCGGTGGTGGGTGCTTTGTTTATGCTGCCTTGCAACATGCAACATATATATATGTACGTTTTTTTTTCTAGCCTTATGCCCGTCTGCAACTTTCAGCTCAAGTGCCGCCCCGTCTGGCCGAGTGGGCGGATGGTCTGTGGGTTATGGTAGAGGGGTGGGTTTTCCGTCAACGGGACATCAACGTCACCGAGCGCAGTACACCACGTTCCGCTCAAGTTTTGTATTTTTGTCTGCTCTCCATTTCCATTTGCGGCTTTCCTCCATTTCTCCGTTTCTCGTTTTTAAATATTAAAAAGCAAGTCTAGCTGGGATTTCTGCTACCTGAGAAGCTATGTGCCTGCCACCTCCTCCCGTTTGACGTCATTGCGCCTGATTCGGTTTATTGATTTTCGTGAGCTGATATCGTATGTGCATATAGTACACTATATATATATATTGAAGAGTATTTTGCTGTGTGATTTTCAATTTTGGCCGTCAATCAGTCTTAACTATTTTGTGTCGCCTCGTTTTCGCAGCACTCTGTATTCATTTCCGTTGCCTTTTTAATTAAGTTTCCGAGGGCTAATTGCATTTTATAATTGCATTTTTCAACACTGCTTGGTGTCGTTATCGCTGTGCCTCTTGTGTCGATGATGATGTTGCTGCTGGTTACTGGGTAGTTGTCGTTCACGTTGTCGTTGTTGCCTTTGCCTTTCCGTTGCTCTTGTTACGCGTGCCCTTATCAGACTACCACCATCCAGTTAACCACCAACCCACCTAACCACCCACCATTCCATCATGTTGTTGCTGTTTTTTATCTATTTACACTTGTACACGTTTCTACATGTTTGTTATACATACATTTCATCATCATCATCAGCAGCAGCAAGCAGCAGCAGCAGCAGCAGCATCATCAACTCTGCAACAGCAGCAACATCAAGTCATAACAGCAACATTAAGCCACAGCAGCAACATCGACTGTATGGCTGTGGATGCCACTTTAAACCACCCATTACACATGCATTTGCCCAACCCCTCAAGACAATTTATCCACCTCCACCACACCCCTTGGGCAATGCAAGTTGTGTCTCGTCGGCGACATTTTAAATTAAAAATTTCCATGCAATTTCATGTCTCGGTGGCCTTACAGTTGGGCAAGCACTGCATTCGGTCCAATCAATTAGCTTGAACGTGTCAAAAAGCAGCAACAACACTTACACATATACAAATATTGGCCAACAGCAGCAGCAGCAGCAGCAACAACAACAAACATTAAACGTAACGAATTGATACACATTTGAACTAGTTTAGTTTTCTATTAGCATACATGTGTACTTGTACTCGTATTAACCCCTTGCTGCCCACTGTGCCGCGCGAATACTCTCTTTTTGGTTGATTTTTCTCCTTGTTTTTTGGCCTAGAGAGAAATATATCCCTTTCTTTTCGGTTTTCGTTTGTTATTTTTGGGGCAAATTTTTTGTGTACTGCCCCGAAATAATGTTGTGCTATATAAGAAAGTGTTGGATTTTCCCTGTCTCGTATCGTAAAGTCATCAAAATAAAAGGATAAATGTTAAAAAAAAAAGAAACAAACAGCTCTCGATCGTTCGCGGGGGCACAGTGCTAAAACCGAACTAACTAATCCAAAAATATACTCAACTGCTGTGCCTAAATAACTGCGCCTCTTCCAATATATATATATATTATATATAAAGCTATATAAACCTTCGCCAAAAACAAAAATAAACCACAAAGCGCCAGCGTAACTTGAAAATTTTCATTTTGATTGGATGTGTCGCCATATTACCAAAGAACCAAACCAAAAGCCACTACAAAAACCACAAAAAAAAACAAAAACAACTCGCTCCACAACCACCAACACCACCACCACCACCACCGCCACTACCACCACCAAATGCCACCCACACCATTTTACCACAGCAACAGCAATCCTACACCAAAACCGCCAACAACAACAACAAATATCGGGATATATAATGAATATATATATAACCAATAATACCAAAGCCACGTCGAGCATAAAGTCAAATTAAAAAGGAGCAATTTAGGATTTGATTTTGGTTTCCCAAAAGATTTAGATAGTTCGAATGGTTTAGGTTTTCAAATTCAAGTACTCAAATCGAATATATGTATATAGTAGTTATGCCAAAGATATAGTCAAAGCTATCGAAGTAGGCTATTGATAAAATGTAGAACTGCTGTCGCCGGGACACGAAAGCAAAAATCATTTCAAGTTCACATTTCGTCAAAACGTTATCTCAAAATTCTTGTGTGTGAATGTGAGTGTTCGTGATAATGCACAACAAGTTAGTTAATTTTTTGTAAGTTTTAACGATTCAATTTAAATATCCCGTAAATACTCTTTTATTAGTTTTTCAATGTTTTTGTTTTTTGAAAATATACTTTTAATTTTCTTGGAGCGCCGGGCGGCAATGGGTTAAGAAAACAAAAAGAGCGTACACATAACTAATTGCATTATGTAACATCTAGACTTAAACCGAATCCGAAGCAAATCCTTGAACAAATTGCTCCTTTTTTCATAATGCAAAAAGTATATACAGACCTGAATCAATCAGAATATCACAAGTATATCAACCCAAAATCCAAAAATCATCCACTAAAAATTGCCAATGTTGTAAAAGCCTCTTCATCTTGTTGTCCCTTCTTCCTGCAGTTGCGGCGGCCTGCCGAATCTCAATCTCAACAAGCCGCCCCAGCTCCACCAGCAACAGCAGCAGCAGCAGCAGCAGCAGCAGCTTCAGCAGCAACACCAGCAGCACCAGCAACATCAACAGCTACAGCAGCATCAGCAGCAGCTTTCACCGAATCTGAGTGCCCTGCACCATCATCATCACCAGCAGCAGCTACGTGAAGGCGGTGGATCACATAGCCCCTCGTCGCCGGGCGGAGGAGGATCGCCGTATAACGGCTCGCAGGCAGGTTGCAGCAGCGGCGGCATCTCGCCTATTCCTCCTCAGATGTCGGGTGTATCGCCCAAGTACCGTCGCAGCATATCCTTCCCCATCAAGGGAAATTCCCCAACAACTCTTTATGGCAATCCCCATATGGATGGCTTGGGCAGTGGACACATGAACATACCGACCCTGTCAATTGGAAACGGTGGTGGTGGCGGATCCAGTGGCATGATCTCGGCAGGAGCCAGTGGCGGCGGAGATGCACCCTATTTGGGTAACAGCTATGGGAACATGATGACGTCCAACGGGCAGATGCACCATGGAGGCATTGATAACTCGCTGAGCGACTACATGCGCGGCATGTCGTTGGGCGGTGGAAATGGTGGTAACGGCGACGGTGGCAATGCCATGGCACTAATGCAGGACAGGATGCGTGTTATGGGCGGTCCAAAGCACCTCAGCGAGGCTGATGCCATGGCCATAGCAGCCAGTGGAAATGATCCAACCGCCTACCTGAATGCCCTCAAGATGGGCTCACCATCCCGTCTCTCTCCGCACTCGCCACACTCACCCATCCAGGGTGGAAATGGTGGAAATGGCGATGGTACGGCCCGCTTCTCCCGGAAGGTATTTGTTGGCGGACTGCCACCGGACATCGATGAGGATGAGATCACAACGTCGTTCCGGCGCTTTGGGCCACTAGTCGTCGATTGGCCTCACAAGGCCGAATCCAAATCGTATTTCCCGCCCAAGGGCTATGCCTTCCTGCTGTTCCAGGATGAGAGCAGTGTCCAGCAGCTGATTGATTCGTGCATCACGGATGAGGATAAACTGTATCTGTGTGTCTCTTCGCCAACGATCAAGGATAAGGCAGTGCAGATACGTCCATGGCGTTTGGCCGATGCGGATTATGTATTGGATGCCACAATGTCTCTGGATCCGCGTAAGACAGTGTTCGTCGGCGGAGTGCCACGTCCTCTGAAGGCCTTTGAGCTGGCCATGATCATGGATAGATTGTATGGTGGTGTATGCTATGCTGGAATTGATACCGATCCGGAGCTGAAATATCCCAAGGGTGCTGGACGTGTGGCCTTTTCGAATCAGCAGAGCTACATCGCCGCTATCTCGGCCAGATTTGTGCAGCTACAACATGGCGATATAGACAAGCGAGTGGAGGTCAAGCCATATGTATTGGACGATCAGATGTGCGATGAATGTGAGGGTCAACGTTGCGGTGGTAAATTTGCACCCTTCTTCTGCGCCAATGTCACCTGTCTGCAGTACTATTGTGAACATTGCTGGGCAGTGATTCATTCGAGGCCAGGACGCGAATATCATAAGCCACTCGTCAAGGAGGGTGCCGACCGGCCGCGTGCGGTGCCTTTTCGCTGGTGTTAACGGCGGCGCTGGTAGGCCGCGCTGCATGACGAGAGACGCCAACAGAGGGAGCAACGACATCGGTTGTTGAACGCAGCGCTGGCAGTGCCCAAAATCATTACAGAAGCATCAGGATCAGGAGGCGAAGGAGGAGAAGTAGGAGCCGTAACCGCAGACGCAGACGAAGCCGCAGGCGGAGTAGCGGAAAATCTAGTAAATTATCATTAGTGACAACCCACAAACCAAAACACACACACTACGCGGATACACACTCACAAGCAAAAGACAATTGCCCAGGGGAAATCCCCTAAAATCCCCAAGAAATAAGGCCAGGTGCAGTACAGCGGGGGGCTGATTAAAGGTGTCCCTTAAACAGCCGCCAGAGTCTAAAAATCTAGAGGCGAGATTCGAGTAACGAAAGCCCTCAGAAAGCAACATAGTTTTAGTCCTTATTTATTCGGCAATCAGTTTAGTTTTGATATTGATCGAAATTTTAGTTTTGTTCTTTGCGTTCGATGCCTGCACAGTATTTTTTGTACTTTATTTTTATAACAAGTTTTATTTTTTGGTTTGTTCATTAAGGGGGAACCCCCAAAGATGCCATTTAATCTCACAAAGACCACCAAAAAAAAAAAAAAAAAAAAACAAAACAAAAAGAAAAGAGAGGCTTAGTCAAACCTCGTCGTAGTCAGCCAAAATCCTCGCAAAGGCTTATAAAAATAGTTCCCCCTTTAATGATAACGATTTAGTTTTTGTTAACTAGCTAACTTAGTAGCCATCTTGTATGCCAATCGAGGCTAGTCCTAAAATTATTAGTGAGCTGCTAACCCTCTCTCGAAAAGCTTTTTGCTCGAGTGGGCAGGGGCTGTCCTTAAGTTCCTAAATTGTGACAAAATCAAAAAAAAAAAAAAAAAAAAAAAAATACATCGCGGTTTTTGTATTAATCCCTATCCCTCACTTTACCAAATTAGATCAATTTATAAAAATTCTTATAAAAGACTTTCAAAAAGACAATATGCGAAATGTCAGACATTTTTATGGTGTCGTCTCAGTTAGGAGAGATCCCTTAATCATATCATATCTATATACAATACTTAATGTGGCTCATAACACGGTCATTGCTAATCCCTTTACCCATTTTGTTTTTCCTTCTTTTGATCGATATCATATTGGCCTTTGAACAAGTTTTCATAAAGGAATCGTATATATTCTGTAGGTTTAATATACGCGATTCGGCAACACGATGATAATTCTTGCTTAACTTAATACCTATTATTACTTATGGTATGTGAAAATCGTATAAAGCTTATATAACATACTGAAACACATTCGATAAACTTACCAAACATTTTTAATCCTGCCAAGAGGTGGCTTTCCCTACGATTTTCACATGCCTCGGTTTGTGTAATGCTAACAATTGGAGAAACTAGTTAAAGCGATAGATCGATTACACTTTACACCGATTGATTAGTTAAAGCGATATATCGATGATACACTGATTAATTAGCTAAAAAGAAACCCCTACACTCTGCGAAAGGTATTTTCTTTCCTTATTACGACAGCTCATTTCTAATTTTAATCTAGTCTACTTTCTGTCGCACACAGTCACACTCACACATACACACAAACACAAACACACACGTACGTACACATCACACAACCATAACACGTTTACACTGAAAGATTGTTTGCATTTGTTGCCATTTGGCTTCGCATAAAATAATAAAAAAAAAAAATGTGTAATAATAACCAAAAAACCAGAGAAACAGTCAAATTGCTTGTGTTCAGTATTATGATTTATGATTATGATTTTTCACTGGAAAAGTGTTTTGCCTTAGTTATTTACCAATTGTTTTTTGTTATTTAATTTATGGCTTGTTGCTAACTAAGGGACAGAGGGCATATCTCCCCAAGATATATAAGAATATATATACTGTAATGTAAAAAAAAAACAATTTTTATATTCGACATACATATATATATATATATTAACACTATGAATACTTGTATTAGACAACTTTTTATATAGAAACTTTTTGTATAAACTTTTTTTTATTACTCTTATGATTATTCAGAAATTAGTTTAGTCCAAAAAAAAAATAACTGAAAACGGAAATGATGATAAAACCAAAAAGGCGAACATAAATAGACATGCTAAAAAAAACATCTAAAGGAAACTTAAATATATACAACTTATGTGCAATACTATTTCGTAAACGATTCAAGCGTATTACTAAATACCAAAAATATATAAACAACTTAAAGAAAGATATGTATCTGTACAAACATAACGTATACAAGATAACTGCAATCGTATAACCAAAAAGTAGTCAAATATTACCAATGATTCCTACCTACCCCTTTCTCCACCACCACCCCCTCCCGAAAAAACTTTCAACTAATTGGCATGACATGCGAGCATGCGGGGCTTGAAGTTCGCGTTTGGTTATCTTCCCCAGAATCCTAAGAATTAAATAGAAATCAAATGGAATATCTAGACTTAGGTCAATACCTATGGAAAATTATCAAAATGTAAAACGAGCAAAATTATTTTGTAAATTATACGACGAGTTAAGGAACGAGACAACATTTGCTACGGTGCATGCAACAACAATACGATATTTTTTCTATACTACCAACAAAAGTACTAAAGATCTAATTCAAATTGATAAACCAAAGGCCAAGTCACTTTGGACTTCTATGATATATACATTATATATATATATTATTAAATGATAGTCAAATCTATTAGCAAATTTTTGCTCGCGCTTTCTTTACAAGACAACCAAGAAAAAAGAAAAAAAAACAAAACGAAATTCAAGTCATGCAAAGTTGTAACTCAAGTTGATCGCGTGGCACTTTCAAAAGGAAAAAAAAAAACCAACAAGTTTATAGCAATTTTTCTAGAATTTTTATATTACGATGAACTAATGAATATGTATCATATATATACTGCATATATATATATATTTTTTAAAACAGCAAAACCAATTAATTAGTCGACTCGAAGTGCGTTCGTTTGTTTTAAGTTAAAAAAAAAAAAACTTTTTGATTTCGAAATACTTATCGAAAATAACGTGTATTAAAAGCGAAAGAAAAAAAGAATCTACACACAAAACGAAAACAAGCCCAATTAAATATTATATCAAATACAGCAGCCTGCTCTATGTAGTGTTAATAAACAATTTGTGCAAAATATTTAAGCAAAAAACGCGTTGTTCTAAAACTTTCAAAGTAATTAAATGCTAGTCTTTAAAAAGGCAAAATCTGTTACAAAAGCAAACACGAAACGGAAACGGTAATCGGTTAACGGCTTAATCGGTTAATGGCTATCGATAACGATAACTGTACGTAATGATGGTGTTTTTTAAATGTAGTCAAATTTAATATTTTATAGATTTTTATACTTTTATATAACATATACTTTATACTTTACCTGTTTAACAAAAACTCGATGAAAATGTTAAAACAAAAAAAAACAAAAAAACAAACAACTTTTAATGTGCTATAAAAGAAGTAACTTATCAAACAAAAATATTTTACTATACCAAAAATATAAAAATAAAATGTTGTTAGAGATGAGAAAACTCTTAACGGCAAACCGCTCAATGTTTTTGCTGCTAAACGGCGTAGGAATCTGGAATCTTGTGTAGCGTGCTATATAATATAATATTTATACCAATAAGCAATCCATTTTGTTAATATTATGTTTTAATTTCTGTTCCCCCCAAGTATTCCAAAAAAAAAAGAAAAAGAAAAGCAAAAACAAGCAAAGACATTTCAATTTATCCAACTTCTGAGCTTGAATTACGATTGAACGGTTAGAAGTCGGATTGACAATTTTAGTTTTATAGAGAATCTTGTTATAGATAAATGTTTATGTTGATTTTGATATATGGATCCTGTTGTTATATATCCGATTATGACAATGACAATTTGTATGCCTAATTCTTAAATATATTTTTGTATCTTTTGTAGTTGCTAGTAGTTTCCTGGTAGTTTTTAAAAACAAAACCAACTCCGTTGAGACATTTTTATACTTTGTTTATTCTTTTTATACATATACATATTTTTAATAAAATATGACAAAACAAAAAACAATATTTGATATATACACTTTATACAAAAAAAAAAAAAAAAAACTAAAAAACAAGGAAAAAAAAAACGTTTTTTGAAATTAATAAACGGACATAACGTAAATTGTGTTTTATTTATTTTTATATATATATCTTGTATGTACTTTTTTATAACATTGTAAATAAATAAAACTTTTAACTTAGCTGAAACCACAGAAATATAAACATAATTAATACGAAACACAAACAACTGTTAGTACATATTAAATTAAATACTTAAACGATAAGAAAGACTCTGAAAAGGAAAGTATTGAAATTCGAACTTATTACATACTTAAATATGTTAACTGAAAATCTAAACAGCAAATTGGTCAATATGTGTTTTTTATACCAACAAAACAAAACAAAAGAAAAACTTAAACATAAAAATGATAAAAACAATTGCATAATTATATGAAATTTACACGTAGTACAATTCAATAAAATTCAAACTTAAATAAGTGAATATTTTTGACAAAAGCCCCCAGATAAATGCTTCAAATAATTGCTAATAATAAAAACTAACAACAAAATAGAGAATTAAAACTTAACTAAGTCGAACCCTGCGTAGTGCATTATGCAAGTTAAAGTCGCATTTTGATTTTGCTAGTGAAAACTCTTCTCAAGTCAAAATTGGCAACTAATGTTGAAAATACTCTTCGTTTCGGGTTGATAGTGTGTTGAGGCAGTTAAAGAGAGAGAGAGAAAGAAATTTGTTTATTTTTTGAGTATTTTCATAGCACAATTTTTGTACAGTGTATGGTTTTGTAGCTAGCGAAAGAAAGTAAACCAAACTGCGTTTTAAATAGAAAATTTTTTAGCCGCAACCCAAAACTCCTTGAGCTCCAAAAAACAAAAAACGATGTGAAAACAATTTCAATTTTACGCTAATTGGATCGATGCTTAGATCGCCGTGAAAAAAGAAGAACATAATGACAAGGTTATTAAAGAAAATTCGGTACCTTTTAAACATAATTAATGAATTTTATATAAAACATCAAATTGATACTGAAAAATTGTAGCCTGTAAAGCGAGTGTTAGGCACCCGCACTTCCATTTTAATTTGTCTTTGGTCGTTGGTGCGCTGAATGCAGAGTGACATATACGCCTCTATTATACATATACTTACGTCTATATATATATATTATATATATATATATATGTATATATAATGTTTAGTACTTTGAATAAACTGAAATTGAGCGCCCTTACTAATGTATTCCTTTTAGCAAAATATTCAGAAAAAAAACCAAAAAAAAAAAAAGCAAAGGCATATAATTTTTTAGCATTATACAAGTGAAAATATAACTGAAAACTGAATAATAAAATATAAATAGTAAACCGAAAAACCAGTTGGCAGATATGGAAACTATATAGTGAATCAAATAAATATATATATATGACACGTAATCTGTATGAAGCGTATGAAAAACAAAAAAAAAACAAGAAACTAGCGAAATATTCCATATTTTATAGTCATTTTCAATAAACGTAATTTTTTAATTTTTACAAAATTCAAGTTGGAAACGAAAAAAGAAAACCAAAAAAAAAAAAAAATCAATAAAAAATATTTGTAGTTTTCTAAAGCCCGAAAAAATCAATCTGAAGGGTTAAACACTGATTAAGCGTAATAATTGTAAACAGTTTCGATTTCCATGCGTGTTTTTGCTCCAGACGTTGAAGCGTTTTCAATTATAAATTACCAGAAAAACCAATTGTTTGAAAAAAAAAAAAAAAAAATGTTACCGAAAAACCAAAACTAAAGACAGACCATAGATTCGTATGTACTAAAAAGAAGAAAGTAAAGTAAATAGAAATAAAAGTCAAAACTAAAATATATATTAGAAAACATACGCAAAAGAGTTCTCCCAAAAGTAATGAAAATCTCTCAAAGAATTGAAACTGTAATAGCAAACCAAGATATCAGCAATATTTCAAAGGAAACCGAACAAGGATAACGAAATAAACGAAAACCAAACAAACCCCAATTCCAGCAAGTCAAATATGAAATAAATTAATACGAATATGTAATCCCGTATTGAGGGAACTATACATATAGGATTATATATTAAACACAAAATATATTCAAAACCAAAGTCGTTTTCTAAAGCGCCCCCCCTCCCCCCAAAGAAGCATTAAACACTCAAAACGAAAATCGGAAAATTGGAAAAAAAAAACACAAACAACACCCCCACAAACACACACACACACACACACTCTCAGTTAATGAGGCGAAAATGCAGGTTATGGAACAAGTAAATAAAACATAAATGGCAAACAAAAAACATATATCTTCATTCAAATAAATAAAAATACTTTTTCTGGAATAATACAAAGCAAAAGGTTTTTCATTTTTCTATTTAAGATTTGGGTAAGGGTACAGGGAACATCTTTAATAGTACAAATCCATAGCATACTTTTGGGCTAACTGTTATACTTGCCTAGCTGCTCTATTCAGTTGATCAAAATTGACATAAAAAATAATGGAATCTTACTCAAATCACAATAAACTAACCAAAATAAATTCCAAATTTCAGATCTTCCAGCATTGAAGGTGTATCGCCCACCTCTAGCGGTCCAAGTCTAATATCCGCACTATCGGCTGCCAGCGCAGGAAGTGGTGGTGGCGGCTCCTTGGCAGGGGCTGGCCCCGCTGGCGACAGCTCTAGTGGCGGTGGCACCTGGCGTCTGATCAAGGGCAAGGTGACACAAACCATCGAGGAGATCAAATCCTCGAAGCTGCCCCCAACGGCGGCCATACCCATTATAGTGGCCGATCCACCTTCGACCGGTTGGAGCAACGATCCCGATTCCGATACCGAGTGCATAACTGTAAACACTTCCATAAGCGAGGAGCTACCCCTAGACCCGGAGCATAAACAAAATTCCGATTCGGACGTGGAGGCAGAGCTACTGCAGCACGACAACGTAAGTTTGGGCAGCGGCGACGTAGCAGCGGCTGCAGCTACAGGCCACGCGGAACGATCTCGTCTGCGTCGCGGTCTGGCCCACATTCGATCCAAGGTAAAGGCCAAACACCAAGCGACTGCCGCTATGAACAAAAAGGATGTCAGTCCAAGTGGAAGCACCGAGCAACCAAAATCGGTGCGCTCAGGATTTCTCCGTCGGCGACATGTAGTGGAGGCGGGCAGCGAGCCCTCAACCAGCCAGCAGGCGGAGATTGCAGTGGTCAGTGGCAAGGTGAAGAAACGGGGCATTCTGCTGGCTCGCAAAGATGTGGAGATCGAGTCGGGTGTGGAGGTACTCGAGGATATGATTCCTTCAACTGCAGGACCAACTGATTCAGCAAAGGAACCCACGGAGAAGGGAGCAGAAGATGATCTTGATGCCAGAGCTGATGCCGAGTCACGAGCCGCTCTAACGCTTCCTGTGGTGCCGGGGGCTAGTTCACTGGCTTTCACCAGCTCATTGATTGGCAAGGAACCGAAGAGCTCTACGCTGGATTTAAGGAGCAAGAGCAGCTTCTTTGCCACCCTGAGCATGCTCAGTGTTGCCCAGTGGCGGGAGAAGCATCAGGGTGCCACAGCATTCGCCTTGCCTGTGCTCCTGTCCTTCTTTCTGATCTTGCTGATTATTCTTCCGGTCCCGGATTTCCTGCGAGGAGTCTTCGCCACCCTCTTGTTCTTCACGGTAATGGACTGCTGTGGCGGTCATCTGAGGGTGTTGCTGGAGGACTTTCTATTGACCACGCACCCAGAGCGAGTGGCCTTCGCCATTCCCAATTACAAGATCATGCCCATTTGCGAGATTCCAGCTGTGGAGGAGCACAAGACCATCAAGACTTATTCTGGCTGGATGAATGAAATAAACAGCTACGATCCCAATACGTTCTCATTCAGTCTTACGAGGGCCGTTTATATCCGATTGGATGGATGCATTTTGAAGATGTCTGGCACGAATGCCAGAATTCCCAAGCGACGCATGTGGAATGAGCCGCCAATCGATCGACACAAGATCCTCTTTACTGATCATCGATCTTATGATCTCAGAAACTGCCGCATAGAGCTGCTACCTTTGGGCCTGGCCAATAAGCGGTGAGTACTTGGTGGTATTAAGTTCACTTTCAGGATACTAATAAGATTTTCATATCCTTTCAGTTTCTTCAATCGCAAGTATCCCATTCAGCTGATCATTAAGACCACAAAGGATCTGTCAGAAGAGCAAACCTCCGTGGAAAGCCTATCAGAACAAACGATCAAGACGACTGCCAAGGAAGCTAAACCTGCCTCCTCATCAGGAACAACACCACCCGGGGGAGAGGAGGAGAAATTAATGGACTTTGCGGGAACTGTTATGCAGGCAGATGTGAGTCTTTCCCAAAGTTGGTAAAAAATCCTTAACTCTAAACTGCATCTTCAGTTACAGCAACTACGGAACACGGTGAATCCAGACAAGGAGCTTAACGATATTACTGTTCCCTATGGCGATGAGGTGCGATTGCTGCTCTTCTCGAGATGTGATAGGGAAAAGGAGGACTGGTTTCGACGCTTCACAGCCGCCAGCAAGGGTTTGGTTCACGAACAAGATCTCCAAGTTCCGATGGCTCGTTTTGTGGATGACACCGATCTGCAGGCTGCAGCCGCCAGACAAGCTTTGCTTTTGGTCTCGGGAATGGGCAAGGTTGGACCGGGGGTCGTAAAGGTAAGAAAACTCCTTTTGTAAATCCAAGAACATTTTCCGTAAATCAGTTTTCACCCCTTGCAGTGGCAGGCTGAAGATGAATTGTCAACTGGAAAGGTCAATGATGAAACGGATCAGCAAACGCCCGATGGGCAGTTCGAGAATATAACAGAAGAGGATTTATGTGAGACACCCAAGGACGATGCCTTCGATGGCATGATTATGAGTGCCAATGTGGCCAGGAATTCTCCGGACTACGTCCGCTTCATGGCTGTTTACCAGGTTCGCAATTGGTTTGCTTACTTTGCAGCTTTTTAGTTTTTATTATTTATATTATTATTATTTGTTATTTTTAATTGGCTTTTGGTAGAAGGCTTGTAACCAGAGCAATATTCCCGTAACCCGAAGTTCCGTCGAAAAATTGCGTACCGTTGATCGGCGTCAGAGAAAAGTAGGTTTTTATAATTTTATTATCATCGTATTATTTCCGATATCTCAGTTAAATGAAAAGATATTAATGATTTAATAAACTTTTAGTCTCGTCGTGCCAAACGTCAGGAAGATGAGCTATGGAAGGGCATCGACCAGTCCCTTTTTCTGGGTCCATCTGGCAGTATTGTGTGGGCTAATGTGCTGTTGGGACGCTGTCTCTATAGCTGGCTACATGATTCCATGCTGCACGAGAAGATCAAAGAGGTTTTACAAAAGAAACTAAACTCTATTAAGGTGAGTCCTAATCGTCATATACCATATCTATTCTAGTCTAATCCCCCTTTTCTTACAGCTACCCAGCTTCATGGAGGAGGTTGTCATTACAAACATATACTTGGGTCAATCCCCATTACTGTGTCACCGCGTCTCTCAGCCGATGCTGGATGAGCGCGGCGTTTGGGTAGATGCGGATGTGACCTATGAGGGATTGGCTCACATAACAGTGACCACCAAGCTGAATCTGCTGCGCATACGCAGCAAGACAAAGTCGCCAATGGCCACCGAAAGTGTGCCCACAACCTCGTTGGCGGCTGAGCAAGCGCCTGATTTGCGGAGCCATTCGGATGCAAATTCAGAAAACGTCATCTACGATAGCGATGCTGAGAGCTCGGGTGGTTCGTCCACTGAATCCGAGAGCCCACCGCCGGGAAATGCCCAAGAGAATCCGGCTGGAACTGAGTTAGTAATCAAAAATATTTATTATTAATGAAATATTAATACTTCTTATACCTCCCCCAGATTCTTCCAGAACTCACCCGGCAATGCGCGTCGCATCTTTAAGATTGTCGATCGGATAGCCGCCTCCAATCTATTTCAATATGCCACCGAGCTGCCGTACGTGCAGCGAGCAATGGAGAATATGAACGCGAATATCACTTTACGCGTAGATCTCAAGGGTTTGGTGGCACGTGGAACACTAAATGTGCCACCGCCACCATCCGATCGGGTGTGGGTTAGCTTCCGCGGACCGCCACGCCTTTGGATATCCACCAAGCCCCAAGTGGGCGACAAATCCGTCGATTGGTCGATCGTGACCAATGTCATCGAGAGCAAACTGTGCGAGGCTGTTAACAAGTTTCTGGTCTATCCGAATATGGTAGACTTCTCCATACCATTCCTGAGCAATCCCAATTTCGATGAGGAGCCAGCGAACGCAGCCAACTAAATACCAAAATTAAGTGGAATATAATAGGCAGGGAAGAAGGAAAGAAAAAAAAAGATACAATTTATATCCGATGAATTTAACACAAAGTGTGAGCGAGATTTTTACGTTATTTATAGTTTTTTTGAGATAAACTTCAAGCTTAGCTTAGATCTGCGATCTCCAGTTCCGATTTCAAATACTTAGCGATATGAGTGAAGGGAACTACAGATTCCAAATGACAAGTTATAAAACGCTTATTTTCATCACATTCTGTTCACACTCCAGAACAATCCCCAATCTTAGCTACAATAATTTACACTTATAAATATCAAGGAAATCAAGAAGGATATATAGCATATTGAATATGCTGCAACAGCCGCTCTGTGAGGTCATCACGACAAGTATTCCAATAGCATAATGCAGGCATATAGCTCTACAACTTATCCACTATTCTCTACGAACAACTACAATATATACACATCTACTATATATATTTATATATTCCCAGTAGCTTAGTCTTAGGATGCGTGTGAATTTTAAAATAAGAAAATCGAATTTTATTTGCGATATATATATAATATGGTCATCTTATCGATTGTCAACCATAGAACTTATGTACTTAAAGTGTTTCAACTATATAAGCTACTAAAATGTGAAAGAACGGAAATGGATCCGTATATTTTGCCAAATAAGAACAACAAACTAAACTATTCCCTTGGGTTCCAATTTATACAAAAACTAACAAATATCATTTACACGGTTGTTTTCCAGGCTACACAACTAAGTAAATCATTTTAGCTACACGTATATATATAAATATATATATTTAAATGTTTTTCATAAATAAATGATAGCGAATTGCTAGCACAAAAGTGGTTTGTTATTTATTTTGAAGTTGGCTGCTCTCTTGAGCTTTTAAGCTGTTCTTAACATTTGGTTAACAGAAGTTGATGGGTGTTATTAACAGATGTATTTATGTGTGCCATACAAAAGCTCACTGCTATGAAACCACGAAAGAGCTGCATTTCGCAAATTAAAAAACCTTTCAAATTTGATTTAATTTTTCTTTATTTTAATTACTTTTTCATTCACGTTCAGAAATGTACATCTTTAAATTGGGTTTTTTGCCTCGCGTTCATGGGAAATTTACCGTTTTTATGTGTGTGAGTTTGTTTTTAGTTTTATGATTTCGTTTTAGGGCTTTTCATTGCTCTGTTTCCAAAAAGTACATTAAGTAAACTACAGACATACGTGTATATAATATTCATTAATAATAGTTATATATGTATATATAGAATTCAAAAATGTACAACATTCATTTTTAACAAAAGGACCGGGACCACAACGTCGCATGACCCCGGCATATGTAGTTAAAAACTCGAAGATAGCCATAGCAAAAACAACTAAAATTACAACTTAAGGTTAGAGACTTACTAACTAATACACATACTAGTATAATGTCAATGCCATTTCGTTTGTTTATTTTTTGTTGTTGTTGTTGTCTTTTCTTATCATTTTCAATCGATATTTTGTATTGTATATGCATACTTGTATTTTATTATGGGCGTAATGCTTCTTGCGGCATCCAAACTTAATGCCTCGTTAAAAGTTATCATTCAAAATTGATTTCATGGTTCGCTCAATCTCCAAATTTGTATGTTTATCTTGCGACTTAATTTATGTGGTTTCTGTGATGTTTTTGAGTGGTTTGTCGATCGAACGCCTTCCTTGATTGCATAACAAAATCGTAAATAGACTAAGAAATAGTTACAATATTATATGGATATTGTAGTTTTCTACTTAACAACTAAAACTGCTATCAAAACAGATTCACAAATAAATATTCCAAGTGGGTGTGAGTTTCATTCGTAAAACCTTTCAGATTTCCTTCAGATCTGCTTTTTCTTGCTGGCAAAACATTGAGCAACATTTTTCTTGTAAGACATCTTGAATATATCTTGAATATTATCGGTAAATGGATTATGCTGTGGCTATGATCTTAGCTTATCGTTAGAGTAGAGAGCTGTATTAAACTGTGTGTATAAGTGTCTCTGTCCCGTTTCATGCGGCAAATGCAGAAATTTTATATTTTGTTTCCATTGAGCACGTCGCGGTGTTCGGTAGGGTGTTGTTTTTCTTGTTACTTCTTTTTTTAAAGGGATTTCTAGGAGGGATCGTCGCTCTTCACTGTCCTGCTGTTTTGGCTCGTTCCTACGTCTACATTTCTAACTCTGAAAACTGTCACAACATCCGTTGATTTGCTCGCCATCTGAGATTTACAGACGCATGTCGTTGTATTTGGCAAAAGCCTTGCACAGGGCAAAGGCCAGAATGATGAGGACCAGATGGACAATGCCCACCGCAATGGCCACGATGACCAGTTCACGCTGCCGAATCAGCCATTCAGTAAAGACCTCATAGCAGCCCTAAAAGAAGTTAACAACTTTTCATTAACAATCTTATCTTTTAAAAAGGTACTTCATTCCTTACCTTCTTGTAGAAACTGTTGCTGTCGCTGGGATTGGTTACACAGTCCTCGTCGCGTGGCACCAGCTTGGCCACATCCTTAAGAATGCAGCAGGCATCCGGAATGGTGCGGTTACCCTTGCCGTTCACCCACGCTGGTGAGGCCTCGAAGTCACGGTAATCATTGATGCCACAGCATCCAAAGTTGCCCATCAGCTGGTTCCACATCAGCGAGGTGGCATCTACATTCTCACCCAGCGAGTAACTGGTGATGGTCGTCTGCAAGAAGTTTTTGCTCTCGGCCCGAACCTTGTCCTTGAAGAAGGCGCCCAGTCCTCCGGCAACGATCTCGGCCACCAGCAAAAGGATCAAGAAGGTGCCGTACTGAAAGGAATAGGAAAAGGTGTTAACTAAACGGTAAACTAAGTCATATATTTCTTATTTAATACTTAAAATGTATATTTTCAGTTTTCATTGCGTTTTAAAATTAAAGATTAAGCTAATATATCAAAATAATCACTTTAAAACGGAAAAAAATGAACAAAAATAAACTCCCCTTGGCCTTGCTTAAAAATAAATAGCTTCATCATTGCGAAATAAATTCAATTTAAAACATAAATGAAATATAAATTCGCTGATTATTGCGTAATAAATCTATTCAATGATTTCTTGTTATGGTTGCCTGATTTATTTATAATGCTCTCACACCGTTGACCCAATTCGTTGGCCACTTTGTGAGCCGTGCAGAAAAATCTAGCCATTTGACCCTGAGCCAAATGTGCAGCATTTGTCGGCCTGCCCGCTGGTGGTGAGTTTGGCCCAAACGCACACACACACACACTCATAGCCGGAAAAGACTGCGAGTAGATATACATAGATACAGATACGGTTGAAATGGCGAAGGGGCGGATGGGCGGATGGGCGAATGGGCGTTTTAAGGCAGATGGGAGGCGTAGGAGGTCGCAGCATGCAGCACAAATGCTGAAGGTCATTTCACAATGTTTTGTTGCATGTTTTCGAAAAAGCTCTTGCGGCTTTTCATTCTGCCATTCTAACTAAGTAATGCAGGAAAAGAAACAAACGGAAAACATGGATTTTATATTAATAAATATGTATCATAAATCCGGTTTAGAGAAAAGCTTTTTAGTAAGTTTGTTACTTTCCATTATCTCTCATTTATAGTTCGTTTACATCTTTCTTAATATCAGTCTTAATCAAACGCTTTTTTCCCAGTGCCTTGCTAATGTTGTCGCAGTCGTTGTCGTTGTGGTTGTTGCCCTGATATGCTCGGTTTTAGATAGCTGTGTTGCGGCTGTTACGCCTGGCAGCATTTCATTTCAGTTTAGCCATCGTGGGCGTTGGTAGCCGCCGCCTGCAAATGTATCTGTCAGATACACATGCAAGCTCACTCACCAAATTGCGGCCTATGTGGAGCAGCTTCACTTTGTTTGCATGCCAAGTGTAGCGATTTGAAAGCGTTTAACTGCCTGCAGTCGTTTTTATTTTTTACCTATGTTACCTATGCTGTCTTAGGAAAAAAAAATCAATGCTAAGACATGTTAGCCATACCAAGAGTTATGCTGGCCTTGGGATGCGTTAACCGAACGGCCTTGGCTAATTTAAGTGCAAAACCCAAGAGGGTCGCATGCTGGTCGCGTGTTCGGCACCGTTGCGCATGCGCAAAGCCCTTCCCCTTCTCGCCCTCGCCCTCGCCACCTCGTCACATCTCTCTGCTCACTAACTTAAATTGAATTCACCTGTTTGTCACTGCAATTAAGCTTGGCCAAGCCCAGAAAGGTGGGCGCGTCTGTCGGGTAAATAAAATGCTGGTAACTGCGATAAAACAGTTTATTAATTACCACAATCGCCCCAAGTGAGCACTTCTCGACCATAGAAAGTCCAAAGTCCCCTCCTCCTTCGGCCACTTGGCAGCTCGGCAAATGTAAATTATCTTCTAGTCCAGAGAAATTACAATTCCACTCAGACACAGAGACCGCAGAGACATGGCCAAGTGAAGGGCTTGCCATGAGGGCCAGCCATGAGACCCGCCGCTTAACCAATCGTTCAAACATGCCTGGCCTCACGATATGGATGTATCTATATCTATCTATATACGATAATTTACCTATACCCATATAGCTATGTACAACTTTCTCTCGAGTGCACCTTCAAATGGTTTTTCCAGCCAAGAGTCAAAGTCAAATGGAAATCCTCTTCAACGGCAAACTTTTTTCTTTATTATTTTTGATTTTTTTTTGGTAAATGCAAACGAATGCTTGGCAGGCTGATTCCCATCCCGATGCTGTGCATCTTCGGTGTCTTCTGTCTGTATCTTTTGGTATGCCTGTCTGTCATCCATTACAATGTAGCCGATGATGCAAGCTCGTAAAACTCTGATTGGACTCATTGATTGGAAGGGGAAATGTAAATTTGGCGACAATGCGTCTCGGTACTGTTAGGGAGTTAGCCAATAGTGGAAGGCAAATAAGTTTTACCTAAAGAATTCATTGTTATTACAAATTGGTTTTTGGTTATATTTAAACTTGTAGCTTAAACTTAAATCAGTAAGAAGTAAAAATATAACTTAAAGTCTGTTTAATTTATAAATTTAGATCTTAACTTCTTTTATGATGTCGATACTAATATAGTAATACAGACTTAATATTAATCTTTTAGTTAATAAATAATTTAAAAACACCTTTTTAGACTTTCAGTTTCGAATCGGACTGTCTCTAGACTGCCCCACTCCAAACCTTTAACCCAATTTCCATCCACATTCACTTACCGTCGACAGAAGACAGCGGGACTCGCGCATGGCTCCCAGATAGCCCAAGAAGCTCATGAAGAACATGACGGCTCCGATGACGAGCAGAACATAGGCCAGCTGCTCTATGGCCTGGGGCTGTGTAAATTGCTATAATAGAAACGAAAGAGACCAGAAACAAATAGTCAGAAATGTCTGAGGGTAATTGCAGATCATGTCTGCCCTGCGTATACGTAATTAAACTTTGAACTGGCCAAAAATTGTCTTCTTCCTCGTTGGTGTAATTGAATTATACGCATATTTTCCACCAATTGTCGTAGATTTGAGTTAAATATTTCAAAACTACATTGCAAGTTCATTGACCATGCTACTATTTCTCCATGTAGATATCCTGCTAAAGCCTCTCAATTAGTTTCTGCATGTTTATCCTAGGTGACCCCACAATTAGCCAGCTCTGTCCTGTGTGTGGACATGAACTTTTCATTTGTTTTTCCAAAGCGAAAAACCCTTTACGGCCAGTCAGTCAGATAGGGGCGCCTCTCCACACACACAGAACTTTAGTTAACGCTGCTGAACATGCAACTTTTGATGGAATTTGTCATAGTTTCAGTTTAGTTGGAAAAGTTTATTTGTGTGAATTAGGGAAAAGTCCCCGGGGGTGGGTGGAGATAGAGTGGGTTGTGTCATTTTAAACCACGATTTGTACATTTTTTGAAAGTTTTTGTGGAGTACAGGTATTAGGGAAATGATAAACTACTTCTCTACTACTCTATGGAAGTTTATCAATTGCTTTTTAAAGTAAATTTTTATAATTTAAAGTTATTTTCTATATATCTCTGTTAACTTAAACTATTTTTAAATAATTATTCTCATAAATAAGTTATTCAAAATAAGTTTAGAGTCTTCTTTCTCTAAATAACCGTGCAATGGATTTATTTTCTTTAACTTTTTCAACTTTAAATCGATTTCAGTGACAACCTTTTAAAAATTTAAACCAAAAAGAAAGTCCCAAAAGAAACAAATCCCAAACTTCCTCCTCCTAAACTCTTATAATTATAAAAATATATTAATCGCACTTCCATTGTATTCCCCACTGCCTTATATAGAGTGGATACCACTATTTCCAACCCAATTACAGTGAAATGAAAAACCTTCCCCTATTGTCAGACAGCGTGTCAACACAATGCATCGCGTACTTTGATTAGCGTTTTTATGCCTTACTTTCTGAACAAATTCCCTCCAACCCTTCGGCCCCCCAAAACTACATGTTTATTCTATAATTATATTTTTTTTAATAATCATAGTTCCAGAGGCCGCTGTTCATGCATCTGCACGTTAGGTTGATCTATATTTCGGGGTTGATTTACTACGATTTCGATATGTGAATTACACACTTGGATGGATTGCGTATAAATTGCGTTATAATTGAGTTGGAATGCAGCGGTTTCTTGGGGCCCCTTCTCCTCTCTCTCTTTCTAAAAAAAGGGGGTGTTTCTGCGTCAACACTTTCACCTCGGGAATGGGCGGAGGATTGGGGAATTGGGAAAAAAAACCCCAACTGAAAGATTGGTCTTACCTCAATGCGCTCGCTCTCGACCAGCTTGAGGAGAGCAATCAGCGAGTGCTTGTCCACGGCCAGCCATAGTCCAACGCCAAATATAATTGTGCCTAGCAACTGCAAAAAAAAAAAGTGGATAAAAAACACAATAAAAATAAATATACATAAATATATATGTGTGTGTCTGTGTGTGTATAGGTGGGTAGCGGGGATTTATGTGTTTACAGTGAAACATAAAGCATAAAGCACAAGTTCCCCCCGCTGGACATGCAAACGCAGTTTGATGATTGTTATTATTATGACGTTGCCTGCCCATGTTGATTGCATTCGAAAATGCCGATGATGATGTTTGGCAATCAACATGATGATGATGACTATGCTGATGATGATTATGATAATGATAATGATGATGATGACGAACGACGGAACAGAAAGTCAATGAACCGCCGCCGACAAAGCTAAAAATGCGGGAAAATGCAAACGCAAAAACAAAAACAAAAACACCAGCAAATGCGCCTGCGCAGAGATTTGCTTGATTGAGTTGCAATGGAATTTGATGCCATGACATCAACGCACCTCTATCTGCAACCAAATGCACCTCTATATATGCAACCTATGCATAAATCAAGATACACAGATACTCAGATACCTCAGATACTTACGAAAAATATAAAATTGAATATGCAAAGCAAATACTTTGCACACCAGACTCCGCAGTCGAAGACCATTTTCGTTGTTTTCGAAATCTTGGGGCTGTTTTCCTCCGCCGGAGCTCTCTCAACTACAAAGACAATAAAAGAAATTTAACTTTTAGTATGGTTTCTAATTGAATTAAAAAATATCTTAACTTAATTTACTTAATTTCATGTTAAGTGCCGCACACTTCGTTGGGCATACCAAAAAAAAAACACAAACAACAAAACAAACAAAAAAGAAAGTGTCACAAAAAACAAACAAAAAGCGTTATAATAACGAAAATACCAAGAAGCGTAAATAAACAAGAAAAGTGTATTTCTAGCCAGGTTGCATTTCTTATCGGCCATGTTTGTACGTGCCCCGTGCCTAGCAAATTAACATGTAAGGTTGGCCCTTTAAAAATGTTTAAGAAAAAGGCGAAATATTCGTGATGAAAAGAAAGTTTTAGGGCTTGAAGTACCTGGAAATATTTTTAGAACAAAGTGAAACTCAAAACCCTAAAAAGTACTGAAAATAGTTTAAAGATGAATTATATTATTATAAATTTCTAATCTCTATTTATAGTTTAAACAATCAACAACATTTTCTACCTCGTATTTAAGAACAAATTTTAGCAGGCGGTCACACTGTGTAACAAACAGTTACATTAACTTATCTATGCATACTCAGTGTAAGCACAATACATATATTCCTCTCCCTTACTTTTGCATAAAGATCATGCAAACGAACGCTATGTGTGTCCTCTTCGCACGATCAGCAAATCTCACCAATGCATGTACAAATAAGGATAAGATAGAATAAGATAACGGAATAAGGAAGAAGAGACCGAAAGAGAACAGCACGGTCACTAAGACGCCTTCCTTTACTTCCTGGATGAATTTTTCATCTCCCTAACAAGTTCTTTAACAAGCCAAGTAACTACGATTAAAATCTAAATTAATTACTACCTTAGTATATGCAAAAAAAAACACCGCCTGTCGTGCTTAGATAAAACGATACCTTAATTTCCAGAACAAGCTAAAAAAAAGTGTAGAAGTAAATTACAAGCTTTCGTTCATTCATTAATTCATTGAGTCGGCGGGAATCTCAATTTCTATCATCTCGTTCCACGTAAACTTTCTCATTAGCAGTAGAACAGCTTCCCTGCCGCTTTCCCACTTTTCCCTCTTTCTACATTCCAGCTCTTAGCACTTTTCTTTTCAGATGTTGCTGCTGCTGCTGCTGTGGTAGTTGTTGTTCTTGGCAGCTGGTTTGAGTCAAGTTCTGTACATATGTGCGTTGTTATTTGGGTAAATATATGTATATACACCTATACACACACACACACACACAAACAATGTCACGAGCTATTGAAGTTGGAAAAGTAGAGCACTCGGCAGCGGAGCTAAGCCCTCAGTTTCCCAGTTTCTCGATGCTGTTCTGTTGCCAAGTCGCGGCGACGGGCAAACATTTTCCTTGCCAACATTTTTGTTCTCATTCTTTTTTGCTTTTTGGTCCCTTTGAGCCCGGTAAAAGCCCAGATCTACATCCCCTACCTTCACTGCCCCCTCGTTGCAGGCATCCTAATGATGTTTTGGCCAAAATGTAATTGTGTTCGCACACCCACACAGCTGCGGTCAGCGAAATAGCACTTAACTTGTCAAATTTCTGGTATTCTACAGGTTATTATGACAACGGCTTTGGGGTCTAAAATTAGTGAAGAGCTTCTAAGGCATTATTAAAATAATTGTTAGAAAGGAAAACATCTTTAAAGAATACCTAAATAACTTTTAAATTCATTTCACTGGTAACAATCTTTTTATGAACTTTATTATAAAAATCGGAACTCAGTTTAATTTAAACTTAGAAAACCTTTAAAAAACATAGAGCTATTATTTCAGCCTTAACTTTTAACCCACAGAGCCAGCACTGAGTGCATAAAGTACTTGAATGCAAAACGCTCTAGGGACCTACATACACACACATAAGCCAGTGTTTGTGTGGGCGCCACATCCCCCACAACCCTCCAACATTTTTCCATTTCATCCATTTTCATCCCCCTTCACTGAGAACCCTTCAACGCACAACAAAACTTTATCACAAAATTTTTAATTGCTTTTCCATTGTTTTAGACAGCCCAGCCCTGGCTCTGGCGCTGGCTTTAAATTAGTTTAAATTTTCTGGTGATAAGACATGCAAATGACTGCCTAACGGATGTGCATACAGTGCTTAATGGCTGTGACATTGAATTTATAATACGGGGCTTAGTCGAAAACACGGGCCATTGTTTACCAATATTGACGGCCAAGTCTGTTTTTTTTTTTTTTTTTGCGGCCGGAGATGCGGTATCTAAAAATTATTAAAATTTGCATTCTAATTTGAATTTTATCCCAGGTGATTTCGATTTCGATTTGCATAAACCTCAAACCTGATTGGGTTTGATAACAGACATTGCTTTAAAAAATTTCATAAAAATAATGTAAATATTGGCACTGCCTTTAAATTCTAAATTAAATTTAATTCACATGACAAATTCTTGCAATAATCATTTCTTTAAGAGTTTCCCTTCCAGTTTGAATCTGAAAACATTTCAACCTTTGCCCTTATCTATAAATTAATGCTGCAGTTCGACTCTGAGCTTTAATTAATTCTCCGGCTGAGTGGAAAAGCGGAAAAGCTTCCCAGCAGCCAGCAGCCAGCCACTAAGCCGCCGCTGCTGCTGGTTTCTCGACGCCCATGAGCATATATGAGCCCATACAAAATTCAAAAGCTTGCCATTAGCACACACACACAGACACACACACTCATGCTCTTACATGGCTAACACACATACTTATACATACTGGTAGAAGAGAGCCAAATCTTGTAATTAACTTTCAAGTGGCACATGCAAAATATTGGCAAAAATTCAGCAAGCTCAGCATCAGCATTTCATCAAACTCAAATATTAAGTCTGAAGATCTACTTTAGATAGATGTGCAGGAGTATGTGTGAGCTGGAAACTCAAATATCTGATGAAGAAAATATTAAATTTTCATAAAACAAATATGAATTAGGTAGGATGTTTTCAAGGGAAAGGCCTAAGTTGATTTTATAAGGAAAATGTTGTTAATATACAAGCCATAAGTTACCTATAAGATGGAATAAATCTCAAAAAAGATTACTTTAAATATTAAAACCAAAGACCAACCCACTCGTTAAACAGGTGATGTGGGCAGATATCGATGTAAATCTTGTTCAAAGTTGTTTATGTATAATATATATCAACAGATATATACAAAGTTTAATATACAGCAAAAAAAAATAAAGAAAAAGTGCAAATAAATTACAAATTTATAGCCCCCGTAGCTGACTTGCATTTGGATTTTGATACAGGCTTTGTTTATTATTTGCGTAATTAAATGCCTGCACATGCTCGTACAGCATTTTTTAGCCGTAGAAAGTTTTGTTTTACCGGCTGCTGTGGATGTGGAAGTGGCTCGTGGAAGTCTAGGGAGCCTCTCAAAGAGCTCTCAAAACAATGCACATTTTTTTTTTATTTTGGTATCGCAACGACGGTGATTAAAGCATTTTCTATTGCAAAAAGGAAATTCGAGCGGGTCTCGATTGTGGGACTGGAAGTTATTTTCTTGCTCTTTTTTGTTTTTGCAGGTCGACGTCAAAATGGGTTAAAGAAAGTCGTAACTTGTATTAATTAAAAAAAAAAAAAAAAAAGAAGAGGAAAAAGTCAAGGGGGAAATGGAGTTGCGCTTGAACTGTGGAAAGGCTGTCGAAACCTTTTTGGCCATAACTTTTCGACTGGCAATGTCATTTCCCCACTCCAAGATGCACTCTCACATCACATACAAGCATATATTTTATACAATGTTCACACTTGTCACGTTCGTTTGGCTTGCCAAGAATTTAGAAATTTTTATTTATTGCCAATGCTTTCTGTTTCCCTGCTCCCCTGCCCGTTATCCATTTTTCTCCGCTCAGCTCTTCGATTCTGATTTGATTGGCTAGCTGGGGAGTTGGGGAAATGTGAAATAGGAATCGAGGAGGAGAAGAAAAAAAGAAAAACTCATCACGCTCGAAACCAAAAGTGCCGCAGAACCACAGAGCCACTTTTCTATCTGTCAAAGCGTGAGAAATTCTCTGTTTTCCGTTCTTCAGCTGCGGTTTTCTCTCTCTCCATCCTCCGCCAATCATAGCTCCCAAGCTTGGGGTAATTAAATTATGGAGTAATAAGCCTCAATTGGGTCACCTCACTCTCCAGAGCAGTACTTAAATGCAGGTGGGTGGTGGCTTTGGGCTCACCAAACCACCCGTTCCCGTTCCCTCAAGATCTTAAGTATGCATATGAGAGTGGCTTTCCTAGGCGCTGGTAGTGGCTTGATGTGTGGGAACTACTAAACTACCATTTATAAACGGTTATAGTAAGTGGAATGTTAATGTCTAAATCAGCTTGGGGGGAAGCTATATAAAATAGAGGTGATTGGATGAGGACTAAACTATATTATTCACATAAGAAATTTTATTATTTTAACTTTAGAGATGAGTGGAATATCTGCTAGGGAAGTTATTATAAGATATTTACTATTTTTGAAAGGGCTTGAACCTAATCTATTTGTTACTTTCACTTCTTAACTCTCAAGCTCGTTTTGCTATTACTTAAATTTAGCAATAAAGTTTTTAATTATTTGCTTAGACATTCCTAGACATTCGCTTGTTTGTTTAAACTTCAAAGTAAGCCATTTCACGCTCAATAAATCACGCTTACCAAAGACTGTCGGAAAGTTTCTTTCTACACCATAAAAGGCATTTAACTTTGCAATTAATAATTTTTCCAAAAGGTATATGACTGATTGCCTAATTAAAACTTCATTTTTATTAATTAAATCAAATTATTTCCTTTTATATTGCATATCATATTTTTCCAATCCATAAAATTTAAATATAATCATCGCTTTTGATTTAAACGCTGTCCCTTGTTGACCCAACAATTTGCCTTTTTTCTTTGTCTCCGCTGATTGCTAAATTTGTGTTCCCTATAAAAAAAAGGCTTTAAAACCGAAACTTATCCAACTGGAATAAAAACCCATTAATTGAGCAAAATATAGCGCA